CCCGCGACAGCCATCATGACGAGCAGCTCGCTCGTCGCAAGCTCCGTGTTGAAAGTTCCACGGTGGATGAACGGGAATGTCGGCGCAACCTTGGACCAGTAGAGCTGGATGCTCTCGTTCAGGTCCTGCACCGTCATGTTCAGGTCGGGGTACGATGCGAGTAACCGCTGCAGCAGCGGAACGTTGACGTCGTTCTGGAGGGCACGCTCGGCACTCTCCTGCGTCCTTGTCTGGCTCTGTTGCAGCAGCTGCTCCCACGGTTGCGCATCGTGGATCGTCCGTTCGTCCCAGAACACTGGCGCGAGGGCATCGTTCAGCAGCGCCTCCCACGGATGCGGTGGGCCGGCGCCGTAACCAAAATCGTAGCCGATCGCCTCGAAACAGATGGGCGCGCTCGCGACCGTGTTCGGGTCAATGTCGATGAAGTGTCCGGACGTGCTGAGGTCGTTCATATTCGGAAGCCCGTTGACGGGCGTCACGCTCGTGGACGTCGGGCCGTTCTGGCCATCGACGCCCAGGGCTGAGTTCTGGGCACCAGTATTCTGTCCCGCCATGCCGGACGAGACGTCGAGCAGGTCGAGAACGGGGAACACATGGTTTGAGAAGTCGCCGGGTGAGTCGGTCTGGCTGGTCGATGCCGACGCCAGCGCGCGGTTCACGAGCGGCCCATTGCTGACTGTCGACTGGCCAACGCTGTCTGGCGTGCCGTTCGCCTGCGTCTGCTGGCCATGCTGGGACTGTGGGCGATGCGATGTCGGCGGTGGCTTACTCGAGCCCATTCGTGACTGGGGTTGAGACTGGGGTTGTGACTGAGGCTGGGACGGCGTTCCGTTCTGGCTCTTGCCCAGTTGGGCCGCTCCGGCGGTCGCGGTCGTCTGGTGCGCCCGCGACTTGAGCCGCTTCGGGTACCGCTCGTCGTCGCAGATGTTTCGCCGCTCATGGCGCTGGAGCAGGTCGAGGCGCTGGAAGCTCCGCCCACAAGTCGAGCAGTGGTAGTTCGGTTGGGCGTCTGTTGGTCGTAACGGCGGTCGGAGAAACATAGTGTGCGAAGTGCGAAGCGGGGCCGTGACCGCAATGTGGAGAAGACGCCATCACCGCGCGATCCGAGAGTGAGACATGACCGGTGTGCAGGTTCATAGGACGCCCAGTACGCCATTGGCATTGTTGTCGGCAAAATTGGTGCGCCACCACGGGCCAAGACGGTCAATGCAGGCAAGGGGATAGGCGAGGATCGCAGTGAGAAGGAAGGATATTCGTGATCGGTCGGAGAGATAGAGTATCGAATAGCGGCGATCCATAAAGCGTTAGCGTCGGTTTCGTCGGTCGTGTGCGGGCGGTAGTGTGCGATGAGCAGTGGTGCAGGAACGGTGGTGAGGAAAAAAAAGTTCGAGGTCGCTGTGTCAGCATTCCATTCCAGTGACATTTTTCCTTCTAGAAGAGGGGAGGATATCCCAAGCATGATACGCACGGTTCGCTGCATGTCGAACGAGGTGATCCTGGATAAGGTCAGCCGCCACTGCATGCATAATCTCGAAGAAGGAAGGACAGACGCTCGAGGACTCACTTTTCTGGAGAAGGCCTTGCCGCAGTCCGGGTACTGGCATTGCAGCGATCCCTTTGTCGTTGCCGCGGCTTTGGACGACGAGGCGGCGGCCTTGGAACCACTTGGCCCCGAGCCGTTGACGGCGGCAGCTGTTGAAGCGCTCATCCGTTTGTTGTCGTCTGCCGATGTCTGCTGTTTGTTATTGTTTTGGCGGTGGTGGTCTATCGTCGAGGAACCTCCGACAGCGGGGGCGGCAGACGCATAAGGATGGGTGCTGGAGGAGGGGTTGGTTGATTGCTGGGTGGAGGGGTGCGGTTGCGGGGGCTGTGGAGCGAGCGACGACAGGGCCGACTTTGGTGAAGGGTTTGCCGCCGAGGAAGACGAGGCCGAGGGGGATGGTCCGGACGCAGAAGGCTTGGTGTTGGATGCAGAGTCGCCACCTGCAGCGGTGGTGGAAGAGGATGTGGTTCCAGCGGCGATCGGTCGTTCCTTTCGGTTGTGGTCCTTGTTGTGGAGTGAGGATAGGTTGGGGAGCACGGGGACGGGATGTCTGGAGGCGTGATCAATTTTCAGGTTGAGATTGTTCAGATTGAGGTTGTGGCCGAGATGCAATGTCGAGGATCTGGGCTGGGCCGGGGCCAAGTTGCCGTTGCCTGCTGCTGCTGCGTTGGCTGCGTTGGCTGGGGCGCGGGTCGCCTGCGTCGGCTGCCTTGGCTGCTGCTTGGTTGTGCTAGATCCGCCAGGGGGACCAGACGGCCCGGAGGATCTCGAGCTAGTCTTGTTATCAGCGGCGGGAGCAGCAGGGGGAGCCGGGCTGAGGCGTCTAAGGCTCTGGCTCATGCTAGTCGATCACCAGCAACACCGATATCCTGATCGCAAGCCCTCCAGCCAGCGACTTTTTTTCCGGGTGGCGGCGCTGGCCGTGGATCCGTGATCCGAGTGCGATCAGCCTGTGGTGATCGTGATAGCAGCAGTAGGCCGATGCGACGCGACGGCAAGTTAGGCAGAGGGTGGGGGTGCTCTTCGGGGGGAAAAGCAGAGGGGCTCGCTTGCGAAGTGCGGGTCAACTGTCGAAAAATGGTGTCCGAGTGGGGGAGGCGACACTGCTGTCCTAGAGTCACGGTCCTCGCCGAGCGTCTATGTGCGCGGTATATAAAAAATCTCGCTTGTACGCTGGCTGTCGGGCTGGGCTGGGCACGCTTGCAGGCGGCAACCGCAAGGGTTTCGCGGTACGCGGCGGTAGGCGGAGGGCTGAGGGCGAGCGAGCAGAGGAACGCTGTCGTATGCTTGCTGGTGGTGCGAGAGCAAGGGCTAGTCGTTCAGGTGACTAACCTGGGTGGTAAGAGCGAGAGTCTGTCAAGAGTCAAGATAGCTCAATGCTCATCTCAGAGTGCAAGAATGCAAGCAAGCCCGTCCCGTCGTCTCATCTGCGCATCGCTGACAGCGTACATGAGCATCCCAAGGGGTGAGGGGTGGACACGGCCAATTCGCTGCCCGCTCGCTGCCCCTTGGGGTACTGGGGAAGCTGGGTACTTGGGTGGCGTGCCAGTTGGGCCACCTAGGCTCAGCTGGGCTCATCGGTCGGCGGAGAAATCCCAAACCGCCTAATCCCTTCACACCTCACACTCAGCCAACCACCGTCGCCGTCTGCATGCACTCGCGCTTCAGACGCCGTCGCCGCGCCTGGCTCTCGTACCGGCTCCCACGATATGGACACAAACAATCCGCACTGCTGCTGCAAATCACGAAGGGCGTAGGAGACCCGGGTCCAGGCCGCGAAAAGGCCACTAGGAGGATTGTTGTCAGACCAAAACCCGGGGTGTGGGGTGAGTGGTTCTGGGGGCGGGCTAGCGATGTCCATCGTCTGCGACCCCCTCAGTGTTCACCACCCATCTCTCATCGCTGGACGCTGACGCTGGCGCCTGCACTCGAGGTTTAGGCGTCCTGGCGGATCAAGAAGCTCAAGGAAATCTTGGCTTGACCCATTGGCCCGCCTACAGCCGGTCCGAGGTGCGGCTCATCTATTGCTACGAGACTCGTGTCCTGACGCTGACACATCGACTTTGTCAGGCTGGAGAACCCGGGCCTCCAGACATGTGACGTCGAGGCTGTGCATAGTGCTCTCGTGCGCTCGCAGCTGCTCTGCAATTCTCGGAGCCTGTCCGAACTGCTCCCCTGTCTGAGTGCCGGTCGACCAACGAGGACGCGTCAGAAGCTCGCTCGCAAGCTCATCCAATCCATTTTTCGGGTCATCGGCCTTTGGCCCCATCTCGCCCTGAGGAAGTTTGCGGGGCTCGATGTCCTCTTCCTGGCGTCCTTTGACCCCGGTGCCTGAGACTGCTTAAGCTCAGCGCAGGCTGCAGGCCGGCTGTAGCTCGGCAGGTTGCCAGCGAGCATTGCCAGATGGGACAAAAAGCGGGCCGAACGAGGGCAGCGACGAATCAGGCGGCAGGATTTTGCCACTCGGACAACGCAGTACCTTCATGTACCTTCTCCATTCAAACAGACGTGCAACTGACCGAGCTTGCGGTGCCTCCGGCCCAGGTCGTGCCCTTGCAGCATTCAGCTGATGAGAGAAACAACCCGCAAAAGGCAAGAATGCCAGATACAAAGGTACGCCACGTGCCAGCCCTTGCGTCATAACGGCCCTAGAGCTGGCCGAGTTGGCCCCTAGGGCTGGCTCGTGATTCCGTGTGATAGCGAATCATCAAGGCTCCTCGCCGACTGCGCCGAGGTCTCAAAAAGAGGGCCGGAGATCGCCGCGTCTCCATGCTCCTCCATGGATCGACCAGCAGAAAGCAGCGAAAAGTATCCGCTCTTCGATGACGATTGGCAAGTCATGGAAGCAATGTCGCATGAGATCCACGAGGCCAATACCAAATACGTCGTGCCTTTCTGACACCGTATGAGCGTGATGCGGGCTCGTTCGCTCGGTCGTCGTCGCTCGTCGCCCGCTGCGGGCAAGAAGGCATGAGGCAGGAGCGGAATGGTCGCAGAGACAAAGCTGGTGACTGACTCAGCGTCGGTGCAGCGACGTAGCTCCGTACTGATTATGCATCGTCCTCCACTCCCGACACGCGATGCCTGCCCGACGGCCACTCGACCCACTCGTCCCAGACGCTGGCTTGGCTCGTTTAGCAGGTGGCACTAGCAACCCACTCGTTTCTGCTCTGCTCATGTCTCGTCTCGTAAAGTGCCCTGCGCGGGCCGCGTTCATGACTTTATGAAATCGATGATCCCTTTTAAAGCTATGTAGGTAGAGTTACTAATGGGTGGCTGGTGGTAAGGTGGGGGTTGGGTTGGGTGGATTTATAAGAACGAAGAAGCTCGGTATTGTACGGTGCGTCCTCTTCTGCTGGCGCTAGGACGCCAGCCGAGCAGCGCGCAATGATAAGATGTGGGTGGGATGCTGGTAGAATAAGTCGTGGCCCGGACACGCTAGAGCGGCCGATTAGAGGATACCGGAATCGCGGAGCGCGTTCTGCAGAATCGTCTCCTTCACGGCTGCGAAGACTAGACGGATCTGATTGTCAGCTTGAGTTCAAGGGCCAACGTCAGCTAACTCACGTTGGAAGTGTCAGTGGCCTGCGTGAGATGCGGGTACACAGAGAGACGCGCGCGGTTGGTCTGCGTGAAACGCCACAGGATGTACTTGGCCGCCTTGTTGATGTCGGCGCCGCCAGTGTACTCGGGGAAGTAGTTGACGAGGGGCACCTTGGGCAGCTTCTGCTTGAAGACGTCGATCTTGTTCAGGAAGAGGATGACCGACGTGCGCAGGAACCATCGCGAGTTGATGACCGACTCGAACAGCACGAGGGACTCCTGCATGCGGTTCTGGCCATTCTCCTCTAGCAGCACTTGGTCGTACTCGCTGAGAGCGACACAGAAGATGATTGACGTGACAGCCTCGAAACCTGGGCGTCAGCTAGTGGCCCTACCTATGCAACTCACAGTGGATCCACTTCTTGCGCTCACTACGCTGACCTCCGACGTCGAACATGTGGATGCTCAGCTGGCCCATGTTGAAGCGCGTTTCGCTGATACCCGTCGTCTTTGTTCGCGCGCGGAGGACGTCGGCCTCATTCGGGATGTAGTCCGGGGCAGCGATGCGGCGAATGTTGGCGAAGAAGTACGTCGCCGAGTCCATGAGGTAGAACTCGGACGAGCGGTCCATGACGACCGGGATCATGGGGTCGTGCCAGAGAGCCTCGATAGCAACAAAGATCTCAGCTGGGATCGGTCCGTTCTCCGTGTCCGCCTTGTACTCCACGATGCGGTCGGCGTGCGTCCAGTTCGTCGGGTCTTCTGGGTCAACACCGATCTTCCTCATCGCCATGACGAGCGCCTGCGCCGAGTCGAGCACGTTCTTGTGGCTGAGTGTTAGCTGGGGAGACTATGTGGTGGGGGCCAGCTTACACAATATTCTTGAACTGCATAAGCTCATCCTGGGTGTAGCCGTTCTGGTGGATGATCTTCATCTGCTTGACAATGGTCGACTTGCCTGACTCTCCGGAGCCTGCGGCGTCAGCTTTCGCCACCTCTGAAACAACTCACCCAGGAGGAGAAGCTTGCACTCCTTCTTAAACTTCTTCGAGTCATCCTCGAGCTGGCGGTCGATCGAGTTACTCTTGTCCCCTGTCTTGTTGCCAGCGCCAGCGGCCTCGGGCGCCTGGGCAAGAGCAGCACTCAATCCCTGGGTAGCGCTGTTGGTACCGTTCGGGCCCGCAGCTGCCGGGGCGACGGCTGCTGTCGTTCCATTGGCGGCAGCAGAGGCATCGGTCGTAGCGGCTCCGGTCTGAGCCTGAGCAGGCGGCGCTGTCGTGGGAGCAGCCGCCGCAGCGGCGACAGGCTTCTTAGGGTCCGACGTGCGGCGGTTCTCGACCTTGGTCGCTTCTGAGGACATGCAACCACCCATGTTGTCGAGAAGGCTTTCGCTGGTGAGAGTGAGAGGATAGAAGTTAGGATGTGAGAAGTAGATGTGCGTGGGCGATGCCAGATGCAATTATAGCCTCGCGACGCCGACCGGAGCGAGATTGCGAGATGGATGCCCGATCGGAGGGCGTTGCTGTATGATTAATCAGACGGGCAACGCAAGTGCCGTTTAGCTTGTTCTAAATGACGTGCACTAGTCGACCGGCGTGCTAGGCAAAATGCGTCACTGCACGGCCGCGGGCACGGGGTCGAGGTATGCTGGGCGCGTCAGTGAAATGCGCGTTGGATGAAGGAGAAGTGGGAGGGAGGATGGAAGGAGTTGACTGGTTGGTTGTGACCAAAGCAGAAATGGCGTCGTGCTCTCGCGACGGAGGGACTGAATGGGCGACTCGGTGACAGACGCGGCGGGTGCGTCCGATCCGATCGATAGCACGAAATCCTCGCAGCTAGCGGCCAGAAGCCGTCCGTGCGTTGAAACGACAGTACCAAAGAAACGGCGTGTGGGCTTGCAGCGGGCGTCGATGCACCTCCCCCAAACGCAGCTGAGCGACTGCAAGCCTCGACAATAAAGGGCGTCTTCTTTACCTTGCCAAGACCGTGGGCACTTCTGTCATCCCCGTTGCGGCGCGCGGCCAGGAATGCGAGATGGGGAAGCGGGATCTTCGCTGCCGGTCGGCCGGCGGGCAGGCAACAGACGCGCGGATTTGGATACTCACAGATGGACGAGATACGAACTCAGCCGTCGGGCTCAGAGCAGGCCGTTCCACGACGAGGAGGACGCTGCTGCTGCTGATATTTTTGCGTGCGCTTGGGGCGCGGAAAGGGAGGTGGTGCAAGGGTGTGTGTGTGGGCGGGTGAAGGTGTGAAAAATAAAGATTGCAGAGGGAGAGTGCCCGTTGGATGAGAGGGTCGACGCCAAGGAGGAATCGATCACTGTTAATCTAAACGCACAGGCGAGGTGCGGGGCTCAGCACAGTGCGCGTCGGCAGATTGAGGCGTGAGTCGAGGGAATGGGGGAATGGCGTGGCGTGGATGAATGTTCCGCTTCCGCAGGCTGTGACGAGTGCAAGTCGTTCGTGACAGGGTGCGATGCGGGCGTGGATGGGACGAGATGGATGGGATGGAATGGATGATGCGACCGTGTCAAGGCAAGGCGGCTGGATGGTGGTGAGGGACGGGTGGATCACGACTTGATTGGTGGCCGGAAGGTCAAATGTGACGGAACGTAACCGGAAGCCACCACGCGCGCCTCGCGCTCCGTGTCGGAGTCGAAGTGGGAGACGGCGGCTGGGGAAAGAGTATGGAACAGCGAAAGGAGCCTGTGCCGATTGCGGGGTGGACAGGCGGTGGTGGTGGACGAAGGTGGTGTAACAGGAAATGAATGTCGGGAGGGGGGGAAGAGGTGATGATGTGATGGTGAGGTGTGGGCGTCCGATGTGGGCTGCAGGGCCGCAAAGGGGAGCGAGGCATGCTGTTGCGGGCTTGGCTTCACAGGCGCTGGGTGCTGGGTGCTGGGTGCTGGGCCGCCGTTGGCCGCAGGCGGAGCTGGGCGCTTGGTGGAGGCCACTTCATGCCCAGGACAATCCGCGTATAGTAATCCGACCTCGCCATTCCTAATGCCCAGAACTGCCTGATCGTAATCTGTCTTGTAATCACCATTAAGCACCGGCCGCTCCCTGCATGCCCTGCACCTCCCTGGGCCAGAGTGGTATCTAACCGAATGGCGAGATCCATCAGCAGGGGAAGGCATGGTCGCGAATGCCAGTGCGTCCGCCAGTGCACGCCGCACCAGTGCGTTCATATGCATGCTCGGTCCTGGGCTCGGCATCCTCGGCCCCTAGTCCGCATGCAGCTATGTCCAGCAAGCCTCGATCGTCCGGCTTCCGGCAGTCCGGTAGTCGCCGAGCCAGCCTTCACTTCGATTGCATGCCTCGCGGCCAAGTCCGCTAACGATTGATGGCGGGTTGCTCATCGTGGATCGTCACTAGCGCGTGCCACCAGGTGCCGAGAACACCTCCGAACGCCGCTGACGCTCGCCGTTGGCCGCCAAGTCACTGGAAGCCAACACGGGTGTGCAGGACTAGCGGGTGGCGAAGAAGGGTGGGAAACTGTGCAGCTAGCGAGTGGCAGGAAAAGCAAAGGCAACTGTGCAGCAAAGATAGCGAGACTAGTACACAACAGATACATAGGGAGTCAATCCCAAGCTAAGCTATAGAGGCTGAAAGACCAGGCCAGTGGTGCGAGTGCACTTCGAGCACACGGGACGAGTCAATCGTCTTTTGGGGTGAGCCGCGGAAGGAGTCACGGACCCGCGACCGTCGAGCTCGTTTGATGTGTTTTGTATGTAATGAATGTGTGAACAGTTGAACTGTTGATGCAGTGTTGTTATAATGCCGAGAGTGAAACCGTTTAATGGAAACAAACGAGTGTGAGAGAGAGAGACAACCGAGACGAGAGAGAAGACCGGAAGTAGGTATGGATACAACGCCAGCGAGGATCGGGTTTGAGAAACGAAAGAATGCGGTTGACTAGGCCGGTAGTCGAGGACCGCCGAGGCCGTCCATCAAGGATGGCGCGAGCTCCATCAAGAAGCCTGAATTGAACTATCCGTCTAGGACAGATGCCGGACCGATGTACCGATGTCCATCAAGGAGATCGAAAGCAGCAAGCGAAGCGTTGGAGTCGCTTACTGGCAGGTGACCATACCGTTGTCCTTGACCTCGCAGTAGTTCTCGCAAGTGGAGACGCACTCCCAGTCAAGGAGGTCGTTGGTGATGTAGTTGCAGACCTGGAGGTCCTTGCCGTCACACGACCACTTGCCGTACTGGCACTGGGCCTCAGAGCCGGAGGTGGGAGCAACCTGGTCGGGCTGGACAGAGGTGGGGATCTCGTCAGGGATGGAGATGGTCGAGGAGACCTGCTCGCTCTTGACCGAGGCGGTGGTGGGCTTAGCCTTGAAGTTGTGGCCCTGGAGCTCGGCAGACTTGACGATGGACGAGACGGCCGAAGGCTCGGGGACACCACCAGTGGAGGACGAGGGAGCGGGGGCCTCAGTAGAGGTGGGGGCGGGGGCCTGGGTCGAGGAAGGAGCAGGCGCCTCGGAAGACTTGGGGGGCTCGGGGGCGCTGCCAGAGTCACCACCCCAGGGGGAGTTGTCGAGGATCTCGACGCGGAGGCCCTCGGGGTTGTTGCCACACTTGCGGTCAGGCGAGGCGGCGATGAAGGCCTTGGCGGAAAGGTCGATGATACCCTGGGTCATGCAGGCGGCGCAACCGTCGTAGAGGACGAGGGGTCCGTCGTCAATGGTGACCTCGGAGCCGTCAGGGCGGTAGACCTTGACCTCCTTGCCGCACCAGTCGGGGTGAGCGACCATCATGTTGTGGTCCATGGCGACGATCTGGTTCGAGTTGATCTGCTTAAGGGAACCCTTCTTAAGGTTCTGGCACATGGGGATACCGTCGTTAATGCCCGAGGTGACGGCCCAGTCGGCAGGGAAGGGGCCACCGTTCTGCTGGCCACACTGGTCGCCAGAAGCGACGTCATAGTAGACAGTGGCGCGCATGTTGTCCTGGGAGAAGAGGACGTTTCCGCCGGCGGAGACGGCCGCGAGGGACGCGAGGGTCGTGAAGAGCATGGAGAGGGCGTACATTGTGATTTTGTTGGTACTGTGGAGGTGTGGTGGTGGTAGCTGATAGACGCGTCAAGCGATGAAGTTGGGCGAAAGAGTGGAAGTTGGTAGCGAGTGCTGGTGCAGAAGTGCAGTCGTGGATGGGAGCTTGCTTCAAGCAAGAGTCGTTCAGTCGATGAGCGATAGAGGGAACGTTGATGTCTGGGAAGAAAGGACGGACTAGACGTAGCGCGATCTTTATAGGGAAGTGGTCGGACCGGACGTAGGGTGGTAGTGGGTCGCTAACGGGTTGTGTTGCGGGCGACCGGAAACTTTGGGCAGTCATGTGTTCAGGTGTCGCGCGTTGGAACAGGACTCGCAAGGCGGGGGAGCAGAGGAGGAAGGGGGGGCCAGCGGGGGAGGAGGCGAGGGTGCAGAGAGAACGAGGTGCACACGGTGCGGCAGCGCGGCCGGTGTGGTGCGGCATGGGCACGGCATGCGCTGCGGATTAATTTCAGCACCGGCCCACGGCCATCAACGGCTCAGGCGGATCAGCGCCATCCAGGTACCAGACAGAAGGAGGGAGCGACGCGCAGTTTGGCACGAGCACTCGAGCGCTTGAGCGCGGGCATACGGGCACAAACGGGCAGCGGGGCCGAGCGCCAACACCTACCTCAGCGCATCAATGTGCTTCTGCCAGAAAAAGCGACGTGAGCAGTGGGTGAAGGACGGCGAACGGCCAGGGACCGGGCCATACGGCATTCATGCACGATAGCGTCAGCCGGCCCAGTGGGCCAGCCGGTCACTGATTTTAGACTATGTCAGGAACCAGGGTACCTGTCGGAGTCTCATCTGCGGTGCTCGGCACTTACGCGTCAACGGCGAGATAATCTCTGGCAAACCCCCTTTTTCCAGCAGATCATGCAGTGCCCTAGTCCCCTGGGCGTTCAGCACCACCCCCTTGGCGCATGGCGGTCTGCGCTCCTCGCTGCCAGGCGATGGATGTCTGGGTGACTGTGTCGGGTGTCTGGGTGTCCTGGAATGCGATGCGAGCGTTGCCGTAGCGTGCGTCTCAGTGATGCACCCCAGGACTAGGCGACGCCTCACATCTTCCAGTGCCCGTGGCGTTGTGCACCAGAGGCTGGGGACCTGGGGGGCCAGAGGGTGCGTGGATCAGTCAGCTCATTAGCCTGAGCGTCAGGCAACGGTAAGGCAGAGCGCTAAGGTCCGAAGCTTGCGCCAGTGCTGAGCATGCATGCGCTAGCGCCCGAAATGCACCCTAAGGACGCCTGGGCCTTCGAGGAGCTTCTTGCAGGAGTCCTCAGGGACCAAGCTCCAGCAAACGTCGATGGAGAGTGATGGAACACCGCTGCGATGCCTGGCGGTCAGTGATGAGCAACGATGCCCAGCCTGGGCACCCCAAAAATTTCCAGATGCGGCGCAAACGCTGCACCTCCCAGGGATCATCCAGGCACCAACGCCAGGGCACCCGGTAGGGCACCAGGGTCGTCCCAGGACCGGGCATGAACAAGGGCCTTAATCTTAAATCTCCACTTATCCATTATCTAGGGTTGACCCCCCCGCCATGACTTCGCGGCCGTTCGCGGTCTGGACATTTGGAGCGGCTTTGGAGCTTCGAAAGAGGGTTGTTATGCATTGTTGACATCCGCAAAAGTGTTTGGTTCGCGTCTGGCGAGAGGGCACCGCTCCACTCGTCGCTAAACCACCTGTCAGAAGAGGCGAAGACGCCGACCGGCGAGCTCGTCTCGCCATCGATGCATCAGTAGCCGGTACAGTGCCACGAATATCCGGCGCCTTCCATTATCACGGCATGGAGGCGTCGGCTGCCAGTTATTTCGGTCCAGAGGTATTCATTTCTGTAGCGGAAGGTAATGGCTGGCAAATGCCTGGCTTACCTGGCCCACCGGATGGTGAGTTTGGCTGGATGCATGCAATTGACTGGCGGTGTAACGCTGTTCTGCTCGCTGTATGCTGCGCCCGGGTGGTCAGGCGGTCAGCAGGTGCCGAGTAGCATGCGGACATGGCCAGGTAGCCCGCGTCAGTACAAACGGCGGTGAGTGACTCAGCGGCACACCAGGCAGGTCAGTAACTGGCACGGCCGAATCAAGCATGAGGGCGACTAACACATGCACGGCGCTGAACGCGTCCGGAGAGCTCGGTGACGTCGCAGCAGGCCAAGAAGACACCCGATCTACGCGTGGGGGAGCCGTTGGCCGAGGATGCTTGGCCGTGCTGCGCACTGTGCTGGGTGTGCGGTGCGCGTCCGTGGGTGCCTCCCGGCAGCACGTACGGCAGATCCATTCAGAGCGCGATTAGTAACCCGCAAGCGTGTCGGTGCGTGCGTACGCAGAATGCGGGCGAGCATCCTCGCGTGCAGAGATTCGGCACATTCAGCACTCGGCAGGGTTATTCAAAGGCACAGTGGAGATACGAGGGTCGATTAGTATTCGTTATGGCTGTATGCGCGCGAGTTGCACGAGACTTGCGTAAATTCCTAATGCACTGAAAGCTTTTCACTTCCGGGCCATTCTGCAATGCGCCGGGGTCGGATTACAGCATCAATAATCGAGCTTAGTCGGCCAGTTGCAGCGCCAGATCGCCGTCCTTTGAACATGACGTTTTCGGGGTCGCGACTCACCTTTGCATGCTAGACATTCCAGAGACAGACACCGGGAATCAACTGGAACTGCTTCCGTTCGGCCGTACCGTAGTGCGCGCCATGCCGTCAGTGACTTTGCTCCTCAACGCACACAAGATGCACGCGAGACGGCGCTTACGGCGCTCACGGAAGCGAACTGGCACCCAGCACGCAGCTCAGGACCGAGAGCGCCATAAGGGCCCAAACCACGCGAGGGTTGAATCGCGGAGATGATCTTCCGAAACTCTGAATGGTCTGGACCTGTGCTCGATTCTACCGCTGCTTATTGTTTGTGGAGCGGTGGAGGACGCCGAATCCGGCGCGAAGGAGGTGCGAGATCGGTTGGGCCGATGGGCGAGGAGGAATCCAAGGCCCCTCTTAGCAGATTGAGGCGCTCAGGTGCTCACGAGGCGCTGCGGCGCCGAGGCGTGCTCCCAGATGTGAATGAAAACCGAGTGTCCGGCCAACAGCATCGCAGCGTCATCGCTGTCTCACCTGCTCTCACCGCTCTGAGTCGGCCGTGATCAGCTGAAGTGCCTCCGTATTCAGAAAAACGAGGCTGCATTCCTCCGTAGCCCGTCATAGGCTGCTTGAAGGTTTTGATGGGAGTTCAGTTTCGAGGGCCGCGACTAACGCTGGGAACGCGAGATAGCGGGAAACCACGGTGGAAGTAGCACCCAACCTTGTCACACAAGGCGAGCGGATATCCTCCTCGCCATGCTGTCCGCCATGACGATATCTGTGGAGTGCGTTTGAATGCCCGGGGTGCCTTCGGTTCCTTGAGTGCCTGCAGAGATGTTTATGCATGTGCCTGGGCCTTGCTTCCATGCCGTGCTCCATCGACGCGAAAGTGAGTACCTGCGTGCGACGCTCGACGGACATTGCGAGAGCGGGCGAGTGGGCACAGGCCGAGATCGCATGCGTCCATGCTAGGCAGTGCTGAGCTGGGCTCGGCTTACATCATGCGATAAGTCGGCGACTAGTTAGCGATGGTCAGGGAGGACCTCAAAAAAGTTAGATTTGGCCCCGCTCACCACCGTCCAGAACCCTCAAGCCCCACTAGAATCGATAGGAGGCCAGGAAGCACCCCATTTCAGAGCTTTCGCATGCTTCGTAATGGGCCTTGAATATGTTGTTTACAGCCATGTTTACACCGATAGCGGTAAGGCGTATTGAGCCAGCGCCAGCAGGCTGTGTTGTTTACACCCGCTGCGGTCTGATTCTGCCGAGAACCCGCCGAAGGACGCATCTGTCGCAGGCGTTAGCGTCAGCGGCGTGAGACGCGCAGCTCGTTGAGAACGTAGAGATCCCAGCCTAGATCATGGCTTGTCCATAGTCGGCGTCGGCAAAACGGGACCGCTGACCTCAGATCGATGAGAAGCGCTGCGGAGGTAGCACGCTCTTGCCCGGCGTGCCCGTTGTCTAAGGTCGGCTAGGGTGGACATGTGGCCCACGCTACCTGCACTGTCTCGCAGTTGTCTCAGCGGTCCCGTTGGCGATCGCCGATGAAGCCGGGAAAGGTGTCGAGGACGCTAAGGATGTCCAGACCACAGGCCCCACGGAGGTAGACCGGTCTTTACCGTCCAGCCAGCTTTCGTTTCGAACGCCGACACAAAGTCTCGCTTGCCCTCACTCACGCCTGTCCCGTGGCGTCCGGGTGTGCGGCTGAGTCGGCGTATTCGTGTCGGACTCGCAGTCGGCTGAGTCGGGCTTTCCGGGGGCATGCTGGCCAAGCAGTCACTGTTCCAGATGGTATGGCCGCAGTGCGACCGCTGTGGCTTGCGGTGGAGGTGCCGACGGGCCGTTGCAGAATCTAGCGGTGATAGTCACGTGCGGCTAGGCGATGGTCGCGAGGACTGCTCATGGGTTCCAGTATCAGATAGCGTGAGATGAGATATCTTGTGCCGAGCTCATGTGCACGCGAAGCTTGAAGCTCTCATCTTGGGGTGGCGCAGTGGGTGCTGGGTGTTCAGACGAGGAGGAAGAGGCGACAGAGAAGGAAGACGGAGGGAAGACAGTGGCAGCCAGTGTTCATTGAGTGGTTCAGGTCTTCCGCGATAATCTGTGGACTCTCAGCCTGAGAGTAACCGATACCTCGGCACTCTGTCGCGTAGATAAGACAAGCATGGACGTGTGAAGCGCATCAGTCCAAGCTTCGTGGGGCCGTAGCACAAGGAACAAGAGGAACCCGGCTCGGAGGCATGACAGACTCGCTAATCGTCTCGGTGTTGCACCGAGACAGGTGGTCGAGCATCGTCAAACAGAGGACTGAAGCGGTACGCGGTCTGTGATGAAGAGGCAAGTGGAGAGCGGGTATCGTTCGTGGGCGGGTGGCGCGTGGTTTACTTCTGGCGAGTGCGGAGCGAGACGTTCGAAGTTGAAAAGGCCGTTTCCACTTCGTCGCCGGCCGAGTGACATGGAACAACAGTCTCACTGGCACTGGATTTGCGTGTTTCACCTGCCTCGTTGCCCGAAACTTGGTTAGTGATCTAGGGTGAGGTGCAGGCGCCTGGCGGGTCGGGAAAAGGTGACCGAACTCACTGCGTGAGCGTCGATAGTAGTTCCTCCCTGTCTGCTGCGGTCAGTGGTCTCATCTGAAGCCGCCCCCCGGGTGTAGGGACTGCCTCCTGTCTATGTCCATGGTTCGCTATCCTCTCGTGTGGGCCATAGCAATTCGAACTCGAGAAATAATTCAGCAACCCGTACATGGCCACATCAAGCGCATGCCGAATGGCAGTTCCGGTAGGAATGAGCGGTCGTGGGGATCGAGAAGTCGTCCTAGTCGTCGTATCCCCGATACCTCTGGCATTTGGCGCTGCACAGCATGGCGTGCGGCGACTGTCAGCGGGGACAAAAATGCCGCGAGGAGCTGTTCTCCAGAGCTGGGGCGAAGGTCATGACAGCGAGGCGATGCCGTCCAGTGTCGAGCTTGACAATTCATCGAGTCGCAAGCTCCAACGGCGCGGACAGCTGAGCTCTCCCTCCCTACTCAAAGGAAACCGCTGCCCGTCCTCCCCACTTCCAACGCTGAATCACGTCGAAGAGTGTCGCCATGAGGATTGGAAAGAGGGGCCGAGGGTGAGCGGTGGCGAGTGGCGAGTGAGGAAGGCCGTCCCCAGAGATCCGCGACCAGTTAGCGAGCCTCGCTTCTGTCGTGAGCAACAGCACTTCGTGTGTGGAGAGAGAAGATGAACTTGCAACCAAAACCAAGACCAGATGTGATGAATCAGCGAGAGACCGAGAGATGGCAAGTAATGTTACGAGTGTCACGATGGCGCATCGGCTGGCGCAGCTGGCGCTGCGTGACGACCTTGATGTGCACCATCGTTTCCGGATCACTGGTCCGGCATGTTGAGTGCCCCTATGTTTCAGATGGCGTCGCGTGACCTCCCTCCCCCCTTCCCCTCTTTGACCCTCCGGTCTGACTGTCCTGTGTTTGTCCAGACGTACACACAGAGAGGCTGAGCGTCGCACAACTGCGTACATCGAGACCGCGCTTCCGATCGGTCTTGCAGAGGACTTAGGGCTGGCGCGGCTTGAGGCGACCTGCTAAGTGTTCATAAACATGCCACGAAGTTGTTATATCGTGGGCTGGTCATGTCAAGTCAGGCCATGACTAGTCATGTCTTGTCGTGCCAATTGATGACCCAGTCATGTCATGTCCGTCATATTCCCCGCGCCTCATGAGATGTGCTGCTGCGCACCGTGGCGCCATGGCGCTGGCGTGACACTCTATCTTCGCACCTCAACCTCCCGAAGCTCCCCACCGGCTCTTCTGCTCGCTGCGACGTGAAGTGGTCACCTAAAACCCCGTGATACTGCATGCTGAGAGAAACGTCTAAGACAGAAAAGTAAGAAAAGAGGAAAGGAGTTACAACCGTTGTTGGTGGTGGGCTAGGCTATGTGGGCCGTTTGGTGCTGTGAAACTGAATCTGTGAATGTAGAGTAGAGGAGACAAGTAAGATGCTTGTGTTTGGCTTGTATTTTGTGTTTTGCGTGCGCATTGCTTGCGTGTCTGCTTGCGTGCGATGGGTCGATGTCGGTCCGACAAGAGCGGGCAAGTGACAACGACAAGGAGAGTAGAGAGGACGAAACAGACGTCTACTTCTTCTTACCCTTTCCCTTCTTGCCCTTGCCCTTCTTCTTCCCGTTACCCTTCTTCCCCGGCGCGGCGCCGTGGAAGAGCGTCTTGTGCACGACCTCGTCTCCCGTCGATCCCGTCGGCGCGCCGGCCTCGATGAGCTCCTCGGCCGTCTCGATCTGGCTCTCGTGGTTCTCCTTCTTCGGCGTAGGCTCCTTGGCCGCCTGCGAGTGCTCCGGCTGCGGCGTCGTTGGGCGGGACGAGTTGACGGATCCCGTATCGGGGCTAGCACCGCGGCGCGGCGTCATGGAAGCGCGCGAGGCAGAGTTGATCGGTAACATCTGGTTGCCGATCTCACGACCAATGTCCTCTATCCTCTTCCGCTGAGCCTCGGTAAGGCCTGAGTCGGACTGCGGCATCGGGGGCGCCGCACCGTAGTTCTCATGCGACGTGATCGAGGCACTGCCGACGCGCCGGTCGGGAGAGATGAGCGGCTCCGTCTCCTGTCCGCGCTGTTATCGGTTAGTTCAAGCCCCTGCGTAAACCATGAGCAATGGTGGTGTACGGCGACAGTGAGTACGTGAGCCAGACCAGGCCATAAGGACACAAGCTTGGGCGAGCAGAAACTGTCGAACAGCGGTCACCGAGCAATGTTGTATGCAGAGCTCGCACGCTAGCAGGGGTGTCGCGCAAACCCGATCGGCGTCTCTGCCGTGCACGGATCGTGCACACCCGCTAACGTGCAGCCCATCCGTAGGGTTCGTCATACGGTCGCCAGGGCAAGGGGGCTGGCGAGGCTGGCGGTGGCAATAACCAAGAAAAGCTGCCCATTGTTGTCCGGGGCAGTTTGGGAGACGGTGGGCGCTGCTGTTGAGCTTGTCTAGCACCCGTGTCGCTGGCGAGAACGAACCGGTAGCCGGCTGTCGGTCGCGAGGAAGGTTGTATTGCCGTGTCTCGTTGCCCAGGCGCCCCTGTGTCCCGGCCTTGTTCTGTCTCTCCAGATCACTCAAATTGAGATCGCCCACTGTCGCCGCCTGAGATCCATGCGAAAGGGGCACTCACCTCGCCATCCTTTCGCCGGGGTCCGCAGCACCAGTCAAAAATGCCCATGATTGCTGCTCAGTCGTGCGATGGTCGTGGAAGGGTGGTAGACAGGGCGGAGTTTGGGTAATGGCTGGCTCGCCGACGTCAGGTTTTCCGGAGCGGTCGAGCTAGTCTTCGGTAGTCGAGGGTATGCGCAGTTTTGTCGTGGGATGCAGGAGCCAAACGAGTGAAGTGGAAGAAAAATATGCGCAGGCCGGAAGTTGGAAAAGAGAAGAGGAGAAAAAGGAGTGGAAAGCAACAAGTGTGAACGGTCAAGAGAAGAATAGGAAAGAGTCAAAGGGCCGAGGCGACACTGGGCTGAATGAAGTAATGTGAACGAGTAGGTACGGACGAGAGGTTCGGTCAGCGCCTGGCACGCCGCCAGCTGCGGTGCGCTACCAGTGCAGCCTGGTGCAAGGGCTATGGCGTCAGGGAGAGGCTCAACGAAAACTCAAAACACATGTCAACTGAGCGACGGCCAGGCACCGAGCCTTAGGAATGAGTCGCATGACACGGTCGTCTGGCTGACTTTGGGCTGACTCGAATCCCATTTAGCATTCAGGTAAACAAATCCATCCCCAGCCAATTAGGATTCCGCGCCCGCATCCCAGGCACGCCCTTACCGTCCAATAGACAAAGATAAACAAAACCTTCACGTCATGCGACAAGCGACAGCTTTAGAGGAGTCTAATGCCGGCTGACACTCATGTCTGCGATGGTACCGCCGCCGCGATCTTGAAGCCCACCGCCACAGATACTGGCTGCACAACGTTGGAGACATAAAATGATACATGGAGTATGGTATAGCGGTATACAAATGTGGAGACTCGTGGCCGCGACCTCAGCCGGGGTGCGGCGCTATTATCTTTTGTCGTTACAAAAGACCAAAAAATGATGAAAAATTCTAGCGTGCTAGGTGCGAAAATAATGCAGTTGAATGACGATGGTGGGGCACGGACGAGGCTGCCTGAGCGACGTCCGGGCTCACCGGGAAGCCCAGGGGGGCTAGCGGCTTACTCGTAGCCCATGGCGCGGCGGCCGGCGACCGAGTCGATCTCGCCCTGGCTGCCGGGCTCCTCGACGGGGCAGGCCTCGCCATCGAGAATAGCGTGAGGAGGAGGGAGACCGGCCTCGAACGCGGTGCGCTGGAGCGTGACGAAGGCCTTGTTGCCCTCGCCGGCGGGGAGCGGGTGGATCGGAAGAAGAAGTCCGTTGGCGTTGGCGGCGCGGAGACCGAGACCGGCGTGCGAGACGAGGATGTCTCCCGGGTTCAGCTTGATGTGCGCGGGCTTGAGGTGGACCGGCTCGGCGGAGGCGTCGGCCTTGCCGCTGAAGGTCCAGTTTTCCTTGGCGAGGTAGTCCTCGCCGTGGTAGAAGGAGATGCGGCTAGCCTTGGGGGTGAAGTAGGGGCGGAGGAGGGTGTAGAGGGCAGCGTGGGCGGAGGTGGGGGCAGCGAGGTCGGTCGTGTTGAAGGCGAGGTGCGCGTGCAGAGGCATGTAGGTGCCCTCGGCCGGCTGCTCAGCCCACACCTTGTCGCCAGTCCACTGCGCCTCAGAAGGGTGGTGCGAGACAGTGTCGACTCGGATGTAGGCGGGAGTCGCACCAAGGACCTTCTCAAGAACGGCACCAGTCGCGCTGAGAACCGAGGGGTCGGAGCGGGCAGCGATCAGGCTCGAGTGGTAGAAGGTGGGGTGAACTCCCTGGGCGGCGTACTCGGTGGCCCATCCCTCCGCGACAGCGTCCTGGAGGACGTCGCGAATCACAACGCTGCCCGAAGCCTTGATAGCATTGACATCGGCACTTGCAAGCTTGCGGAACTGAATCTCCGGGATCGCGGACTGGTAAGAAGTCAGCGGGGATGTCACCGGGAAATCGACATTGGAAACTTGGTCATTGGAAACGCGACGCGGAATGTATGGAATGGAGCTCGGCGAGTGGGTATATCCCTATCAATCTTCCGGAGCTAAGCCGAGTGGACGCAGAATGGACCGGGTGGACAGGTGCACTCAGGGTCCATGTCGCTGATTGATTTCGGCTCGATCGGCTACTGAGAGGCCAGGTGCGAGTGCCAAGTGTATTTCCAACCCGAAATCAGGATGAAAAATCGCAGGCAGAGCTGTAAAACAAGCTCCATCGCTCTGCGATACCCGAGGGCGCGGATCCCAGATAGGAGAACAAGAACAGCCAGCAGGTGGGAGAGGCGCCGCCACTGGCATGCAAACTTTGCGAAGCTGCCACCGCGTCTCACTCCACCGGCCATCGCCGTCACCATCACTGGTTTCGGCGCCCGGTCTAGTCACCACCACCATCGCCGCAGATGTCCCACTTCATGCACGCGTTTCCAAAAGACACAAGAATGCAAGTACTCACCTGAGCCTCGAGGGCGTCGAGCGCAGCGTCCCACGTCTTGATCGCCCACTCCTGACCAGCCGGGGTCGCGACGACAGTCTCAATCCACTCGGCAGGGGACGGCTTGACCTCCTTCTGGACAGTGGGGATGGTGAACGAGTACGAAGCACGGATGCGGTCGGTCTCCTGAGCGGGGACGGCGTGCGCGTACGGCGGGGCGAGCGGGGAGCGCATCTGGTGGTGGTACGGGGGAGCGAGAGGGGCGCGGGCAGTGGTGGCGGTGGTGAGGCGGCGCTGGTAGGAGCGGGCTGCCACACGGGCAACGAGGGAGGCGCGCATTGCAGAAATGTAGTTGTGGGTGAGTTGCTGAAGTGAGTGAGTTGAGTAGTGTGTCGAAGCAAGCTATGCGGAACAGGGGACGAGGCCGGGTTGGGGGGGGAAGAAGGTGGCTCACGAGAAGACTTTATAGAACCGGGGTGTTGGTTATGCGAGGTTTGCGAGGTGTGCGAGTGCCGGGGATGGTCGCCTGGGTCCGGCGCCCTCACCCCGGGGCGGGGCGGTCATGTACGCTTAGTGAGCAGGCGAGGTCGCCCACTCGAAGGCAGGGTTCGAGTTCCACTACCGGCGGCAAGTCGTCAAACTGCTGGGTGTGCTGGGCGTGCTGGGCACGCCAGCGAGAAAGTTTGGGCTGGTCGGTGTCGGGGTGGTTCGGTTACGCCACCGCGAAATTCGAAAACAAGGCATGCAGCAGCAGATAATCAGGACTCCCAAAGCCACCCTCGCCGTCGTCCATACGCCGACGTCTTTCTTATCTACGGCTCTGGCACAGGATGCGATCTGATTGGCTGGCAGTCTCGAGACGACTGTACCTGACTCACCGGTGGGTGAGCGTGCATCGCGGAGGGCGCCGGGAGGGGACTCTGCGTGGAGCCAATGATAAAGTGCGAATCCACCCGAAGCTACCGAGGATTAGGAACTGCCCCGCGGGGACAGTGTGCGGCAAATGTCAAACGCTGGGCAGACTACGATGCGCGGTCCCTGACACAGAGAACCCCCTGTGATCACCCATAACTCGCCTATTCGCTCGACTACCTCGTCACATCAACCAAAATTATCGAATATCCCTCACAGAATCTGACCTTTTTCCCAAGCCACAGAGCCTTCCTTCTTGCACCTCCCCCACGCTGATGCAGCCAACGCGTTAACACCCCGCACTCGGACTCGGCCTCATGCGATGCATCTCTCTGATACGATTGCTTACGACAGCGACTCAGGTTCCTGCAGTCCCCGCACTCCGCGGCCGTGCCCATGTGTTTGTTTTGTATCGTCAGGAAAAAATCTTGCATCGTCACCCGCCTGCCGAGGCACCTAGGCTCGCGTGATGCAGCCACAACGTCTCATCATCGCTATGAGCTCATCGCACCGGCTATTGCCTTTAGGCTAACTGCGAACCTGTCGAGTTTGCGGAGGGGAGTTGTTCCTCGAATGCAAGAGTTCTTCCAACATGTGGAACACATCACGTGATGCGGCTTGGCATGCCAGACACTCTGTTTCATGTAGCGCGGAGGGGACGCCGCGCCAATGCAGTGTCCGGGCACCGCGTCTGCACCGCGTGCAACCGCGCGCTCACCGCTCGGACGACGTTTAAGGTGCAAGGGACCGAGCAACGATCCCGCCTTCCATCACAAGCGACCGCGATGCATTTTGCAGCACTGCACCATCCACCATGCCCCCGCTGACGCTGACACCGCTCCTCCTCCTCGTCCTCGCCTGGGGAGTCGCAGCCTCCGAGGTCCTGTACAGTTTCGCAAACCTCAGCGCGACGTAGTGAGTAACGCTCTCTCATTCTCTTCTGACACCGCTCCGTCTCTTGAAGGTTGCGCGATCGGCTCGGCCGTGCCTTGACCGGCTCGCCTATAACCATAACCTGTGTCGTTCGGAGAGATTTGGGTTTTACGATGCGATTAACGATTTAATCGACACATGTGTCGAAAAGGCAGAAGAACTGGGGTCCTCGCTTGCCCCGTGTGTCCGCTGTGGGGCTGTCTGCCGGATGGGGAGACCCCACGCCGAGGCCACGACCTTGATCAAACGTGTGTCGATCGGTGCATGCATGCCGGGTACACCGGACCGAGGGCGGCGGCGTGGGCCTCTCCGCCGCGGAGTCTGCGGAGGGGTCAGGCGGGCGAGCACCGTCGCCGTCGACGGCCTGCGATCAATGAGCGGGCCTACTCCGAGCAGAGCGGTGCCTCCTCCGCCATCACCACCCGGACTGCTCCGTCATCAATCTCGTCGGAGCAATCCTTCGAGACGACCTTTGTCCTCGCCGCGCCGACGCACGCTCCACCGCATGCACATCTGCTGCTGTCCCCCTTCCACCCCCTTACCTCCCCCTGTCTCCCCAGTCCCCCAAAGGAACTCCGCCGGGACCACAGGACTGATGCCAGCTACTACGACTACGAGCGGTGGACGCACATCCAATGCGCCAAGTACAGCGGCGGGCCGCGGTGGTCCGACGCAACCTCAGCAGCACACACGGCCTGCGGCGCGAGTGCGGACGAATTGCGCTCCGACGCCATCGTCGCGCTCAACGTGACGTGGATGAATATGCGCGGGGTGGGATTTAGAGCTGAGCAGCTGTGTGGACGCGAGTGAGTTTATCTTATCAGCCCCGGTCGTGTCGGCGTGGCGTTGTCGGTGTGGCGTAGGCTTCGGTGAAGCCTCATTCCTCGGCGCCGTCGAGACTTCAGGCCCCCGGCTCCGCGCCTCCGCGTCTCCTCGCCTCAGCGACGGCTGTGAAGGCAGAAGCGGAAAACCGGAAGAGGAAGCTGAGAGAGTTAGAGAGAGTCAGCTGACAAACCCAGAGTGCAGCTCTTCTCCGATGGCAAGCGCGTTCCGACGAAACAAACGCTGTTTCTCTGGGACGCGTGCCAGGCGTGCGCGTCGCAGCAGCGCGTCGATCTCTCCGTCGACGCATACACGCAGGTGACGGGGGATACGGAGTGTGAGCGGGGCCACGTGGGGCCGTTCGAGGTGCGGGTCATGGACAACTTTGTCCGGCGCTCAGGGGCTGCGGCACTCCGGCCTGCGTTTGGAGTGCTGGTGGCGGCGGGGGCGCTGGCCATGGTCGTGTAATGGGTTGAAGGGAGTCTTGGGTTCTTGGTCGTAGGAGGTGGTTTGAGTTTGCATGGTAGAAGCAACATTACGGTCATTATAATTCACAGTAGCATTGGAATGTATGGGTTGTACAACGTGGGCACAGGAAGCTGTCAAGATGGCACAGCGTGTTTTATTCGTAAAGTAGACGTGAAGATGGGAACGTGAAAGATGGACTTCGTGAACGAATGGGACAGCTTACTTCCTCCTGAACAAACCCAGGAGACCGCCGCGCTTCTCCCTCTGGTGTCCCTCCGACCTAACGACGTAATGCACAGGCCGCTCGGGACCGGGATGGTGCTCGCTGATCCGCGCATTGCGCGGCATGGTCTGGAACTTTGTCGATGTGCTGCTGACGAGTCCCTTGGCCTTGTCCCTCAAGCTCAGCAGACTGGTCGGCTTGCGCACCCCGCCGCCTCCTTGGTCCGGGTTGAAGTCCTCCCGCACGCCCTCAAGCGTCGGGGCGTAGCGCTCGTGCCTGCGCTCGAGCAGGCCGGCAGTCAGCGCCGCGCTCGTGTTCTCGGACAGGTTGAGCAGGTTCGGGTCTGAGTTGCGCGTCGCGAGCGTGGGGGTTGGGACCCATTCTGGATGTCAGCTTCTTCCCCAACGTAGGCAGCTCACTGTGATCACGTTCACGCTCACGGTCGCGGAGGTCGGGACGGCGGCGGAATAACTGGCTGACCGTAGGCCGTGGCCGGGACTTGGGCACGAAGAAGCTCTCCTCCCGCTTGATCGGACTACTTGGCGCGCGCCTCGGCGTGGGCGCGTAGGCGGCGCGCGTGCTCGCGTCGGCGAGGGAGAGGGAGAGACTGGCCAATCGCACGGACGAGCTGCGCTGCGGCAGCGCCGTGCGCTGCTTCGGCGTCGGCGTCACGGCCACGCTGGCGGGGCGCGCGAACGTCGCGGCGGCGAAGACGCCCAGGTCCTCTGGGATAGAGAAGGCTGGGGTCGGCAGGCCGGCGACCTCGGCTTGGCGCGCGGCCTCGACGTAGACTGGGGTCAGCTCAGAGTTACGTAGCAATGAGCATTGTAGACTTACGCTTGCAGTACGTCGCGAGGCGGTCTAAGCCCTCGAGACCGGCTGTGTCGCAAACGACCGTGGGGGCCGTGCTCTCCTTCCTCTTCCTCGCCGGGCTGGCACTGGCGGGGAGAAACATCGACAACAGGTGCGGTCGTGAACGGCGCCTGGTCCAGGTTGAACGGCTTCAGCGGCTTGACCGGCTCGAAGGAACGGGGGAAGTCGACGCTGGGCTCGGGCCAGGTCGAGTCGAAGGGGTACTGCGATCCCTCGAGAGAGCGGAGCGCATCGAGGTGTGCATCTTGTGCGCTCGAGTGCGCCGAGACGGGTTTGATCGACGGCCCGTCGAAGATACCCCCGCGCGCTATTGTCGTGTGCGAGCGGCGAAGGGTGCGCTCGACTGGGGCGGCGCGGGAGGGGAGAGTGGCGAAGTGGCTCTGCGGCGCTGGGGAGAAGTCGCGCAGCGCCTGGGCCGAGCGAGGGCGAGCTTGTGGCTGCGCCTTGGTCGGTGTGAAGTCATACAGAGCCTGAGCGGAGCGGGGACGGGCCTGGGGTTGAGGCTGAAGCTGCGAGAAGTCGAGAGCGCGGAAAGCGTGTGCGGAGTGCGGACGGCCGAAAGGCGATGGAGGGAGGTTGGCCGCTTCGCCACCAGGTGCACGGACTGATGTCAGCTAAGTGCTACGGGAGGCGGAGCTGAGGCACGTACTGGATTGGAACTTGGACACGGCGCGGAGCGCTGAGGTCAGTTCGGGAGCTACATACGGCCAACTCACGCCGCGTGTCCTTTGGCGGTGTGTCTTCTTTCTTGCGCTGGAGCGAGTTGACGCTCTTGGCGGGCCGGAGAACGTTGTCCTCGGCGGGGCGGCCCTTTCGCGTGCTCTTCAGTTCCTTGCGGCGCTTCTCGCTCTTCTCGCGCTGCATCTGCTCGCGCTCGCTGCGTTCGCGTTCGTGGCGTTCGGCACGCTCACGTTCGCGCTCGCGCTCGCGATCGCTCTGCTCGACCGTAGCCTTGCGCACGAATGTGGGCGTGTCCATCGCCGGCGCCGGGGTCAACTTCCACAGGGCATGGTACGCCTCGTCAGCCATGATGCGGCGTGTTGGATCGGGGCAGATCATGGCGCGGAGCAGGTCGCAGTACACTGGGGTTAGTTACGCAAGGGAAATCGCAACTCACCAGACGGGATGCTGTACTCGCCCCACCAGCGGCCCCGCGTCGCGCGGCGCTGGTACTCCTCCGCCCTCTCCTGGTCGGCGAAGTCTTCCTGCTCGTGCTCCTCGAACGGCGTGCGGCCGACGAGGATCTCGTACATCGACACCTGTGGTCAGCTTCTCTATGAGACGGGCAGCTCACTCCTAACGCCCACACATCGCTCTTGCGCTCGTCGTGCGGCAGGCCGCGTGTTCGCTGCGGGTCGAGGTACTGATGTCAGCTTCCAACGTCCTTGGGAAGCTCACCTCGAGCGTGCCCAGGTTCTCCTCGGAGAGGAAGGCCCCGCGCTGACGGGTCGAGTACATGTTCGCGAACCCAAAGTCAATGAGGACAGCGACGTTGCGGTTCGAGATAACCACGTTTTGCGGCTTGATGTCGTTGTGCGTAATACCGCGCTCGTGGAGGTACGCGACCGCAGAAGTGAGCTGGAGGAAGTGGACGTGTGCGCTCTCTGGAGCTTGCTTCAGCGGCATCTGGCCGGGAAGGTAGGGCATGACGACACTGGAAGTTAGCTCGAGCAACAGTTCTGTGAAGCTTACACGGCAGAAGTCTGGGTGAGGATGAAAGCGTCGAACTGGATGATGCTCGGGTGAGGCTCGTACAGCAGCCGCTTCATAATCTTCATCTCGCCCCAGAGGGCACGCACACGGCTGAGGGCGGCCTGGCGTCAGCTACACCACTGCAAAGCCCTAAGCTGATGTGAACTCACCCCGTCCTCCGACTGTCGATCAACAACTTTCATCGCCACACAGCCGGGCACGCCCCCGTCAAAGGTGGCTGCGATCTGGCCGAGCGTGCCACCCGCCTTGCGGCGAAGACCAGCGATGAAGACGCGGCCCCAGTTACCCGCCGCAATGGGCTCGGCGCGGACACGGAACGTGGAGTGCAGCTTCTCGTCGCTCATCGAGAGCACGGGTAGGTCCTGCCGGCTAGCCAGGTCCTTCATGTTTGCTGAGCGGGGCAGGATCGGCGCGCCCGTCACTGCTGAGCAGAGGGTGGTCGAGCCAGAGTATCCCGACGTCGCGCTTGCGAAGGGGTCCTGCGTCCCGTCGTCTGAGCCGTCCAGGTCCGAGTTGTACGACATGGTGCGCAGACGCGGGGCGCTGTACTCGTCTGGCGAGGAGCCGAAGTCGCCCGCCCGCGTTGCGTACTCGTCATCCGTGGGCAGGGTGCTGTCGGCGGAAGAGACGGTCATGTCCGCGTACAGCTGCTTGCTGTCTGCCGTGCTGTCGAGGGCGTGGTACGAGCGCGACTGCGAATGCGAGTGAGGGTGAGAGTTGTCATTCGCATAAGCATGGCCGTTAGACTTTTGCTGTTGTTTGCGCGACGACACCTGCGTTTGCTGCTGCGTGACACTGACGCCCAGTGGCGTCCGAGACCTCGCCGGCGCTAGCCGCTGGGTGGCCGATGGCTGCGTTGGCTTGCCCATGTCGTAGCCGTCGTGGGTACCGATGGTGCCGTGGCGCGGTGGAGACCTGGAGCAGGAAGGGCAGGAGCGGTCTGCCGTAAAGTTCGGCGGCGTGACGAGTGAAGAGGGAGAGGGTGAGTTGGGAGAGTGGAGAAGAGGGTGTTGGCGAAACGACGCTTGCGGCTGGAACGTATCGTGCGAGTTGGAGTAGGAGTAAGAATGGAAGGAGTAGTGCGGGTTGAAAGAGGAGGGGGGAGGGGGAGGGGGGATGTGGTAGAGCGACGAGCGGTGGTCGCTGTAGGCAGCGGTCGAGGCCATGGCCATGTTTGTGTTTGTTGACGAACAGAGGTGTTTGGTCCTTTCGATTGGTCTCAGGCGCAGAGATGGGGGGCGCAGTGGTCTGAGAGCTGCGTGCGTGTGAGGGCGTGCTGTGCGCTGATGCTGATGCGCATCGATGAGCAGGCAACTGATTGCTTGATGAACAAGGGGGGGCGCAGTGCGCGCTGCGCCTGATCCGCTCTTCCTTTATGGATCAAGGGTGGACAGTGTCAGAACGCGCCCATCGACCCAAGCTTGAATCGCTCGGGTCCAGGCAGTCTGGTGAACAAGCTCAAAAGTAAAGCAGGCGCGCCTGGCACCTAGTGAGCAAGCGAAAAGTGCGGGCACGGCACGCGGTTCAGGCTCACGCTCATTCTTTTGCTCACGCTCAGACTGCGTACGCGGGCGGCTGTGCGCATGTTCTCTGCCGGCTCTACCTGCTCTGCTTACTCTGCACTCATACGCATGACGGTCTGTGCGTTCAGTACAGGGCCGGTTCGGTCAGAAATCAGGAAATTCGTCAGCCGGCCTGTGGGCCGGTGGCCCGATGGCCTGTTCGCTCAACCTAACTTTACCCTGCGTTACACCCTCTGTCACCATCGACCCCTGTGGTCAGTGCCTCTCCAAATTGTCATGCAAGTACGCTATCCACCGCCAAATATTCACCTCGTGCGGCATACATGGCTCAGCGCAGCAGGACACTAGCTTTAAGGCTGCCGCCGATCTGTCACGGTGGTCGAATAGTTGGCCGCATGGTCGCGCCCGTTGCCCTGCAGCGCGGCCCAGTCATCGCCCATCGGGTCGGATTCTCTGATTGAGATCGCTGGCAGGAGGATCGATAGATCGGCATATTTTCCAATCAATATCAGTTTGATGTGCCACCGCTTTTCCATGTGACGACGTTCGCCCCCGACCATGTGGCTTTGTCCCTTATTGCCAGTGAGCGCACGGCGCTTGGGGATAGTGGGGAGGCTCGCAATCTGCATGGTGGATGGCTGAAGACCAATGATGAACAGTGATCCTGGCTGATGGGCTGTCCCCTCACTGACCGTTTGTCGCTGATGTTGATGCACACACTATCCCCAGCGCTTTGGCGTCTGCGGCCGTGTTTGGGTGTCTGGCTCAAATCAAATATCCCGGCGTACATCTCAATAAACATGACCCGTGCGGTGTACGCGACACCGATCCTTCCGTCTCCCCCGTGGCGCCCTGTATCCACACGGTCACGGCTCGCGGCCTTTGTTGGGGGAGTGGAGCTGGACCATCCGACCGTCGAACACCTTACTTCTGCGCTAAGGCCTGTGTGATTCACTGTGATGTGGGTGATTGGGTAGTGATCCGCGGCGCACTTAGTGGTGTCGGTGCCTTGGGCGTCGCGGACCCGGACAGCGTCGACTCGTACCCGGTTGGCGACCGTGGCGGGACGGGGTAAGCCACCTTCTTGCGCGCAGTGTGCTGTGCCGGGTTCTTCGAGCTGTAGTCGCAGTGCACGTACGCTCGAAGCACACCGCCGAGGCTGCGCCGTCGTCAGCGTGTTGCATGCGGGAGCGGATCGATTATGACTCACTTTTCCAGCATGCACTGGATCGTCTCTCCTACGTCATGCGCAAAGTGCAGCGACGTGTTGTGCGGGAGGATCACGTCGACCTCGATCGTCAGGTCGTCGCCAATGTGGTAGCACTCGACATCAGAGATTTCGAGCACGGGGTTGAACCGTGTGACGAGGTAGAGAATGCGCGCGTACTGATCGGGCGAGGCGGTACGTCCAGACACTGAGCCGTCAGGGAGGTGAACGTTTGGGTCACTCACGATTCCTGAAGTTCTCCAGCAGCGTCTTGATCCACTCAAAGATAATATACAGCGAGAGCAGCATACCACCGATCGGGTCAAGGTAAGGGCTTCCAATCTTCTGACCGATCCACTGAAAGAGTCAGCACCCAGCCACTTCCTGAGACGTACGGGGAAGGACAGGGACACGACGTTTAGCCAAACATCGTTTTCGGCGTCCTGAGCCAGCGCTTGGACGCCTGACGACGGAATGCGCGAACACCAGGCCCAGAGCACAGACTTGACACCAATGGTAGCAAGCATGGTGGCGATTCCGATGTTGCTGAGGTCCGCCGGCTCTCCGTGGCCCGTCCGGATGACATTGATTGTCCGTTGCAGCGCCTCAATAAACACCTGCACGAACGACGCAATCATCACGACGGAGAAAATGAGCACACCTAACGGCTCGAAACGCCTCTTGCCGGCGGGATACTTGTGCCTATCCGTCGGGATGCCGATCGCCCATGACGTGCCCAAGATGATGAAGGTTGAGAGCAGATCGAGCGCCGAGTCAACCAGCGACGCCACGAGCGAGATGGAGGAAGAGTAGTAGACCGCCACGACCTTGGCCGCCACAAGCAAGGCATTAACGATTGTGTTCACTGATAGTCAGCTTTGAGTGGTCAACGTCAGCTCACCATTCAGAGCCAGGGAGGCTATCCGTTGTCGCTGCTCTTCCCGTGTGTAGATCAGCGGGGTGTCTTCCCCAGCCTCCTCTCCTGACTCGCCGCCGTTGATGAACGCCCATCGGGAGTGGGACGGGTGCTCGTTCAGGTCGGACATGACCGTGTAGGTACGCTTGTTCGAGCGGAACGAGTCGGCAATGACGCGGATGAGGTCTCCGTTTAGCAGCTCATCAACCTCCTGGTAGTGTCCGTGGATCACATCGAGATTCTCGTAGTACGGCCGGGTCTGAGGTCACGTCAGTGGCGTCGGCCGCAGCAGGCTCACCTTCCGGGGCTGTCGGTTGATCTGACTCTCCGTGAGAGGGACGCCCATGAAGTCGGTGACGCTGCGCTCTTCCGGTGAGATGATACTGGATGTCAGCCACTTGTCTTCCTCGTGTCTTCCTCCGCTGATGTCATCTTTCCAAGACACTCACTCGAGCAGGTGCACATCCGTGCAGCTAAGCCCCCGGCGCAGCCTGTGCCTAGCCAACGACCCGGGATCATTCGCTGTCAGAGGCTCGAGGCCGGACATGGTGACACGGCCGGGCGATCGCGAGCGCTGCCGGATCAGGTGAGGAGGAAGGGTGACCGGCGAGCCAGGCGGCAAGGCGGGGGAGCTGGTGCCGGACCTGGGCTTGGTGTACCCAAGCCCCGCCAAGGACCGACTTGGGCGAGCTCATCGTGACTCTGTGTCGGAGCGGAGTGTCTCTGTTGTTATTGTCGCTGTTGTGATGATGAATGCAGGGCGTCCTTGGTCACCTGGAACTTTTCGACGCCAGTGGTCTTGCCTCGGCGATCATATGGCCCAGCCAGCCCCTGCGGGTCCTGCCCGCTTCAAGCCACAGCCACTCAGCGCGTGTAAATTAGATCCCGTGGCCTGTTCCGGATCGAGGAGACTAACCTCACTGTGTGTAGATGGGCAGATATCAGTGACGTCAATCCACGTGCGAATTATCCGGCCTGTTCGGCACGGCCCCGGCTCTGCCAGTCGCGACTCTTTGTGAAGGACATGAGGGAGCTTCATGCCGCGAAGCCGCGAAGTATCCACCTCCTATGACTTAATCGTATTGCGGGGCTACAGATACGTCGTCGGTTTACGCCGGCGCTGCTGCGATATGGGCATGCAAGGCTCGAACAAGCTCCACGACGCAGTTGATGATGCACGATGCACTTGGCACGTGAGAAACCGGCTCATTCTTGCTTAGCTCAGCCTGAAACGGCTGTTGCCCCAAGATCTATATTCTCCGAGTAGTCGCGCAAGGCGCCGCCTCGTTCAGAGTTAGCTCTGTAACGTCGTGAAAGCGCAGGTGTGACAGTGAGAGAGATATCCGGTATACAGGTGCTAAGTGAGAAGACTGCATCATACGAGCACCACTGATCACGACAAGAGCTGTGCAGCTCAGTGGATCAGCAGGCCGCGGCCAATTGAAGCTGCGTGCTCCGACTGTGCGAGTGCAGTCAGACAAGAGAGAAGGTTGACGACGATCGCCATTGAGGAACGTCCGGTGTGGAGCGCCCAATCAGGGATCGGGCTGAGCCGACGTCGGCGCACAGGAAGTGCCCGGTGGTGCCTTCGGTAAAGGCCGGCTGACGCTGGGACAGCCTAACGAGCGCAGGTTTGACGCCACTCGAGACTGTGAGGATTGCATCGAGACCGTGTCATGCACCACTAAGGCCGACGGGCAGCGCCGCGGCTGCCTCTTGTCTCAGCAGCTAGCAGACGGACACACTAGAACTGTTCCGCAGTAATTCTATGACATCGATACGCAGTGCGAATCCTCATGGATTTGGGAGGACAAACGAGATGGAACGTGACCCCGATTTCGCTTGGTGGTTTAGTGTCATCCATCGCAATGCACGCGTGCACGCGTGCTCTTATCTGTCGTCGCTGATTTGCTCAGTCAAGGCAGACAGCAAGCGAGCGAGGAACGTCGATCCATGGTCCGATGTATTAGCTGCAGCGGTTAGACTGTTAATGGGAGAACGTCGCCATCGGTCGCAGGCCGACTATGAAATTCGTCATTGTCTCATGTCGTGATTAGTACATGACCCCTCACCGGTCCGACGCTCATCTTGCGAGCGAGCCAGGTCATGTACTCCGAATCCCATCTTTATTCGCTTGCACGACGACGCCGGACCATGGCTGCAGTTGACCGTCGCCTTTCCTAATGGCTCCTAATGCACGCACATCTCTGCTCATGCGCTCGGGCCTGGCCGCCTGAGCTTCAAAGGCAGCCACCAGAATAATTTACTTTTTTTCGCGCCGCGGTCCCTCCCCACGGCACCAGCCAGACCGAAGTCCCACCTCCACTTTATCTTACCAATCATCCGGCCCACCCGTCCCTAGTTTTGTAAATATCGTCCCTCACCTGTGGGCTTGCATTTGCCGTTCACTCCAACTCTTCCACCCTCTTCAACATCTTGATCTGCTCTTGCACCAACCTGTTCTGACCCATTGCTTGTCCGACCCTTACACATAACCTCCGACTAGGCTTCGAGCGCCACCATGGGTCTCCTTGCGCTGGGCACTCCCCTCGACTGGCCCGACACCAAGCCCCTCGCCGAGCACATTCGGACGCACGGTATCAAGCAGTTCCTTCACACCTGGCGCCGATGGCAGGACAAGTCAGGCGCCGGCCTCCTCTGGGGCGATGAGATTGAGTACCTTGTCGTCGCCAAGGATGAGGAGAGGCCGGAGGACGCCGTCCGCCTCTCGCTCCGCCAGAGTGAGATTCTCGAGAAGCTTGCCAAGGTGACAATGGATCCCAAGTTGGAAGCGTCGATGCCGAAGAAGTGGTAAGTTGCTTAGCAATACTGGCCGTGCACCGGTAACACACTCGGGCTAATGTTTCAGTGACGCCATCCCCACGTTCCACCCGGAGTACGGACGCTTCATGATCGAGTCTACCCCGGGCGCCCCGTACACTGGGTCGCTCTCTGACCTCGTCCGCGTCGAGTGTGACATGCGGTGGCGTCGCAAGATCATCCGCTCGCACTTGCTCCCCAACGAGCTCCCGATCACGCTCACGTCATGGCCCCGCCTCGGTGTCGAGGACAGCCAGTTCACCGACCCGCCGACGTACCCCGACCCCGAGCACAGCTCGAGCCGTTCGAAGTATGTTGCCCAGCTGATCACCAACCCTCACGCTCGTTTCCCGACTCTCACAGCAAACATCAGGCAGAGGAGGGGATCGCTCGTCGACATTCGGGTGCCGCTGTACATCGACAAGAACACAAACGTGCCAGAGGGCGAGCGCGCCGAGCTTTCAAACGGCCACGCCGGTCCCGCGAAGCCTCTTCCGGGCACGCCGTACATCCACATGGACGCCATGGGCTTTGGAATGGGATGCTGCTGCCTGCAGATTACGTTCCAGGCTTGGAACGTTGACGAGGCTCGCCAGGTTTACGACGCTCTCGTTCCGGTCGCTCCGATCCTCCTGGCTCTCACTGCCGGCGCCCCGGCGTTCCGTGGACGGCTAGCACGTCATCGCCGCCGCCGTCGATGACCGCACGGAGGAGGAGCGTGGACTGAAGCCGCTCAAGGAGAACGAGTACCGCATCCCGAAGTCGCGCTACGACTCGGTCTCGCTGTACATTGCCGATGATCCGCGAAACAAGCCGGAGTACGCCGACATCTCGGCCCCCATCAACCAGCGTGTCCGTCAGGAGCTCCTCGACAACGGCGTCGACGACAAGCTCGCCTCGCACATCGGCCACCTGTTCATCCGCGACCCGCTGGTGCAGTTCTCTGAGACGATCGACCAGAACGACGAGGAGAGCATGGACCACTTCGAGAACATCCAGTCCACCAACTGGCAGACTGTTCGCTTCAAGCCGCCTCCGGTCAACTCGAACATCGGCTGGCGTGTCGAGTTCCGTCCCATGGAGGTGCAGATGACCGACTTTGAGAACGCCGCGTTCTCGATCTTTATCGTCCTGCTGTCGCGAGCGATCATCTCGTTCGACCTCAACACCTACATGCCCATCTCGCAGGTTGACGAGAACATGCAGCGCGCTCAGCAGCGTGACGCGGCCGTTGCGAATAAGTTCTTCTTCCGCCGCGTCATGTTCCCTCACGGCATCGATGCGTACAACCTCGACTCTCGTCCCGTGTCGCGACCAGTCTCCCCGCCGAAGTCGCCGCCCAACGAGAAGTCCAGCCCGGTCTCCGAGAATGGCGACGCGCCGTCGCTCGCCAACGGCAAGCCCGCGGTTAACGGTTTCCACAAGTCAAACCACTGGCGTTACGGCTCCACCGCATCCTCGTCGTGCGCCTCGCTGCAGCAGGAGGAAGACGCCGACCACTCGCCCGAGGTCGTCGAGATGTCGATGGACGAGATCATCAACGGACGAAAGGATGGCTTCCCCGGTCTCATGGGTGTCGTCAACGCCTACCTCAACTCGATCAATGCCGATGTCGCGGTGAAGATGGAGATCCGGAAGTACCTTGACCTGATCAAGCTGCGTGCCCGCGGCGACCTCGTCACGCCCGCCGCCTGGATCCGCAAGTTCCTCACGTCGCACCCCGACTACAAGCAGGACTCGATCGTGTCGGACAAGATGCAGTCTGATCTCATCACGGCCGTCGACGAGATCGAGCGCGGCATCCGCCCGGCGCCGGAGCTGCTGGGCCCTCACTATGTGGGCACCGATGTCGGCAGCCCCGCCGGCTGCAACGGTATTGCTTAGAGTATCCCTGTGACATTTTCATATTGCCCAGGATTTTTATCTTCATGTGTGTGTGTCTGTGGCCATCCTATTTCAACACCGGAAGATTGTATTATTGTAGTTCATTAGAGGTCCGTCTCCTTAACAGACGCGGAAAAGTTAGTAGAACATATCAACGCATGCAGTCCAACCTGCCTTCAACTCGCAAGCTCGCAAGATCCACCTTCGGTGGACACACCCAGCGCCTCCCAGCCAGAGTATGCTTCTCGCGCAGGTCCGCTTCGGACCGGGGAATCACGTGACGACGGTACGTAATCACCTGGTGCCCCAAACCCAAGTGCCCACACTGGGTCGCGGGGACGAGCTAAGCGTGATTAAGTGATCTCATCTTGTCTGTGGTCTCTCGACGCTCATTCATATCCCCTAACGCTCAATACCCCGCCCATCACCCGGCCGCAGCTGTCGCGCATCCACGATGGTCGCAGAGCCAAACAAGAGGCGCGTATCTTACATCATCCCGCCGCCCGAGGGCGAAACACCGCTGCTCAACCTCCCATCCTTCGGCACCGTCGCCAGCGATGACCGCTACTACCCGCTGCTCGAGCGAAAGCCCGCCGCACCGGTGACCAACGGCATCAGCAATGGCACCCGCGGACCGCTCGCTAGCCGCAACCCCTTCCTCCAGTCTCCGCCACCGCCGAGAGTCGACCCGGTCCAGTCTCAGCCACCCCGGCCCAGACACCCGCGCCATCGTCTCGGTGTTTCATCACTCGCTCTCGACACTAGCACTGTCCTGAGTGGTTGCGACAGCCCCGGGGGTATCTTGTACACCGGTGGACGTGACGGTTTGGTTGCATCCTGGGAACTCCACGTACCCCACTCTAAGCGCCGAGGTCGCCGATACCGCCCTGTGGGCCGCGGTCAGCGGGTCCGATGGGAGCGGCTGGGCGACGGCGGTGAGGATTGGAACGAGGACGATGAGGAAGGTGACCAGGATCATGGTAGCTTTGAGAGCAGCGACGATGACGACGATGAGCTCAACTCTCGCATCCCGTACGAGGACAAGTGGGAGATCGATCGCAGCGCCATCGCACGACAGGTAGGTGCCTAGCTTCTCGCGGCAGGAGGGTTCCCTTCCCCCACTTGCCCGCTGCGCGGTTTTGCTGACAGATCGCGCAGCCACCTTCCCCGACGACATTTCGGCAGAGCGTGCAGACGCACACCGATTGGGTGAACGCCATGACGCTGTGCAACATGAATCAGACAGTGATAACAGCGTCCTCGGACAGAACGATCCGTGCATGGTCGCCCCATGCCGAGGGCGAGCCGGCCGTCCCTGCGCTGATCGGTTATCACACAGACTATGTCCGCTCTCTTGCGTTTGCGCGCCATCCGGGCATCCTCTTCTCCGGTGCGCTGGACCGCGATATTGCGATTTGGGATATTGCAAGCCCGCGGCCGAACGAGCCTGTCCTCAAGGTCCGCTTATCTGATAAAGACGACGGGTGTGTCGGCCTCGAGGGCGAGTGGGGAAGCATCTACGCACTCGGTGTAGACCCCATGGGCCACACCCTCGCCGCCGGTACGCCCGAGCGCGTCGTTCGCCTCTGGGACCCTAGAGCTGGAGACAATAGCGTCACCAAGCTCGTGGGCCACACAGAGTGTGTGCGCAGCATCGTTATCAGTGACGATGGCAGGTACATGCTTACAGGATCTTCCGACACAACCGTCAAGTGAGTCCCCTGTTTCTTTGCGGCCTTTCTGACCTCCGCAGGCTGTGGTCGATCGGCGAGAACCGATGTCTGCACACGTTCAACCACCACACGTCCTCGGTGTGGGCTCTGCATTCGACGCACCCGAACCTGGAGCGCTTCTACTCTGGATCGCGCGATGGCTACCTCTGTGCTGTCGACGTCGAGCAGTGCGGTGACATGTCGGAGGGCGAGTGCGTTGTTCTCGCGCGCGAGGGCGACATCGACCGTCCAGGCGACTACGAGTCGAAGACGGGCGACGAGGCGATCCGCTCCATCGTCGCCATGGACGACGAGTACGTGTGGACGGCGACGTCGAGCTCGGATGTCCACCGCTGGCGGGACGTTGGTCGCCGCGTCTGTCGCATGGACGAAGACCTCGACCTCGACGACCCCGTGTACATCGCGCCGGACGAATCGCAGCCGCTCGTGAACCAGCCCGAGGTCGAGCCGCAACCCATCATCGACAACAGCCCCATGCGCAACAGGCGCTTTGAGGGCGGTGAGTCGCTGAACAGGGTCGACTCGCAGGACAGCCGACAGGTCGCCTTTGCCCCTGCTTCCGTCACGGCCGCGTCACCTACAGCCCCTTCAGGCATCCCTTCCAGCATCCACGGGCGTCTCAATCACGGTCACACGAGCTCGATCATGTCCGAGGCGTCGGTTCTGCCGCCAGACGAGACCCGTAACGGCATCCCGTACGAAAGCCTCGTCTGCCTCGGCTTGCCAGACTCGCCGTACCACTTCGGCTTCTCTGGCGCGACCCACTCGCAAGCCTCGATCAACAGCGCGAACCGCGCCCGTTCGCCGGATGACTCTCCCGAGGCGCCGTTCAACGAGCCGCGACGCGGCGACGCACGACGAGCGTTCGAGGACCGTGATGTGGCATCCGAGGCGTTGCCGTTGCGGCGCGAGGCTGACGCGACTATCGACGGCTCGCCCGGTCTTATCAGATCGCTTATCCTGAACGACCGCCTGCACGTGCTCACGCTTGACACGCACGGCGAGGTGGCCATCTGGCACCTGATCAGAGGCGAATGTCTCGGCCGCTTCTCACAGGCAGACGTGGCCGAGGCGCTGGAGCTGGAGCGCGGCGTCGAGGACGCACGCATGGAGATCAAGCTGCACCCGCACGAAGTGCTGGAGCTGGTCCAACGCCGGATCGAGGGTAAGAACGCGGTTCTTCCCTGGTGCCAGGTGGACACAAAGGTCGGCCAGATCACGGTCCACCTGGAAGGCGATCGAGTGTTCGCGGCCGAAATCCTGGCAGAGGAAATGGGCGTCGACGAGCGCAGCCTGCCGAAGGACATCAACTCGATAAACATTGGCAAGGTCGCGCTGTCGTCCCTGTTCCGAGGCTTGATCAAGGCCGAAGAGGCTGAGGTGCACAGCATTGCCTCCAGCTCGCCGCAGTCCCACCCCTCTAGTCTGCCCTCTGTAAGCCGCAGCCCGGTCCAGCCCATGAGCATCGCCATCCCGGCTGGAGCACCGCGGCACCGCGCCCGCGCCATGTCGTCTGCTAGTAGCACCGGCCTGACGCCCGCTATCAACATTGCTGGCTTAGCCACGCCAGCCGCAGTCCCGGCCGTACGGCCAGAGCCGACGACGCCGTTTGGCCAGTCAGCTCCGGCAGCGAGCGGCTGGCTCGCTGCCAAGCGCGAAGGCTTTGGCGCCTCGCCGACCACTCCGATCTCCGGGTCTCTCGCCAAGTCGTCCGAAAACAAGGACTACTTCTCCCTCGGCCGTCAGGCTTCGAGCGGCGGCGGCGAGCCCAAGTCGCCCGCGGCCGTCACCTCTCCGCCGCCAAAGACGAAGAAGACGTGGTTTGGAAAGAAGAAGGCTGCGGAGCCCATGGCGCCCTTAGCCGAGGAACGGAAGGAAGTCGATTCCGGCCCGCAGCTCAGCGACCGGGACAGGGCGCAGCTCATGTTCCTCGATCAGCTGCGGTCCAAGCAGTTCCACCCTCCGGGACCCGAGACGCCCTTCCTCCCCCTTCCGGCGAGCACGAACGTGATTGTTAGCGAGCAGGCACACGCCGACGGCGCGTACATGGTCACCTACAGATCGCAGGTGGGCGGCACGGAGCGTGACCTTGAGCCTCTCGAGATGAACAGCCCCTACTGGCTCCTCGACTTCCTGTTCACGAACAGCATCCCAGACCGCGTGATCCCCAAGATCCCCATCATCCTCCTGCCCGAAGGTCTCTCCGTGTCCTCGGGCAAGGGGCTGAAGGTGCAGGCGAGCCGGACCGCGCGAGTTCGGGGCGTCATCGAGCACCTGGCGGGTATCCTGGCCAAGGAGGAGGAGCAGGCTCCCGGCACCGTGCCGCGCGCACTCGGCGCGCTGGTCCGAGACCGGTCGTCCAGCACCGCGTCGAACATGAGCGGCATCGCGCGTCCCCGCCCCGAGGAGCTTATGGAGCTCGTGTGCGGCGAACACGTCGCGCTGCCCGAGATGAAGGTCGGCGCGCTGAAACAGTTCTACTGGCGCGGAGGCCCCGATATGGTCCTGCACTACCGCCCGCGGGGCGTGCCGCTCACCTCTTAGTCCCGCGCTAATCGTTGTCTTATCCCCCAGCTCAATCTTCGCTAACCCCCTATGTATCCCCCTTTGCTTTTGCGTTCGCGAGTGCAGCTGCAGTAGAAGAAAGTTGTGGCTAGATGTGCTTGTTGTGATTACATTTATTACTTGGGCCCAAAAAAGTACTGATGGCAGTAGTATATACAACTCTGTCGTTCCACCCTCCCCTGCGAGTGATGGTCTAGATGTCTATTTGCTTCCCCTTCCTTTTACGCCTCAGCGTACGCCTTACTGCGCGAGCGCCTCCCAGTCGACGAGCACGTGCTCCTCGGCGACGCCGACACAATCGCCCTCGCACCCAAAGACATACACGCTTCCCCACTCCATGTCCGCGACGCCGTCGGCATTGGCGTCGTCGCCCTTGGCGATACGTTCGAGCTCCTTCTTGCGCTCCTCCTCGGTCATGTCCCTGGCCTCCTTCTTGGCGACGGTGACACCGTCGGCCGCAAAGCTGTCGGGGCGGAGCACGTTGATGAGCTGGGGCACGAGCTGGAGCTCAAACGTGCGCTTCGCGCCGCACTTGGTGCAGCGCGGGATGCTCTTCTCGGTATAGTACTCGCCCAGGTCTGGGTCCTCTTCCTCGGACGAGGGTTTCTTGGTCGGCGCGCCGGGGAAGAGGGTCTTGAACACAGAAGACGTGGACTGGTACGCGAGCGGCACGGCGCCAAAGTCGTACCGGAGCACCTGCGTGCTGGCGTCCTCGGCCGTCTCGAGCCGCCGCACAAACTTCTCAAACACGTCGTCGACGCTCTTGGGCAGGATCTTGTCCCACCCGTCTGCGTCGCGCCATTCGGCCGCCTGCTCGGGCGACTCGTCCTCGTCGTCGCTGAGGTCGCTGTCGCTCTCGGGGTCCGGGAGGTACTCGTCGATCGTGGAGAGATACTGCGCAGGCAGGTACGCCGGCGCCGGCGCGAGGAGGACGGGCTCGCCCTCCTTGATCTCGAGCTTGGCCATCTCGGCCGCAGGCGCTGCGGGCTTCGCGGCCTCGGGGGCGGGGGCGGCGAAGGGATTCGGCGCAGCGGCGCCGAAGAGAGGCTGGTTCGAGCCGAACAGCCCGCCCTGCTGCTCCGAGGGGGCTGTGGCCGTGAAAGGGTTCTTGCGGGCGCGCTCGCGCTCGGCCGCGGCGGCGGCCTCGGCAGCTGCCTTCTTCGCAGCGACGTCGGCGACGTACGCCTCGTTGCGCTTCGAGGCGCGGTAGGCGCGGACAGAGCCGTCCTTTCTTCGGCACGCGTGGCGGGGACACGCAAAGACGTAGACTGTGCGGTCGTTCTCGCCGTCGACTAGCGGCGCGTACACCTGCGAGAGGAGGGGCATGGGCTGTCCGCAGCTCTTGCAGTCGACCGACTTGGGCACGCCGTCGACGGGCGGGAAGGCGGCGTGGCCACCAATGTGCGAGGTCGTGTAGCTCATCTCATCCCCGGCCTCGAGCGGCCCATCGGGGAGAGCAAGGAGCACGCTCGACACGTCCTCGTCCGTGTCGCTCATCTGACTGTCAGTCATCAGCCCCCGGAAAATTAAAGTAGACAAGTGTGGGGGTAACGCGTCAGACAAAAAGTCGCCAAACTATGGGGGATCGTCAGGCCGGCACGGCCGCGGGGCACTGCAGCGCCCTCCTGACGGCCAAAACGGCGCCCGGAGAGAGAGCAGGCGCAAGCAACGGGGAGCAACGACGGGCCACCCGCGTGAGCCGAGCGGCGTAGGTCTCGTCATCGTATCATCATGCGCGTTTTCCCTCTGCTTTCGTTCTGGAATGGACACTCACGATTATAGATGTGGGTTTCGTGGGTGGTAGTAGTACAAGTGTGCGATGTGGAACGGCGCTCTGGCTTTGGATGGACTTTCCAAAATTCTGTGACGGAGAGGCAGGTCGCATGCCAGGCACGGCTGTACACGGCATTTCCGCCTGATTGTATTGCTCCCGTCCCTCTGCTTCGCCTGTGGCAGAAGGCAGGGACATGCACGAGGAAATGCTTGCGATGGAGTTCATGGCCGCGATGGACGGAGATGCAGTCGGACGGCGGGTGCACGGTCGTGTCACTCGCGGATCTGCTGATCTCGGGTGCATGTTCTCCGGTCCTTGCGATGGGCGCGGTGCAAGAGCGGAGAGTCGGCGAGTCCGGCAGACGTTGCCCCTGGCTGGGCGGAAAGCCTGGCCACAGACGCCGCTGCGCCGTCACAACATGCGGTGCGGCGCACTGGCACACTATGGCACCAGTGCGCTGCGAGTATGCACTTGCCCACACCCACACCTTCCAACATTGCAAGGCCACCATCTCTTCCGGCGGAACCATCTGCGCCCGGACTCTGGACCAGCCCACAGGCTCAATAGTGACGAGTTGGCGGCGCCCGAAACGACGATCAGTCTCGGTGTCTGCTGGGAAAGCTTGGCTGGGCTGCCTTTGGACGCCCATCGCTCTACTCGCCAGCCCGCAGCCGGCAAGCGGGTGACTCGGCATGGGCCTCATGACGTAGATGGCTGCTGATTGTCGCGACCGTCGCGACCGCCGCGACCGGCGGGAGATCGAGTGGAGCCTCCGTCGGGATCTCGGAAAGGACGACGGTGTGTGGGTCGACGGCGGCACGCTGATGGGCTGCGGCTCTGCGCTCCATGAACCGAGTAGAAGTATGTTGACGAAGCTTCATAGCATCTTCACATCGCTTTTCAGGCCCACCATCCGTCCGCTTTCGCCATGGTCGCGGCATGCGTGCTCAGCGCTGCTCTCGAAGAACCGCTCATGCCGTGGTGGAGCGAGTGGCCGCGAAGCATCCCGGTGCCGGCTAGTGTCGACCCGCTCGACGGCTTCCTCTCCCCCAACGACAGCACCGACGTCACTGTACCACCGACCGACACGCACAGCACTCATGACGTCCGATCTGTCGAAACTCCACTCGAATCCATCGACCCTTCTACTCCACCTGCTGCTCCTCAGGCCTCTCCGCAGACACCAGCAACCAGCCGTCGATCCACCGATGAACGACCCGCAGCACCAGGGTCGAGTGGCGACAAGTGTGGTGAGCCCCGTGCTCCACCCAGACCAGCCAACTTCCTCCCACCCTTCTTCGACTCGGAGCTCAGAGTCGTGCGCCGCCCACGGCGTGCAATCGATTTGACGGGCCCTCACCCACGTCAACCGCCACCTTCCTCCGGTGCAACTCCGCCTCCGGACAGGCGCAAGCGTCGCTATGCCTCCGGTAAGCTCTCTCCTGCTCCTCCTCCAGCTGACCAACAGAGGGAGGACCAAGGCCTGCGCCATACCCTCCCATCGCCGCCGGCGGACAACGCATCACTCGCGCACGAACGCTGCCCCTCCTCCCCGCGTTCGACTCTAGACCTTCCACTCGTGGCCGGATGTCCCTCGGACTTTCAGACCTTCACGCGAGTGGGTCGACAGACAGCCCGTTTCACCCCTCTCCGACCGACGATACGCAGCCTTCTCCTACACAAGCGGGGAGTGCCGCACCTGTCGTTTCTCGGCTGTCGTCTCTGCCCGCACTGCTTGCGAGGCCGCCGGCGCCGTTTCAAGAGCTCCACTCGTTTCAAACAGCACATACATCTCACAATCCTCAAACCTCACTTGCACCTCTGACCCCTCTCACATCGCAAGCACCTCAAGCACCTCCACCCCCGGATGCTCCAGAGGACTTATGGAATGGATGGAACGCCTACGTCTGGCAAAACTCTCCGCTAAAGCAGTCCTACTCCGCCCCGTGCACGAGTACCTCCTCCCCTGTCCCCGACGTCTCCGACAATCAGCGGCGGTCCTCGGCTTCCCTGCCCCAGTTGACCAGCGACACGGCTACCGCTGAAGCAGATGCCTTCCTCGCTGCCTTCACTGGCGGCGGTATCCGCAACGAGGAAGGCAGAGGCACGGAGACAAGTATATCCGCGGAGAATCTAGAGTTGGGCACGTGGTCGCGGCACCTGACCGGCTGAATAACGCGTTCAGAAGGAAGACGCGTCGCACCTCTGCGCACTCCCTCCGATCGCATTCACGCTAGTTCAATTTAGTGGGCTTGCGGACACGCCAGTGCCGCCGGCGCGGCGCTGAACGGTATGTCTTGATCGTCGGACGGCGCGGCAACGTCAACGAGCTGCGAGGAGCGCACTGGACAGTCCGCTCGGCAACAGAGATACGAGCTGACAGTCAGACTCTCCTTGGCAGTACCGCCTCACTCGACATTCACGATTCGTCCCCCATTGTCCAACCCTCATTTCTTGTGCTCCGCTCTGAGTCTCCGCACATCGCTGCTCTCTACTGGCTAATCATCGCCGAGCGCGATAGTTACTGCACCCGCCATTCGTAACTGTGAAGCGCAAACAACACACGCCGACACACACGCTGTCGTCACCGACCGCCCAATACCCAAACAACAGTCAAAGCACATTCATTCTCACCTTCATACACGCATCACACACATCTGTATCAACAGCATTAACGTCCCCCCCCCCCCCCCCCAACGATACTCTACATAGTTCACATGACAGCACATGACACAGTTACGAACGTTACGAGGCTAGTACGCAGCACGTTTTCCGTCCGACGCGCACCCAGAAGCGAGATTGGAGACGAATCGCGTTCCCGGCGGCACAGCACGGGGGAGCACGAGGGTACCCCAGTTTTGGGCGGGAAGCATTCCGTCCTCGAGGTGATTTCCCTGGGCTCCCCTAGCTTCTCTGCAAAGCTGGTCCAGTCATTCGGCAGGTTTGTGTGCTATGCATAGTAAAGCGGCGTTCAAGAGAGTGCGAAAGAGAGGACGACGAAGGCGAGGAGGAAGGCTATTCATAGCCCCTGTTATCAGCTGCGAATCGCGAATAGGCAGAGGTCGAGGCGGTGAACAGGGAAGCGAGATGGCAAGGGCGATCGGAAGGCGCGGAGGGTTTGTATTCAACCTGCTGCGCAACTTTTTGGCGCATCTCCAGACTGGCCAGACAGAAATTTGCCGTGCCCAGTGCCGTGCCCAGTGCCGTGCCCAGTGCCAAGGCTGTGCACTGGCGCTTCCTTCCCTCCAGCCATGCTCCCAGGCGCACTGGCGCACGGGCGCACCCGAGCAATGGTGCAAGGCTTAGCATGGCTCTGGATCCTCTGGATCCTTGGGGTCCGGGCGCGATCTAGCTCGGCCATCAAATGGCTAATCGACGTTTGAGGGTCTTGTCTTTGCTCGTTCTTCTGCGTGCACACTCTGCAATGCACACTCTGCACCCTGCTCCTCGCTAGCACACACACTCTCATGCATTAGATTTGCTTCCACAGTCCCACTCTCTCTCGTGCATAGGCTCGGCACGCCTCTACACACACCCCTGAACACCCCGTCCCACTCCCACCCCGCAGCCTCTTCGTCCGGCGCCGGTCCACCATAACCAGATCTCAAGCCGGCACACAGCTCACCTCATCTCACCCCTCACACTTCCCTCCACTCTATCTCTGACCTCACTCACTCTTCTCGCCCCCACGTCTTTCGCCCTTCCCTACGCACTACTCTTTACTTTACCAACTCGCCACTCTCTTTTCACCTTACGTCGACTTGCAGCACCGCCTTTGCTTCCACGGCGCCGTCACTCAGTTCGATAGACCAGAAGCGCCCCCTCCTGTCAACTTGCGCTCTGCCCCCTCCCCCCTCCAGTGCTCGCCAGTTACCCCCAACTAAGCCCTTCATCATCCCGATACAGCAATCTCAAATTCGCCTTATACCAATCTTGGTTCCCGTCCGATAGTCCACCACCACCCCTCCTGTCCGATCCGCCATGTCGTATGACCCTTCCTCTCAGCAACGGTACGCCCCCGTCGCAGGCTACGGCCAGCCGGGGCGGGATCAGCCCGGCACGTACGAGGAGAAGGCCGGCCTGACGGGCGCGGGCGGCGAGTCCTACCGTGAGTCTTAGCTTTTGTTATTGTCTTGGGTCCTGGTCGATTACCCTCGATTACCCTCTTTTCGTTACTCTATTCCGAAATTGTGGGACTCCAAGCACACTCTTAGCCCTCGAAAGCTTGCACCGCCCGTAGTGCTTGGCTCGCCGGACCCTCCGTTGAACGCCTCCGTCGTCTTGGCCGTCCTACCCCAAGACGCCGCTGCGGACCGGCCGTGCTCTTGGCTATTTGAGGATGAAAGGAGCATTGCCATGCGCCCAGCAGTCCCATGTGTCCTGGCAGTCAGACATTCGGGCGCTCGCTGGGCTAGAATGCTGTGCTGGAGGGGGGTGGTCTATGCTCGTGGCGCTACGACGTCCTTACGATTCCTGCGGGGTACTGAGGGACGTCGACTCTTGAGACCCAATCTGATCCTTTCGCGAGCGAGCTTCGTCGGTGTCTGACCACACAGCTATGACCAACGTCTACAGCGGAAGCGGTAGCAGCACACCGCGCAATCCCTTTCACGACCCGTCCCAGCAGTCTCTTCTCTCAACACCCACTCGCCAATACTCGAACTCGAACATGAGCGGAGCAGCCGGCGTCGGAGCAGCCGCTGGAATGGGAGCAGGAGCCGGAGCGATGGCCTACGGTGCTGGAGGAGACCACGGATTCAGCAGCGCCGGCTCGCAGCCGACGTACAACGCTGCCGCGATGGCGCACGACAATGTGCCGTCTGACCAGCTTTGGGCGATGGACAATGGAGACCACGGCTACCGCGGATACGACGAGTCTGGGCATGTTGCCGAGAAGGCAAGCAGCGGCAAGAAGAAGTGGATCATCATTGGATCGGTCCTGCTCCTTGCGGCCATCATCGTTGGTGTCGTTGTCGGCGTCGTCGTGTCGAAGAACAACAACAGCAGCAGCAGCAACAGCGGGTCGAGCAAGAGCGGCGACAGCAAGAGCGGCAGCAAGGACAGCGCCTCGCCCGACTTTGAGAAGGACCCGAAGCTCCACCAGGTCTTCTGGGGCATGGCTTACGCCCCCGCCGACGGACGACCGCCCTGGTGTGCGAACACGCAGGAGGCGGTGAACAAGGACATTCAGATCCTGTCCCAGCTGACGACTCGTCTCCGTCTGTACGGTGCCAACTGTGGTGTCACGCAGCAGGTTCTCAAGGCGATCAAGGATCTCAAGGTTGACATGAAGATCTATCCCGCGATCTGTGAGCTGGGCGTACCTTAAACTGAAGCTGACATCCAGACCTCGACTCATCCGAGACGAACCAGCAGTACTACGACTGGCAGGTCGGCAACATCTCCGAGGCGATCACCGAGTACGGCGCGGACAACATTGAGGGCATCGCCGTCGGCAATGAGTACCTCCTGATCATGATGACTGAGGCTGGCGAGTCGCAGCCGTCTGGACCGACGTACTCCAAGTATGTCAAGCAGCTCGCGAGCTACGTGCAGGACTTCAAGAAGACGCTGAAGGGCTGGAACGTGGGCAAGGACATTCCCGTCGGCACCGGTGACGCGGGCTCGATGATGTCGGTCGAGCTCGGCAACGAGGTCGACTACTTCATGGCCAACGTGCACCCGTGGTTCGGTCTGAACACGCCCGTCGAGATGGCGGCGGGATGGACGTGGGACTACTTCCAGAACAACGACGTCGCGTTTGCAGAGAAGAGCAGCCCCGTGCCCGAGACGTTCATCGCCGAGACTGGCTGGCCTACCAAGTCAATGGACAAGGAGCACGAGACCAACATGGAGAAGGGCATGGCTGCCTCGGCCACAAAGGGCAACTATGCCAGCGAGGAGAACCTCCAAAAGTTCCTCGACACGTACGTGTGCCAGGCCAACAAGAATGGGACAAAGTACTTCTACTTTGAGCCCTTTGACGAGCCCTGGAAGGAGCAGTATGGCGGCGTCGAGCCGTACTGGGGTCTCTTTGACCACGACCGTAACCTCAAGAACATCGAGATCCCTACGTGCGAATAAGAGAGTCATTGTACTCCCCCTTTTCTCTTCCTCGCCCTCTCTCACCTCGACCTCCTCACCTTCCCACTCTCACCTGCACTCTCAGCCTCAGTCTCAACCCCGGCACAACCATGGACAATACATTTTCACCTCCCCCTTCTCCTATCTTCCGTTTCATAGACTTGTTTTTCACGCCCTGTCCCCTCTCAAACCTCACGACAAACTCTTATCGTCCGTATATCCTATATCCCCGAGCCCCGCGGCGCATCTTCGCCAGCGCGCGCGCCAGGCTTCCTTTGTAACTTTGTTCCTTTATGTGATGGACGGTTTGCCCGCGTGGATGATGTTGCTGTGGTTGTCTCACGTCGAGGTCAGTGATGGCGTGGTTCTGTCGATGTGTTGGAAGGGGCAAGGGCGCAGAGGGCGCAGAGGGCGCAGAGGGCGCAGTGTGAAGGGACTGGAGGAAGGGGCGCAGGAGGGGACGATCAGAGGTGAAGAATGGGGAAGGAGGGGGGAGGTGAGTCAACTCAACTCGCTCGACAACACAACATCACTCAACCGACTATCCCCTCGTTAGTTGAAGCAACGACGAAGATCGTAAGCTAGGTTCAAGTGAAGGAGAAGCTGACATCAGTCCAGTCTATGTGGTACATTGGACAGTAAGCTGTCTCCAGTGCCACGAGCTGATACACAGAGGCAAGTGCCTTGTTCTAGACCATCGCAAGCTCATCTCAATCCTGTCGATGGGAGGTGGCTGTTCATCCCGAGTGAGGTATAAGCTGACCATCAGTCTTGAGTCCGTCGTTCGTATCGATTCAAAAATGGGAGGGGAAGGGAGGGTAAGCTGCTGAAATCTCGTAGAGCTGACTCCAGTGTTGGAGGTGAGCTGAGAAGGCGTGGGCTAGAGCTGATCCCAGAACGACGATAGCGGGTTGAAGTTCGGTGACGAGCTCATCCCAGTGCGTATCCAGTCGGGGTGGGTGAGTTACTAGGGATGGCATGAGCTGACTCTAGACACTTCGGGTGAGCTGAACATCGTCGATAAAGCTGACTCCAGCCCCTCTCGGGAGCACGATAGTGAGCTGTTTGCCAGCGGGGATAGCTGACAGCAGCTGTGAGGTGTGGGAGGGTATTCAGGCAGATGAGAAGAGTCAGCTTTCAGGCTCCCCTGATAGCTGACTCCAGGTCGAAGGTGAGCTGTTCGAAATGCAACGTCCTAGCTGACACAAGACTGGAAACGGTATGCTACGTGAACGGGGCGAGCTGCAGAGAGTGCTGGCTGACTCCCAGTTCAACGAAAATGGTATGCTGGGAAGCGGGGGATTCAGCTGACTCCCAGCTTGAGGTGAGCTTTACTGAACTTGCTGAATGGCCGCCTTAGCTGACGCCAGTGCGCACTCGGTGAGCTACCGCCCGAGCTCTAGCTGACCGCACTTTGATAAAGTGAGCTTGTCTGCTCCAGCCCTTAGCTGACTCCAGGCTCAACTGACTGAGGTGGCAGTGAGCGAACATGATGTTTTAAAGCTGAATACAGTTAGATGTGAGCTTCGAAGAACGTTACGGCCTGCCAGCTGATCGCAGCGACATGGGAATTACTGCTAAGGGCCGGGACGACGTAAGCGCTGCGTTGTGAGCCATTCATGTGATACACAGCTGACACCAGTCATGTCGAGGGCGAAAGTGAGCTTCCATTCTAGCCACTGGAGCTGACTACAGGCCATGCCGTGAGCTAGGGCCTTGGTTGCAACCCAGCCGACTTCAGCCTCTACAGGGAGTTGCGACACGAAGTCGAAACCAAGAGGTTCAAGTGGGTATCAGCGACACGAGAGAGAACGGTATGCTTCGTACCAGACATCAGGAGCTGACTGCAGTGTGAGCTAGACGGAACATAGGCGAGCTGACCCCAGATCAGACGAACGTAGGAGGGCTGACCCCAGCGCCACTTCCTGGATCGAAGGGTAAGCTGCACAAAGGGTGGAGAAGAGCTGACACCAGCGTGAGCTGCATTAAGACGCATCGCTCCAGCTGACCTCAGTCCATGTAAAGGAGAGCGGTAAGCTTCATTGCAGTGCGAGCTGATATCAGGTCCTGCGGCGTGAGCTCGACTACCGCTGCCATTAGCTGATCGCAGTCTTCGAGTAAAAGCGTGGCAAGCAAGCCCTCGGCCGTGTGAGCTGAAATCTGTACCCGCATCGTGAGTTGTCGACGGTAGCCCGCTAGCAGCTTTCAGCCCGACAGGTGCGCGGATGTTTAGATTTCTGTTGGAGATTGCGAGCTGATAACAGCCCTTCTGTCGTGAGCTACTCAGAGGTATTCAAGCTGAACCCAGCCCACGAAACAGAGGAGGGTATGCTGCCTCCGCGTTCGGCGCAGCTGACACCAGCGTGAGCTGTACATTGAGAGCCAACCATTTACGAAAGTAGGAGTGCGTAAGCTCTCTAACAGGGATCTGAAGCTGAAACCAGTTCCCGCATCACGAGCTTGTCAACCTCCTTCAGCTGGCATCAGTCATGGCCAGGCTCAGATGGAGCCAAGTCCGGGAGGTTGCGGTAAGCTGGGTCGAGCAAACTGATGACGAGCTGACTACAGTCACGCCGTGCGGGAAAGCTGAGTGAGTTCGTCGTTGGAGCTAAAAACAGGCGGTTGTACTAGATGGGCGGAACGAGGAAGTGAGTTCAGACGAGAGGCGCAGGTGGCTTGAGATTGAGGCCGGTATATGGCGACGGATCGCGTCGGCGTTGGGAGTTGACGGGCTGGTTAACCAGCCGTCGCGTCCTTCAGAACACGTAAGCCGCAAGCTGTTGGCGCGAACGTCAGCTAACTACCGGCGCAGACACGTTGCAGGCAAGCTACCCCACGATGGTTGCTAGCTGATGCCAGATCAGCATACGGACCCCGATGCAACGCATTCCTGCGGTGAGCTCGTTACGTGGAGCGGTGAGCTGATATCAGACATTCGGGAAGAGTGTGAGCTATACCAGTCCAGACCAGCTAATGACAGTGTCGCGCGGCACACGGGCGAAGAGATTACACTGAGTCAGTTGAGCTGTTTGTTGCATTAGGGTATGAGCTTGAAAATCGTCAGTTCAGCTAACTTTAGGTCAGCCCGCACCTAGACCTCGCTCAAGCCCGCCGTTAGTCTTTGGTGAGTGCGAAATTAGAACCATCGTACGCATCAGTAAGAGGCTCTGTCCAAAACGGGACAAGGTAAGCTGTCCGGGTCGACTGTATCGTTGAGCTGACCGCTGTCACTGCATGTCGTGTTGAGATCGCAGGAGCGTCCGCCCACCTCGGTCGACGATAGACAGACAGACTTGTGAACGAAGCAAACGTCAGGACCGAGCCGCATCTGTTCTCCGAAATAGGGCGTGTAAGCTTTTGACAGTTCCCCCGTAGCTGATATCAGATCCGGTGGCGATGTGACGAGGGCGAAGACGGTTCCGACAGTGAGCGCTTGCAGTGGTCTTCCGTCGAGCTAAGTTCAGATATGAGCTGAAGATGCCGGATGTGCGGTGCTGTGTAAGCTTTAAAGGCCTTTTCCAGCTGACCACAGGCCCTACCGAGAGTGACGCAGCGAGAGGTTGCCTGTGCGGAGTAAGGAGGAGGCAATGGTGGGCTACCCGTTGGAGGAACGTCAGCTGACCACAGTGGGGCTCACAGTAATGAGCATGGTGAGGTGAACGGTAAGCTGTCCCTTGCTTGTCGGCGCAGCTGATCGCAGGTCATAACAGCGCTAGACTTGTGATATCAGTAAGGCGAAAGTGAGTCTGTATGCAAGTGATGAAGTCTATCAAGTTCGGTCCGAAACGTCCGAATGTTTCGACTCCTCTCCACCGAACGTCTCCAGCCAAGGCGTTCATTACGTCACGCACTGTGATCATGTGTTCCCAGCACGCAGCCAAGTTACACTGCACCGCATGCACCACTGCTTGGGAAAGGGTGGACTTAGCGCTCTCGCTGGTGTAAGTATAGTCTCGAATGGCAGTGTGCTGCACTAGCATCACACTGTCACTCACGATGCTGGCCTTCTTCCTAATAGCACTGGCGGCAGTGCACGCGGCCCAGATCCCGTTCTTCGAAGACAGCCATGATCGCAAACCAGGCGCCCCCGAGGAGATCTACATCAAGCAGTGTGAGTCCGCCTTCTCCTCTCCTACACAGCTCTTGGACCGTGGATAGTCAAGCTGACCTGCAGTCTCCGCCCTCAGCGGCAACACAGGTGTAGCGCTGCAATCCCGCCTTGAGGCGCTGTATGCCAACTCGACCGTTCTCACGACACAGACGCCCTTCGATCTGCTTGCCTTTGCGGACGAGTCGGGCCTCAAGCTGAGACAGAGGAGAGACTTGGCCTGGCTCACGCTGCGCGGGTACAGTGCTGGCAGGTCGAACCCGGAGGACGACGACGATCTCGGTGCGCCGGGACAGGCTGCCCGAATGGCCCGAATGGCGCGGCAGGCGGGGCGCGCTAGAGCTCCGGAGATCAGGCTCGGCGTGCTCGACGCGCAGGAGGAAGGCGAGGACAGCACTGGGAACGACAAGGGCAACGAGGCAATCTTCGACTCGGTCCACATGGCGGCCTGGGAGCTGCGCTGGGAGGACACGGACATGCTCGCCATAGTCGCTCAGTTCGCGCAAGGTTTCAGCTTCGTTACTCAGTGGCATCTCGTGTCTCCGCACGGCTCGGCCGCCGACTCCCTCTTCGCCACAGTCGCCAAGGCGACGAGCGCGCACCCGGACGTCGTCTGGGTCTTCGACCGCGGATGGTGGGAGCCCTCGAAGGATCTGTGGCGCGACGTGCGCAAGTCGTCGTGGGACGATGTCATTCTCGACGCCGACTTCAAGAAGAACCTCCGCGAGGACTACACTGGCTTCCTGAAAGGACGGAAGACGTACAAGGAACTCGGCGTGCCGTGGAAACGCGGGCTGATCTTCCTCGGTCCCCCGGGCAATGGGAAGACGAGCGCACTCAAGGCTATCATGGGCGAGGTCGGCGTGCCGAGCCTCTACGTGCGCAGCGTGAGGAGTAAGTCTTTCGGTGTGGTGGAGCTGACGCACAAGCGGCCTGGGAAACAGCGCAGGAGAATCTCGCGACCATCTTCAAGGGCGCGCGGGACATGGCGCCGTGTCTCCTCATCTTTGAGGATTTGGACAGCATGATCGACGACGATAACCGATCATACTTCCTGAACGAGGTGGATGGGATGGACTCGAATGACGGCCTGCTCATGATCGCGACGACGAACCATTTCGACAGACTCGATCCGGGGTTGTCCAACCGACCTTCGCGCTTCGATAGGAAGTAGTGAGTAGCTTGAATAACGTGGACGCAGGCAACTGACGCACCAGCAACTTCCCTAACCCGCACCGCAGCCAGCGCCGCGACTACGCCGTCTACTGGCAGAAGAAGCTGAAGGGTGTGTCCGGGATCGAGTTCCCGAATGCTCTACTCGACGAGTTTGCGGCCAAGACGTCCCGATTCTCCTTCGCCTGCATGAAGGAGGCGTTTGTGTCCTCTCTCCTCGCTATCGCCGGAGACGACAAGAACAAGGGCGACAAGCACTTCCCGCAGCGCTTGATGCGCGAGGTGAAGCACCTCCGGAAGGAGATCGACGACGGTGAGGAGGAGTAAGTCAGTGCACGAGTTAGTTAGAGATGCAGTGACTATTCACACTTAGGTACATACTGCACTGCACTGTGCACTTGCCGTGGAGGCTTACACTGATGATTGGTTATGTATTGTTGTTGATGAACCAGCGGCTGCGGCGTAGCGTCCAGCAGCGGCCAGCCGTGCAACGACGACTAGGTTGACATACAGCCTAGTAGCGGTCGAGGATGACTCGAGTCTTGAGGTGGTCGTTGTGAACGAGCCATCCCTCCTTGTCGAGCTTTTCGATCATCTGCTCACGAAGCTTCTTGGCGGTGGCCATGTCCTTGACCTTGAACGAGAGCTCGGCAAAGATGTCCTGGTGGTGGTCGTCCTCTCCACGAACGGGGAGGATCTCGATGCCGATTTCGCGACCCTTCCAGCGCCCGTCCCAGACGGTAGACGTGACGGGGCCGTGCTTGCGGGTCTGGGCGAGAATGTCGTTGCCCCAGTTGTGCTCCTTCCAGTGCTCGAGCTTGCCGGGGATGCCCTCCTGGAGCCAGGCGCGGCCAGTCGCGTCGTCGGGCATGTCAGTGTGGCGGTATCCCTTCTTGGAGCGGCGCTTCTTGATCTGCATCGACAGCGTCTGCTTCGAGTAGCTCCAGTCGATCTCGGCCTTGTAGTTCTTATCACCGTAGTCGAAACCCTCGGCGCGAGCTTGCTCGAGCGCATTGTGGATGCCGTCCGTCACGCGCCAGCGCTTCTTGTACGTCATCTCAAAGTCCTCGTCCTCCTTGTGACGCAGGCGCACGGCCCAGCCCTCGGCCGACAGGTCCTTGCCATCTGTGTCGTAGTACTCGTACGAGCGCTCGTCCCACTCGCGCTCGAGGTGGAACGCGTTGCGCAGGCCCTTGCAAGGCACACCGCCGATCAGAGACGTGTTGCTGAGCGAGAGCTTGACCTCGAAACCGGGGATCGCGTGGGGCGCAATCGTCGACGCACCGAACAGCGCAGCGACACCGCCCTTGATAATCGAGATGGGCGAGGCGTAGTGGTTGACCTCGTCGAGGAAGTCGGTGACGCTCTCGTAGAAGGAAGGCGCCATGGTGGAGTGATGCTTTGGCGATCGAGACTGGAGACCGGGAAAAGAAGGAAAGGAAGAGAGAAGAGAAGAGTTGGAGATCAAGAAAGAAGAGAAGCAGAGAAAAGTCAAGATAAGGGAAAGTCCGGAGTGGGATGGGATGGAACGGGGGAAGATACCTGTGTCTTGGACGCTCTCGCGATGAGCCAAGGAGAGGGCGTGCAGAGTGCTTGGCAACCCGGAATGGGAACGATACCGGATGCTGAATGCGGACCTGTCAGCTGCGAGCACTGCGATGCACTGCGCGAGAGACCCGCGACATGACGAGATGACGTTAACCCTCTTCCGCACGCGAGCCGCCCTGAGCCGAGCCTGAAATGAGGCGCCGCTGATGTCCCAGCCGATCGGCGCAGGAGACGCGCGCCGTGTTGTCCAATGTCCAACCGTGCGAAACCGGGCGCTACGGTGCACTAGACAATGCACATGTCCGCATTAGTGTGCCGAAGAGGAGCACATGCGAGCACTGCGCCTCCTGCGCCGCGTGCAGACAGATCAATGGACGGACTTCCCATGACGCGGGGGCGGAGCAGGTGGGCGCACTAGCGGGGGCGCAGATCGCAGGCGGCAGCTTCCACTGCGCATAGTCTCACTGCGGAATTTGAGGCACCCCGCCAGATCTCGTGACCCAAAAATCAACCACATCGCAAACGTGCGTTCGTTCGCCTGCAGCATCTGTGGCACTCTGTCGTGTCGTGTGAGTCTGCATAGGTGTTGAATATACTGCTGAATCTCATGCATTGCTTCGTAAACCCAAAGACAGATGGTTACTGGCGCGCTGGCCAGTCGAGTGATTATACTTTACAACTCTGTTCGTCCTCCGTCTTCGCCTACTCGATACTCTGCCGTCCGCCACTTCCATCCACGACGCTCTCTTCTCTCGCAACCTCTTAAAGAGGCCACTCGAGCTGCTCACCCAGATTCTGCATGATGCTCTTAGTCTGCATGTACGCGTCGATGCCCGCAGTGCCGAGCTCACGGCCGATGCCGCTCTGCTTGAATCCGCCGAAGGGGACGCGGGAGGAGAGGATGCCGTAGTTGTTGATCCAGATGGTGCCGGCCTTGATGGCCTGGGCGACGCGCTGGACCTGGCTGGCGTCCTTGGAGAAGACGGCGCCGGCGAGACCGTAGGTGGTGTCGTTGGCGAGCTTGATGGCCTCCTTCTCGTCGGAGAACTTGCCGACGACAACCACGGGGCCGAAGATCTCCTCACGGACACACTTCATGTCCTGGCCAATGTCGGTGATGACAGTGGGCTCGACAAAGTAGCCCTCGTTGCCCCAGGTCTTGCCGCCGGTGGTGATGTTGGCGCCCTCCTGCTTGGCCGAGTCGACGTACTTGAGGACCTTGTCGCGCTGGCCCTCAGAGATGAGCGGGCCGAAGGAGGTGGCGTCGTCCTCAGGCTTGCCAATGGCGGCGGCCTTGGCGTTGGCAGCGAGGAGCTTGACGAACTCGTCGTGGACAGAGTCCTGGACATAGACACGAGACGAGGCGCAGCAGTCCTGGCCAGAGTTGAAGTAGATGCCGAGCGAGATCCAGTTGGCGGCCTGCTGGAGGTCCGAGCCCTCGAAGATGAGCGCGGGCGACTTGCCACCAAGCTCAAGGGTGACCTTCTTGAGGTTGGACTCGGCGGCGGCGACCGAGATGGCGCGGCCAGTAGGGACGGAGCCGGTGAAGGCGATCTTGTCAATGTCCATGTGGTGCGAGATGGCGTTTCCGGTCGTCTTGCCGAGACCAGGGACCATGTTGAGGACTCCGGGAGGGAAGCCAGCCTCCTTGGCGAGGTTGCAGATGTAAAGGGCGGTGAGGGGGGTGAGCTCAGAGGGCTTCATGACGATGGTGCAGCCGGCGGCAAGAGCGGGGGCGATCTTCCAGGCGAGCATCATAACTGCATTGTCAGCGTTCGTTCATGCCAAGCCTCTTAGGCAACTCGGTGTACTCACGAGGGTAGTTCCAGGGGATGATCTGGCCACAAACACCAATGGGCTGCTGGAGGGTGTAGGCGAACCTGTCGGGGCCGAAGTGGTTGATGGTCTGGCCAGCGACCTTGTCGGCAAGACCAGCGTAGTAGCGGAGGCAGCCAATGGACTCGGGGACGTCAGAGGTGGCAGCCATGCGGACACCCTTGCCGGAGTCGAGGGACTCGAGGGCGGCGACGATCTTGGTGTCGCGCTCGAGGAGGTCGGCGAGCTTGTTGATCAGGGCGATGCGCTCGCCGGCGTCAACGTTCGTGCCCCAGGTGTTCTCGAAGGCATCGCGGGCGGCCTTGACGGCGTTGTCGACGTCCTCGTCAGAAGCGTGCGAGATGTCGACAAGCTTCTTGCCAGTGGCGGGGTTGACGACTTCAAAGGTCGCGTTGTCCTTGGCCGGGACCCACTCGTTGTTACTGAATGTCAGCACAGCGTCTTCGCCCTCTCAGCGAGCAGAGAAGCTCGCCCGAGCTCAACTCACATGAAGAGTCCGGTCGGGACCTCGACGGCACCGTGGCCGGGAACGTCGAGCTTGGTAGAGGTCTTCTGGGCAACGGTCATGGTGGATGTGGATATGGGGAGTCACCAAGATGCCTTGCTGACTTAAGTATCGGGGCTGACTTTGGGTGCGAAGAGCCTTAATCGTGCCCTCGGTGCGGTGAGAAGCATGGTTGGACGCCTAGGACGCCGCATGATAGAGGGGGGGGGGGCTGCGTGTGGGTGAATGGGAGAACTCTGGGAGAATAGCAGATTGGGTTGGTTGGGGACCCGCGCTCGCCGCGCTCGGGGCTTGGCGGTTATCTCGGGACATACCAACGTGTGCGCAGCCCTGGCATCGAGCTATCCATGGCAAGTTATCCAGGTGCACGAGCAGATGGGACAAGGGTGCCCGTGAGGTCGGCCAACAGGCACCCCGGTGCCCACCTGACCGCGTATCTGGCCAGGGATCGCGTATCTCGCCAGTAATCAGGCAGATCGTCAAACTCGTCTCCACTACCGTCTATGGCTGCATCTCTGTTGGGGCTCGTGCATGCCTCGCATGTGACCCGATATGCCGGAACCCCCGGGTAAACAGTCTTCCCACCGTGCGGGGCTCAATCTGGGGGCAGCCTCCGTCTACGACCTCGTCAACAGCGTCTGCGAGCGTTTCGTGAAACGCCAGAAAAGCAACCTGAGAGCGCCTCATGGCGTATGAGAACCGGCACATCCCCTGGGAGAACGGATCAATGGATCAACTCCGGATCGGACGGGTCAAGTGTGCCTTTACGGTCAACTGCTTGTTTGAGCTCTCACGAGACGTGTCCCGTGAGCAGTTGTGAGCCCCCGTGAACGGCATCGATTGCAGAGTCTCGGCATGAGGGTGCACATGGAGAAGTCGCCGCACAGAGGCACGAGCCGTCATGTGACCTCTGCCAAGCATCGACAACGTGCAACAACGTGCATCGCAGAGTGCACGCCGAGGCGCGGTGTCCGTAGGCGGAGACCGCTGGAGCCGGTGACGAACACGGAAGCCGGATGTACCAAACGCTGCCGGACACGGGGCTCCTCTCCCGCCGCTGGCGTGCCGGCGCCAGCCACGCGGCTTGCCCTGCTGCCCGCCCTTATCGCCTGTGTTGGGGAGATAATGTTCGCACGGATCGGAGCTGCCGCGGTTGCGCCACAATCGCTGACGCGGAGAGATGAGGCAGACGAGACCGACAAGGCAGTCACCGAGTGTCCCTCCCCCACGACATTCATACACCGCGGCTCAGCTTTGTCTGAGTATCAGGACGGTGGCTAACGCCTCTTGGCAATATCCTGCACTAGTTCCTGAACCTTAGATTGCATATACAATGATTACCTGATTACCTGATTGCCAGACCTATCTGAAGATGGAGGGGATGTGGGGGAGCGATGTCACCGCGCCAGTCACCAAAGGGTGAGGGTAGTGACAGCCCCATGGAAGGGAGTGTCTATGAACTCTACAAACTACATGCTCTCGGGGGGACCCTCGTATACCCTCCTCGCGTAGATCAGGTACCACACGGACGCGATCGTGATGAAGCCTGCAAGTACGACAGAAGAGTAGTTCATCGTCTCGGGGAGCACCGGGATGGCGACGGGCATGGAGAAGACGACGAGCGCGAAGGGTGCCCAAACCATGACGATGAGGTTGCAGATGAGACCGACGGTTTTGCGGGAGAACGGCGCCTGCATGACCTGCTTGCGCTTGTTAAGCAGCGAGAGGAGGATGGGCAGAGCGTAGGCGGCCATGAAAGCATTGACAGCAGTCGAGACGAAGGAGTTGAAGGCAGTTGAGCTGCCCAGGTCGATGAGGCAGAGCAGGGCCTGGATGACGAGACAGAGGCAGATCGCCTGCGGCACGTTGCCGCCCTTGGTCACCTTGGACCAGATGCGAGATCCGGGAACGGCATGGTCGCGCGAGAAGGAGAAGAGCTGGCGCGAGGCGGTCGCATTGATACCGACGAGACAGTTGAAACCGATGTAGAACAGGCCACACATCATGCAGATCGCGCCAATGTCGTTACCGATGATAAGCTTGTACGCCCAGGGCAGCATGATCCCGTTCGCTGCTCGTTAGCTTACATCACGGGCGCGTGAGACTCACGTGCTTCAAGGAGGACCTCGGACGAGGGCATCGTGAACGTGAGCGGGATTAGGAACGCCCACGAGATCAGGAGTGAGGCCGGCAGCATAGTGTACGACACCGCACGAGGCACCGTGACGGCCGGGTTGTGGACTTCCTCAGTCATGGCGAGGACGAAGCCGGGCGCGGCGTTCGAGTAGGCAGCGGGCAGGAAACCAATGAAGAAGGTCCAGCCAGAGCCCCAGCCGGAGTACTGGGGGTCGTAGTGCGTGAAGGCGTACTTTGCGCTGTTGCGACCGGCCTTAGCGCGGACGGGAAGGACGATAAGGTGCGCGAGCGAGTAGATCCAGGAGATGTACGTGTTGGCAAGCTCGAGGAGAAGTAGGCACTTGGGACCAATGAGGAGGGGGACCGAAGCCGCGAGGAGAAGGGCGTACGCGATGAGTACGTACACCCACTGTGGTGGGGACCACTCAGGATGGACGATGTTGGCGGTAGCTACAATGTGCTGAGACATGCCGAAGGCGACCGAGGTGGTCGTGAGGAGTACAGCAGTGAGGAGGAGCCATCCGTTGATGTACGACAGAAGCTTGCGGAATCGCTTCGGCGCAAGCTGATACGTCCAGTAGTAGGCACCAGCAGCAGTAGGCCAGCGAGAAGCCAGCTCGCCGAGTGAGAAGGCTACGGTCCACTGAAGACAAGTAACAATGAGAGCGCCCCAGATCATCGTCAGTGGTCCTCCACCGATAATGGAGGTAGCCAAGGCTGTACCAGCTCCATAGTTGACGGCCATACTGTGCGTTAGCATCTCTGTGCATGGTGAAGGCTAGAGCGTCGGCGAAGGAAGGGTTGCCCGATGAAAGGAAGTCGTAATCCATCGATGTGCCACTCATCGACGATCCTCCACCGGAGGCGATCATCAGGCGAACAGTGGCCCGAGCTCTAGTGGCCAAGCTGCACGGGGCATGTGCAAGATCGTCTCTTCCTTCGCCGCTTAGCGAAGAGTACCCACCAAGTCAAACTCATGAACAGCGTCTCCTTGAATCCACGCGTACGATGAAGCTGTTGCGAGTAACCAAGCTCGTGGAGCCCCTCGTCGCCTTCCAGCTCGTCATTGGCGAGGACAACTGTGACATTACCCTCCTCCTTGATCGCCGACGGAGTTGGAGTAGGGGCGATGTCCTCCTTGCTCATGGACTCAGTAGCGTAGACAGTCATGGTGATGGGAGTGGACGGGAGATGGACCTGTGGACCAATGTTCTCGCTTGGGTGTTATACATCGTTCTGACGGCGAGCAGATGAGTGATGCGCCCAATGTCTCAGCCTGCGCAATCATCTCTTGGGGGCCTTCCGTTATCCGGGCTATCCGTGCAATCGCTTCTGGGATTGCAGCTCCAATGGCATATCGCTAGATGGTCAGGGGGCTCCAGCGAAAGGGGGGCTTGTGGCTCCCACTTTACATCCCAAGGTCCCGGGTCCGTGTGGAGGTGTGTCACTTGAGCAGCTCCAGCCCGATGCTTGAGCCGATGCCTGCAGTGCCCGTGCCGCTTCTCCGGACTGGAACCTGAGATCTCGCTACTCATTCCTGATAAGGGAATGAGGAGGCGGTTGCAAGGGGTAACAATCAGGCGGTGTTCCTTGACCGGTACCTTGCCCACTATTTTCCCCACGACGACCCGCCTGATTGCGGCTGTGGGGGCGTGGAGTCCCACCAGCGGCCGTCGCCTTCAGTCACCTGCTCCGGGATAGCGGATAACAAACCGACATGGCTGGATAAGAATAGCATACCAGGAACTTGGGATATCGGCGCTTTTAGGCGAGACAGGCAGCAGGAGACGTTCGTCAAGTCAGACGACCATTGACGAAACGAAGACGAAACTGACGAAATTGACGATGGCCTCGTCAACCGTCAGACGCCACCTTCTCTCGTCTCTGCTCGTCAATCTCGTTACTGCCACTTATCCGTCTCGTCTCAATCGGCTGCACGGTATCGGTGCCCGGCGCTTATCACCCCACATTCCCCACACCGCTCTGCTTCTCGCGGTAGTCGCGGCGCCGAGCACATCGGCGGGATGGCATGCTGCAACTGCGCCGCTCGGCGGCTCGGCGGGCAATAACATGCCAAGTTCACAGACTTCATCATTGACGAGGTTGTATATATAATCAGCTGACTCTGAGCTCTGAGATCCTCATCACGCAACTAGCTCTCCAAGCTCGCCTCTCCAAGCCTCTTCCATCTCATCGACTCAATCCAATTCAGCAACAATGACGCGCTGCCACCCCTACACTCTTGAGGACATCTGCATCGACGCCAAGGCGCCGCAGGAGGAGATCAACGCTCTTATCGGCAAGATGGGCGCCATCGTCCTCAAGGGTCTTCTGAGCAAGGAGGAGGTCGACCAGATGCTTTCCGACTTCCAGCCTCACCTTGACGCTTTGGGCCCTTCGGGCAACCGCGAGCAGTGGGACGGGTCCTTCTTCCCTCCTACTTCCAAGAAGGTCCCCGGCCTTCTCGGCAAGTCGGACGCGTACGTGCACAGCATGGCGCTCAACCCTGTCCTGAACGGCATCGCGGACCACGCCCTTACCCGCCGCACCAAGACTACCATGTCGAACCCGGAGCGCTACTGGTCGACCTGCCGCCCCCAGCTCAACGTCACGGGTGTCCTTGAGGTCAACCCCGGAGGCAAGGCTCAGGACCTCCACCGCGACGACGCCATCTACCACGACCCCATCCGCGGCTCGGACGTCTGGGACCCCAAGCAGGAGAAGTCGATCCTCGCCCTCGCCGCTCTCACGCCCGTCACCCCCGAGAACGGAGGCACCCTCATCGTCCCCGGCTCGCACATCCGCAGCGATGACCTCCCTCCTCCCACCTACGAGGACGCCATTAGCGTCCGCGCCGACCCCGGAGACTGTGTCGTCATCCTCTGCTCGGTCTACCACGCCGGTGGTGCGAACAAGCTCGAGGTCGGTGCCCCCAACTCGATCCGCACGCTCGCGCTCTGCGGCTGGTCCTGCGGTTACCTCAAGCAGGAGGAGAACCAGTACCTCCAGCTCACCAAGGAGGAGGTCATGCGCCTTCCCGTCGCTGCCCAGCGTCTCGCCGGATGGGAGGTCTCACTCCCTTACCTCGGCTACGTCAACTGGGAGCACCCCCTCCTCACCCTCGGCCACCCCCGAAGCAAGGTGCCCCAGCTCGACGACCTGTTCTACGACAAGGACCAGTCCGACGAGCGCAAGCCCTACCTCCCCTCCGTCATCTCGTGCTAGAGATTGTCAATAGCAGTTAATCCAGATTCCCTTCAGTTGTAGCATGTTCCCCTTCTGCATTGGTTCCCAAGTCTCCCTATGTTGCAATGATTACTCGGTGATTGGTGAGGCGCACAATCGTTTGAGGCGTTGAGTGATGGAGGCGCTCCGGCTTACCGGCCAACTCCCCATCCATTCACCCAGGGCTCGACACGGAGCGCCTTTGTTCGCTCGGAGCGCCTCTGCTCCATGATGCTTCCCGCCGCATTGGTCGCCGACGCCACCGCGTGCCCACCGATCAGCGCTCGAGCGGTCGGCACTTCCGATCCGGAGCGTATCTGGCCAGACTGAGTGCCTCCGGTGAATGATCAGTGCCGGGCGTCAGCAACACGACACCCCGCCAGTGGCGCCTCAGTGTGTGTCGAGCCGTTGACCCAGTGATGAGCGAGTGATGTTACAACAAGATGCACTACAGAATTAGCATATGCGAGTTCGCGTTCCAGGTGTCCGTCATGCGGACGTCCTCGCCATTCTCCATCCGCCGCCAGCAGTCGTGCACAATCTGGCTTCGTCAGCAAGATTCCGGGTAAACCAAATCGACCTCACTTCTTCCAAACGGTACACCTCCTGGAGGCAGCTCGTAAGTCGGACAAAGTCGATGATAGTCTGCATGCGCTCGCGCTCTTCGGGCGGAATGAGGCCTGCGGCGACAATGATGGGGTAGTTGAGGTTGATCATGGAGCCGGTGCGGACCGACACTTCAACGAGGAGTTCGACAATGGCAGCCGCAGAGGCTTGGATGCGCTCGTCGTCACGCGATCGCCCGAGCGCAATGCGGCGCAGGTGACAAATGAGGGCGTGTCGAATAAGCAGGTCGCCGAACTGAACACGCGTCGGTGCTGTCGTGCTGTATATCGTGGCGAGCGTGTCCGTCTCCAGCTCCTCGTTGAGGGCGCGACATGCGCGGACGTAGGCGCCGTCGCTCTCCGCGTCGCTCGCGATGCTTCCCGGTGTACCGTACGGCTTGTGTGCGAGTAGTGTTGCGAGCTGAGCCACGGTGGACAGAATCTTGAGACTGAAGCCGAAGTCGGCATGCACCACCTGCTGAGCGCACGTCACATCCTCGATCCACCGCGTGTGACCTGGCGCGAGCATGAGCGGTTCGACATTCGTTGTCAGTGCCGCAAAGGTGTCGTAAACCGTCAGATATACCAAGTGGTCCTCCAAGATGCTGTTGCCGAGCAGAGCCGCGCGGTCGTTCTCCAGTAGCCGCTGAGGTCCGCCGGTGTGAATGAGGTATTCACGAAGCAGCTGGTGCGTCTTGTTCCATTCCGGATCGCCGCTGGCGCACTGTGCGTCAGTTTCTATGCAAAGCGCATCACTCACATCACGCATCAGGAACAGTTCAAAGAGGATGCACATCGTTTCGGGGTCATTGAGGGCCGTCCCTCGAATCGCACCGACGATGACCGAGGCGGCGTCGGAGGCCAGTTGCCGCGAGGCCGCGAACATCTCGGCATGCACGGCCGTTGGCTTCATCTGCGAAAACGCGCGCTTGACGGCACCGAGGCTCCGGGTCGCGCTGACAAGCGCATTCGCGAGCGCCGCGTGCCCAGTCGCCTGCCGACCGGCAGCGGCGGGGTTGAACTCTCCCGAAGCGGAGACGAACATCTGCGCCTCCCAGAGCTTGGCGAGGACACGATCGGGGCGCGCGCGGGCACCGGGTTTCGTTGGTCGGACATTGAGCTGTCGTCAGCACTGATGGAGGTGGTGACTCACTAGTCCCGGCTCGGCAAGGAAGGATATTCCATCCAAGAACAGAGCGATGAGATCTTGGCCCTGTAACGGCATTGGCGGCGGTGGCCGCGCGCTAAGAGCGCGTGAGCCCTGTGATCGCCGTTGGGCGATCTTCGATGAGGAGAGCGATGGCGGTGGCCCTGTAGGTTTGCTCCGCGGCGCCGGGCTCGCTGTCGCTTTCGGGTAGACGCATTGTCTCTCGGGGTTGCGCTTGCAGCGCGTGCATATCGGCTGCCGTCAGCGCTGACTAAGAGCTGGACGTACCTTTGCCTCGTCGCACTTGACACGCTTGCCACGACACGTGAAGCAGCCTGTTCTCGTTCTCGGACCGTTTTTCCCAAGTGATGGCGTCGGTGTTTCCCTCATTGACGGGCCCGGGACTTCCGGCTTGAGCTGTATGGGAGTCGCAGACCTGCCGGGGAGGGATGCGACGCGCTGCGCGATCTGCTCGGCCAGGGTCGCGATCTGTTGATGCGACCAGGCTGTCGAGGAGCACTCGCTGCACGCGAGATGGACGTGGACCTGCCCGCCGGCGAGGACGACGGAAGACGACATGGCAGATCGGTGGCGCAGAGAAAGAGAGCGATATCAAGAGCGGTGACAAGCCCTGCGCTCAGCTGTGCTGAGTGGGGAAAGGGGAAGGGAGAAGTCGAAGGGGCGGACAGGGCCGCGTGCCTGGGTTCCGATACGAGTCGGTCATATCCAGAGATTACACGCCGGCTCTCCCGGAAACCCTCTTTGCTGGAGTCCTGGAAAGTATTTTTGGCCTTTTCCGAACCCGATGCCCGCTTGCCCCCCCTGTGCCTCGAAGCTGCTGACGGCACCGCTGATCCGAAGCTCGTCTACGTGCACACTCGCTTGTTTGTGAGGGAACGTCGCCGAGCGATGATGGTCCCCAGCTTATAGCCGTGAATGAGGATCTAGCCCTGGACTCGCGGCCCCGCAAAAACGAAGGAGTCGGAATCGTTCCAGTTACGGGCCCTCGGTCGCCTGACTTGACATCACGCGACCTCCTTTCCATGACTACAGGCACTGCTCCGCATGCTCCCCTCGTTTAGTAGCACTGCCGAATTGTCGACAACGAACATACAAACAAACGGGCAACCCCGAGATGTCGGCCTTACATCGCCGCTGGCTCTCCAGGACATCCAATAGCGAGCTCCGCATCTCATATCCCTTCAAGGGATACCCCACTTGACGGAGACGGCGGCGTCGGTGAGCCCCAACGCTTCGGAGTCGGTGTGCGTGGGGCAGATGTGGGATGGACTAAAGTTCCGGCTAAGCCGACACTGACCACAGCTTCCTCTCATACACAACGGGTGCATGGACTGACTACAGGTCTATGGATCAATCGGCGCCGTCGTACAACATGCCGTCTACCGATAGTGGAGGCAGGCTTACTTGCTGTCACGCCGCCAAGGAACGTCCTGCCATCCCTCGTCGATTGGCGTCGGTGCAACGGGATTCGGCTGCGGCATCTCCATCAACGGAATTTGCTCTGGCTCATCTGCGATTCTCCAAGGTCGTGGCCAGCTGGGCCGCTTCACGGTCGGCTCCGGCTTCGACACCCCCTGGTGTTCCTCCATGTCCACCGTCGCCTGCTCCTGCACGGGCACAGGGACGGGAACAGGCGCCGAGTCCCTTCTGGTAGCTGTATCCCTCAGATTCGACCACACGGTGAGGGCAGCAACGATGAAGCGGTCTTTGGCGGTCTGGAGTGCGCCGGCGGGAGCATGCGGTTGTGCTTCGGGCAGCGGCATGGGGTAGGGTGTCACGAGTGGCCCATCTACGAGCCAGTGTGGGCCGCGATCCTCCTCGATCTCGCGCTGGACGCGGCGGCGCTGCGCCTGCCGGCCGAGGAGCCCGACAACTGCACAGAGGGCCGCGAGAGCCACGCTGCCGCCAAGCACGCCGCCAACGATAGCGCCGACATTGGGTCCGCTGTTCTCCTCCACTTTGGGCTCGGGGACGAGGAGGCGGAACCCCGAGTCGTAGAACGTGATGCTGTGCAAAGCCACCGGGCCTCCGGAAGCGAACACTCTCGCCGAGTACTCGATTGACGGGTCCAGAGTCGCGAACCACACTCGTTCGGCTTGATAACGGTCTCCGCTGAGGTCTAGACGCGCGGGTCCGGGGATTGAAGGACTCAGCCGGATGTCCAGGATGCCAAAACTGGGTCCGCGAGTCACATTCAAGCTGATCCAGGAGCTGTTCGCGGGAGCGCGGAACGTGATCTGCGCACCTCGCGGGATGACTATGCCGTCCGCTCCGGCTGGCGCGACAAGGCGTGATAGGGCCGGATGATGGATGTCACTCGCATACGCGCTCGTCGGGAGCCAATCGTCATGGTTGCCGGGGGCATATGTGAAAGGGGTCCGCAGACTGTCTCCGTCGAGCAGCCGCCAAGTTGTTATGTTCACAGCCGTCAGGCTCTTACTGAAGGTCAGCAGGGATGCATTCGCAAACTTACGCAACCGTCGCCATCCGCGTCGTCACTTCTATCCTCTGGATGACGGTTGACAGGCCCGCGTGGACTGTGAGCGGGGTCTCTTTCCAGTGACCTTCGGCCAAGCCTATGAGTCCGCTCGAGGATGATGCGCGGTTTGGGACGTCGGTACTGTTACGGGTGAAGTAGAGATCTCTGAGCGCCCCGCTGCTGTTGTGAAGCCCTCCGTACACATACACCGGCCCCACAATGGTGGTGATGTTCAGACTGGCGGTCTGATTGACGGCGAGAAGCGCCAAGTCCTCTCCATAGGTGCCATTCACCTTCGTTCCGTTGGAAGCGTAGTTCATGGCAGTCTGATTTGCGGTGCCGTACGTTGCCGCCCAGCCCGTCTGAGGTAGCGAGGCGATCGAAAGCGAGATGTTGAACTCGAGTGATGGCCAGTCATTCGTTGGTGACTCATCTCGTGGTTTGAAGGAGTGTATATAGGCAAGAGATAGTGCTGGTAAGCACAGGGCGAGTAGCAACATGTCAGGTGTGTAGATGAGTGTTAGTCGAGGAGGGATGTACGTGTTTCATGGCGACGCACACTCGTCGCGCCAGACTGCACTGCACCGCCGGGCGGCTTCTCTGTTCTACCCGATAGTCGGTGCAGTGGAGGGTGAAAGAACCATTCTCACAGTCTGTGCTTCGGGACGGACGTGCAGAGATGTGGCCGGTGCTCGAGCGAAGTCGATTTGCCTGGGGATACCGTGCAGTGCTCACGGCCCGTTGATGAGAAGCTTTCTCCCTACTAAAGAAACCCCGCCAACAATCTGGGCAGGGCCTCAATGCATACTGTATTACCTGAGCTCTGTCAGCGCCGTCTGCCAGCCCCGAGACACATGCACACTGCACACACGGCGCTGATCGCTGTGATTTGCAGGCACCGAGAGTGATCTGCCCACATTGATCTTATCTCGGATCAACGTCGGGTACGTCGGGTAACGCCGCCGATCCCCAGTTCGGGGCACCATGTTCGCAACGCCCTCTTTCGTGTGTGCTTGACGTTGCGATAGATGCTGCGATTGTTGTTGATGCTGTTTAACAAAGGGAGTGACTCCAAGAGGTACATACATGCATCACTAAGGCGTTGGGTGCCATGTTCTTGCCTGACGCGTCCGTCGCCGAAGTCCGACCGCTGGAAGCGCACTTTAACCTCTACTAGTCCCCGAAGAGGCTCAAGCGGCCCGCGCCGAACGTTCAGATCCGTTCGGCTGCACTCCGCCACTGGCCTGCATCCCATGTAGCCTGCAGCCGAGCAAAGTTTCTGGATCGACCGGCACTAAGCACGAGATAACCTCTCCACGGCATCGGCTCCTGTTCCCCACGTCGTTCGCCGGGGTGGGACGCAGCCAACTGTAGCGCATTCGAGCGTGGGGCATGCGCGGGGTCTGCCGCTGTCCACTAGGCACTAGGGCCGTGAAACGACTAGACAGAGGATGCCATGCAGAGCTGGGTCTGCTGATGCGGTGGCAACTCGGCCAACTCGGGCACCATCACCTTCCCAATCGGCGCTAGGGCCACAATAGACCGCGTTAGACCGTCTGCTCACGCTAACACTCGGCTCCCACCGCCCGTCCCACCACCGTGCACATGGCGCACCTCAGCAGCGCGCGTCAGCATACCACCATTTCGAAACCGCACTCCACCCAGGCAGCCTGTCCGGCCCGGCAGTCGACATCCTCGACACCAGCACGCCAGCAACCGCGCTAAACTAACCCTTCTTCACCACCACCAAGCAGACTAGCAGCGCTCTTCACCGGGTACGCTACCCGGTCTGCACGCTTTACGACGCCGTGCTATATAACGTCTCCGGCGTTGCATCTTCCCGGTCCCAACCTCCTCCTCCTCTTCTTCTTGTCTCCTGTCTCCTACACTCCGCTCTTCACTCCTTTCAGCCGCGACTCCGACGACCTCGACCAAAATGGCCCTCGCCCCCTCCACGCAGAAGTCCACCAGGGTCTCCCCCCAGAAGGAGCAGCCCAAGGGTCACTTCGCGGCCAGTGAGTACAGCTCATGCCCGAGCGCGCTCTCCGGGGCACTGAGCGGGCGCCCTTTGCGCAGAGCAAGTACTAACAGAAACAGACAAGTACACGTACTGGCGCCGGAGCATCCTCCTCGGCATTATCCTCTCGGCCTACCTGGGCTACACCAAGGGTGGCGCGTACGGCTGGGTCCCGGCCCTGGTGACGTTCTACTCGACCGTGCACATCTTCGAGTCCATTGCCAAGAAGCCCGAGGGCATCTTTGCGCGCCTCTTCCTCGTCGTCACGAACCTCCAGCGCATCATTGACTTCGAGGACTTTGTCCTCTCCCCGTTCCGCAGCCAGGTCAAGGCTGCCTGAGCGAACAGGCATATACCCCGAGCCTTAGACTGTACCACCATGTCTCCGCGTGCTGATAGGTAGTTGGAGTTCTGCATCAGATTATACTGTTGTCCTGATTTCTAATTGATACACATCTAAGGAAGAAGGCCGCGGAACGGTTGGAGAAAGAAAGTCTAATCTATGGGGAGAAGAAAGGCGTTCGTCTACTCTACTGACACCTACTGACGCCACTGACGCCAGCGAAAGGTTTACTTCCACTTGCCATCGTTCGGGAGGAGGAAGCCGGGGTGCGTCACAGCTAGTCCAGCCATACAGAGGACCATGATGAAGCCGTCGAGCCAGATGAAGTACACCTCGTGCGTGATGACGTACCCGCTCCAACCCTGGGCGAGCTCGACGGAACGGTAGATACCACGAATGTAGATCATGAGGGTGGCCCAAGCAACGCCAGCGAGGAGGATCTGCGCCTTGCGGACGTCGCGCTTATCCCTCGGGCCCTCGGGCTTGGTGACACTGCTTCCCTCGCTGGTCGGGAGGGCGTCCTCGGGGGTCTTGTTCTTCCTGCGACGGAGACACTTGCACGACATGAAGTTGTGCAGTTTGGCAGGGTACGGCTTGTGGAACATGACGCGGACGATGAAGTCGATGGCGAGGACGACGAAGATCGTGGTCGTCGCGAGCTGGAACAGGATACCCGCCAGCATGATGTGGGTGCTCTCCGTCGTGTCCTTGTAGTCCTGGGCTGCTACGGCCGCACCACCGCCTCCGACGGCCTGCAGGATCAGAGAGATGATGTCCGCCGCGACGAAGATGATGATGTACGCGTTTGGCGGGATCAGCGAGTACTCGGACCCGAGGTAGCGGATACAGAAGCCGAGGAGGGTGTAGTCCTGCGAGAGTCAGCGATTGTCTACACGTTCCTTCTCCAATCTCCCTCCGCAGTTTACTCACCCAGGCAGAGAAGAAGACGGGGCCGATGATAAGGCAGCACGTCTGCATAATGAACGGGTCCCAAAGGAGGATGTTCTTGTTCGACCAGAGGCGGCCGGCCCAGCCGATAATCTCAAGAATACCGCCGACGACCATCGTTCCGATTGCCGAGGCATACTTGAACTTGATGGCCAGGACGAGGTGCACAATCGTGAGAAGCGAGAACACTACCGTATACGCAACTGTCGACGAGAGCGAGGGCGTGTACCCGTACGGCGACTCGGACGTCTTGCCCTTGTGCGCTTCCTTCCAGGACTCGAGCGCACCGGGCGTGAGCGTCTCCGTTTGGCCGTTGAAGGTCACCGTCGTCAGTGTCGGAGCCTGCGCATAGACGCTGGCGGCGAACAGCAGTGCCGCGGCTGAGAGGCGAAGAAGTCTGCCCATGACGTAGGGTCGTTCCTAGAGTGGTGGTGGTGACAAAAGAAGGAGTGAGGGTTGGAAGAGGTGAGCGACGGACTGCCAGTGATAAGCGCCGAGCTGTCTAAGCCTTGTCTCGGAGCGAGTATCGGCGTCGCTCTGGTCGTTGGTGACGGAGGGCAGGCACAGAGTCTCCGAAAACTTTAACCACGATAAGCCTGTGGTGCCGTTACGGTTATCAGCGGGGAGGGGTGGTGTCGTTATCGAGTGGCGGTCGTGGAGGTTTATAACAGTCGAGCGGACCAACTATCGAAGTCTTGGCGTCTCAATCAATGTGGAAGTGAGTGTTGTTGTCGAGACAACATTTTCTGACTCGCGACATGCCCGACTGCCTGCAGACGCCCACAGGTGCCAGGCTGGCCGAGGGCCATGGAGGCACGCTGAACGTTCTCCGCTGCTGTACAGGAACTGTGGAGCACCTCCGGCTCCGGCGGCCCTGCGCGCCCTTGATCTCAAGCCGAGGCCGGCCGCGCTGAGGCTCTGATTCGCTTTTCGGGGTATTGGGCTTCAAGCTGCATGCTGCATGCACGGTCAGGTTTGCAGGAATGCTCACTCAGCACGAAATTTTGGATGCCAGGTAGAGAGAAGAGGGCGGACTCAGGACGGCGATGACGTCTGCCCGACCCTTTTGGCCGGGGTTGGGCCCTGGGTCGCCGCTCATATCCTATCGCTGCACCTGCAGAGCAGGCTGCGGATATACGACACTCGCCTGGAGAACGGCGAGTATTTGTTTGGTTCACCGCGACGATCCTGGTGTTACCCACATCATGCTGCTCAGTGTACAGCAACGAACGTTCGACGTCAAACCGCAGTCAAGGAGGGGCCAGACAGTGTCCGATAGCCACCGTACTGCAGTAGCGAGGCTTGTGCGCCGACCGGCGGCGTAAACGGCGAACGCACACCGTGTAAGCGTCGCGGATCCGGAGACCGTCGGTTAGCGTTTGAGGAGAGCACTGGATCTCGAGTCCAGAACGACCCAACTACATGTCAGCGTCAGAATGCTCGCTTATGGTGACAACAGCAATCCCCAAATCTTTCTCAGAGCGCCGAAGCAGGAACAGGAGGGCAGGGGGATACTTTGCGCCGCATACTGCGGGGCTCGGTCGATCGCAGTTTGCAGTCGCGATTCATCGCTTTCATGACTCGAAACCCCACATTATGAGGTCTGGAGCCAGCGCGGGTGGTGCGCGCAACATCGTACTGCGGAGAGTTCACAACTGAACGTTAGTTTCAGATTCCACGATAGTCATCATCGTTGTCGAAGGCGGTGCATCAGATGGGTGATGCCGAAATGCCGAGCGTGTTATCGCAACGAGATCTGCTGCGACACGGCGATCAAGCCTCCGTCTCAGGTCTTGTTGGGGGTCACAGGCTGCGCTCAAGGTCGCCCCCATCCAGTCCCCTGAGCTCTGTCATGCACCAACTGATTGTTGTGCCACCCGCCCCGACAAACTCCTAACTACTGCTTGGTGCCGATAGTGCACACCATACGCTGGTCCGAATTGTCGCTTGACCGTGAAAACTACAAATGATCTTCGCGATGCCGAGTGCGGAGTTGACCGTACGTCTATACACAATCGGGAATCAAGAGATCGCTCACGGTGGGGCAACGGGCGATGCCGCGCCGCACGTTGGCTCGCGATGCAGACAGTCGGCCTCAAGAAGAGCTCACGACCTCGCAAAGAACGCTGTTCAAGAGACTGTAGGGTGATGTCAGCCAGGTGCCCACCCCGGCTACTTCTCGGTCTTCTCCGCGGCGTCCTGTCGGATGTGGGCGGATGATAACCTTGATCGCGACCCCACTGCTGCCTTATGATTGACGGTTGGCTGCATCTCCTTTCACTGAGTGGACTGATACGACTGCCAATACGACAGAATGAACACGACCAGCACCAAGTGGGTGCCATCCTTGACCAATGACGAGTGTACGTGGTCGCGGCCTTCCAGCGCTAACTTCAGGCGACGCACTTCTCTGCGGGCCAGACGGCATGTTCCCAGTTGAGGAGATGGTGCTCGCAGGTAGGCGGCAGAAAGTGTACAAGAATGTGAGTCCCCCTACATCAACCGCTGACAATCAGCTGCCGAAGACGTTCCGCCATCTTCTGCGGGAGGGTACGCGCAAGTTCGCCGATCGGGTCGTGGTCTCCTCGCCGATCCCCTTGCCGGCCGACTTCTACGCGCGAGAGGAGCTCACCTTCCAGCAAGTCTACGACCGCGCCTTGGCGCTTGCCGGCATTCTGCGCGAGCGTGGAGTCAAGGTCGGAGACAAGGTCGCGCTGGGCGGGAACAACTCCGCCGACTGGGTCATCGCCTTCGTTGCGCTGCAGCTGCTCGGCGTCAATGGCGTGCTCCTCAACGCAACTCTGACGCCGGAGGCGCAGGTGCACTGCCTCGCTCTCACGGGGCCCAAATTTGTGCTCGTTGAGGAAGCTATGGCGGGAGAGATTGGCCCGCTCGCAGATGAGCTCAAGAGCAAGGGCGTTGGGCCCATCTGGTGCTGGAGCAGCGTCAAACACCTGCCCGCCGCGGCGCAGGCGGGCGTGCAAGAAATCTCGAGCCTCAAACCTGCCGCCGCGCAAACCGTGCGCGACATCGATGCCGGCACGAGTCTCGAGGGACTCGAGGCTGACTCGGACGCGTTCATCGCCTTCACATCGGGCACGACGAGCATGCCGAAGGGCGTACTGCTCTCGCACCGGGCGGCGCTGCACATGCTTCAGACATCGCCTCTGATCATGGCACGCGCGCTCTTGCGCAATGGACGCACTCTTGATGAGGTCATGGAGTTGATGAACACGCCCCCGCCCCAACAGCCATGTCATCTGATGGCTACGCCCCTGTTCCACGTTACGGCGCTGTGCGGCGGCTTCATCGCGCAGTACGCCTCGGGCATCAAGTCCGTCTTCATGCGCCGCTGGAGCGTGCCGGAGGCCGTTAAGCTTATTGTGGCCAACAACGTCCAGTTCCTCGGTGGCGTACCGGCCGTCGTGCAGAGTGTGCTGCAGTCTCCCGACCTGCCGAAGGACTGGGTGTTCAACCGCTTCTCGTACGGCGGCGCTCCGCCGCCGACCCGTCTGGCCGGAGACCTCGTCAAGCGCTGGCCGGGAGCTATGCCGTGAGTGTACCAGCCCAGAATACGCTGACAACCAGGACCCACTCGTGGGGTATGACAGAGCTCAGTGCGATGCACGTCGGCTTCTGCGGGCCAGACTACGTCAGCAAGCCCGAGGCCGTCGGGCCGCCCATGCCGATCAATGAGATCCGTATCGTCGACCCGGAGACTAGGGCCGTGCTCCCCACCCGCGGCTTTGGCATCATCGAGGCTCGTGGCTCCAACATGATGAAGGGATACTACAACAACCCGAAGGCGAACATTGAGACTATCAACGAGGACGGCTGGCTGGACACGGGAGACATGGGCTTCATTGACGAGGACGGCGACCTCTGGATCCGTGATAGGGGTGAGTTGTAGTGGCGCCTGCTTCGCTGACGTTCAGCGAAGGACATGATCATCCGTGGCGGCGAGAACATCGCGAGCGCTGAGGTTGAGTACGTCGTGAGCCAGGATGAGCGCATGGCCTGTGTCGCGGCGGTTGCTGTGCCGGACGACGTGCTCGGCGAGCTCGTCGGCATTGCTGTTGAGCTCGCCCCTGGTCAGGTGGTTAGTCCCCAGGAAATTATCGATTTTGCGGATGCCAGACTGCGATACCCCGCCCGCCCAGTCATTTGCGTTGTGTTTGACGAACTGCGTAAGTTTACCGGAGCGAGCCCGACTGACCCCAGCACGCGGCGCGACGAACAAGGTGCTCAAGAACGAGGTCAAGAAGGTAGTCCTTGACGCTTGGGAGAAGCAAGGACGCATGCGGGGCGTCAAGGCCAAGGCTAGACTGTAGAGTCTTATCAGAAGTACATCACGCATGGAGGAAAGAAGTTCAAGAAGAATGCCACACCTACGTTCACAGTCGAAACGCATAGTCCAGGAAAGAAAAGCAGGCGCGCGGGAGCGCCACCGTCTCCGTCCTCTCGACGAGCTCACTGCCCTATGGCTCAGTTGGCTAGCGCGTGGAGCTGTTACGTTCAGTAACATTTAACTCCGAGGTCCACGGTTCGAGCCCGTGTGGGGCAGTCTTTTGCATCTCCAATGCATTTGGAGGTCAGTTTTGACGGCGCCGAGGGTTGTCGGAGAGTGTCGAATGGGAAGTGAGGTGTCGAAGGGTCGTAAGGGTGGAAGTCCGGTATGGGTGCCACTAAAAGTTGAGGACACAATGGGATCAACTGGGATAAGCTAACTACTCAACGCTTCAGGAGCTCACTATGCCCATCGCGGTCTAGCAGCTATTAGCAGAAGCTTTCCGCTCGAGTATGCCTTTCCCCGTTTCCTCCATCGACACTGGTCCACTTCAGAGCCTGGCATGAGCTCAGGTCGCTAGCGCATGAGCTCACATCTCGCGCCCTAGTCGGCCAGCCCCAGAAGAGTTGTCGTTCGCGGCTGATGTTAGGTCAAGCCTGGGATGAGCTTGGTCGCTATTGTGACAGCTCACCTGCAAAGGCCAACGGGCTAAAGCGAGGTCAGCCAGGGTCAACGTCTGAGGGAACAGTCCAGAGAACGATCGCAAGCTTGAGGGCTGGTGTCAGCTCATGGGGCGTCAATGATTAGCTCACTGTTAGGCGCAGGAGCCAGCTCCTCCCTCAGGCAGCAGAGCGTGCCACACTTGCTCTTGTCGTGGCTGATGTTAGCTTCGGTAGTGGGGTGACAGCTCCCGCTGAATCCAGCTGTGCAACTAGGCCAGCTACTCGCTCTTGCTCATGTCACGGCAGAAGTAAGCTTTAGAGAGATAAAAGCTCGGCCCAAGGCTGGACTCGGCTACGTCTCGAGCGATGTAGCTTTCTCATCTCTTCGCACGAGACGCTCGCACTGGTGTCAGCTGTAAGATTCATGCCCACCAGCTCACGACGAACAACCAGCCCGACTAGATCTCATTCTGGGTCTGGTGTCAGCTGGAAACGGGATGAGATTCAGCTCACTAACTCCTTCTACAGTATCGCAGCCTGCAGTCAGCTGATAAACCTGCCCACCAGCTCACAGTTTGCCAATCCCCGACGATCCCGCCCTGTCAGCCAAACCATGGCATCTCACTGTCTTCTGCTGCTGAGGGTCTGCGTAATCCGTGCTATCATGTTCGATGGGCTTGCGCAACGCTATTCTCCATAGTGAGACTGAGGTCAGCTAAGCAAAACCCACCCTGAAGCTCCCTTGTCCCGCCAGGCCTTCTCTCTTTCCCACTTGACTGTGAGGCTGCTCGTTCCAACTTGAGAGGTGCTGGAGTCAGCTTTCGACGGAGCTTGACTAAGCTTACGCTCTCTGCATCGGATCAAAGCACAGCAGTGACCTGAGGTCAGCTTGGGTGCCACACAATGAAGCTTGCCTCCGTCCGCTGTTAGCTCAAAGGCTTGGGTGCGTCGGGCTTACGGTTCCCCTCCCTATGCCATCGGGCATGCGCCTAGTTGGAAGGAGACTACGCTGCCGTCAGCTCGAACTCCAACATAAGAGCTCACCTCCGCTAGAACCGGCGGAGTGATGGCGAAAGCGTGGGACACATTGCGCTTTCCACTTGAGTCGTGACACCTCGTTTCTTAGCACGCTTCCCCATCTGATCGTCGCTTCGACATTGCGCCCCGCTCACTGGCCTTTCTACCGCGCCTATTTAAACGTAGTGGCACAAGCAATTGCTTCAAGTGAAGTGTGGAACGTTGCAAAGACGCCGAACACGCCCAGGCTGCCAGTTCAACAGCTACGATCAGAGATGCATTCGCTACGCCCTAGAGTTCTATGATTGCTATACTGGACACTGCCCTAGATGATCTAACCGGCGTGCTCGACAATCTCCGTGACGAGCTTTCCGTCGACGACCCTGCTCCGCATCTGTTCGGGCACGGGGCGCTCGACAAAGTCGCCGTCCTCGCCGGCGGGAATCGAGATGTTGAGCGCGGACGTCTTGGACGTGACAACCTCGACCGTGTCCATGCACTCCTTGCTCAGGAAGATGTTGCCGCTATCCGTCGTGTCGACCTGGACCGTGGGGCACATGCCCGTGATCTGGACCTCGAAGCTGGGCGAGCTCGTGACACTGACAGACGAAACGACGGATTCGAGCACGACAGACGTCTTCATGCAGTTCACCATTGTGAGTGCGTTGATCTTGCCGTGCACGCGCAGTACGGTGTTCTTGCAGTTGAACAGGTGCACCGTGTGGTGCAGCGCCGTGTCCTTGATCTCGAGATTGCGCGCGTCCTCCTGGTTGTCGACCGCCCACTTGTTGCCCTCGAGCTCGAGCTTGGGCGGCTTCTTCGCCGGAGCTGCGGGCGCACGGGAGAAGCCAGCGGGCTTCGCCTTCACGGGCGGGCCCTGTCGCTTCGACGGCGACACGGAGCGCTCGGGCACCGTTCCGGCTGCGCGCAGCTCGGGGTTCTTGTGCATCTGCTGCGAGGGGTCTACCTTCTTCAGGCCGGAGGTGATCGCACCGCCCTTGTTCAGCGACGCGAGGAGGGCGGCGTGGCCACCTCCGCCACCGCCGGAGCCACCGCTAGACGGGGTCGGGGCGGCGGGAGCCGGCGGGGGAGGAGGCGGCGCGGCCGGGGCAGCTCCCGGCGCGGGCATCGAGTCCGGAGCAGGCGATCCCTGGGGTTCCAGACGACGCCGGTCGTGTGCCACTGCTTGACGCGACGAGCATGCCGAAGGGCGTACTGCTCTCGCACCGGGCGGCGCTGCACATGCTTCAGACATCGCCTCTGATCATGGCACGCGCGCTCTTGCGCAATGGACGCACTCTTGATGAGGTCATGGAGTTGATGAACACGCCCCCGCCCCAACAGCCATGTCATCTGATGGCTACGCCCCTGTTCCACGTTACGGCGCTGTGCGGCGGCTTCATCGCGCAGTACGCCTCGGGCATCAAGTCCGTCTTCATGCGCCGCTGGAGCGTGCCGGAGGCCGTTAAGCTTATTGTGGCCAACAACGTCCAGTTCCTCGGTGGCGTACCGGCCGTCGTGCAGAGTGTGCTGCAGTCTCCCGACCTGCCGAAGGACTGGGTGTTCAACCGCTTCTCGTACGGCGGCGCTCCGCCGCAGCGGCGCCCGGAGCCACAATGCCGGCGAGAGAGTCGTGCTGAGATCCGGTCGGGGAACGGAGCGAGGCTGAAGGGCCGAGCGACTGCTGCGAGACAGCGACGTCCTCGAGGCGCGAGGTGACAGCTGCACGTTAGCTAAGAGCTCGCAAGTACGATGGCTAGCGATGGATTGGGACCACCCAGATGATCCGAGCGGCCCAGCTCTGCGACTCCTACCTCGACGCGAGCATTATGGGGCGAGCACCATAGTACTCTCTGAGATATCGGGACCTCTCTACTCACCCTCGAGTCGCTTACTGCGCTGTCAGCTACTGAACACCTCTAGAGCTGCGACCTCCACCTTCATCTCCGCCCCGCCCGACGGCTGTCGTAGCTTCGTGGGCGACACCTCCTCCCGCCTCTTTTTGAAGTCGCAGCTCAAACACCAAGCCCCAGTCATACTCACATAATCGTGCTCAACGAGTGAAGGCCCTGGGGCTGTTGCGCCTGTGCCATGGTGAATGAGTGGTTGAGGAGTGCAGCAGCTGGTGCTCAGGAGTATTGACGTAGCATCTAGGGACGTCAGATGTGGGGGATCTTATTCGAGCCACACCCTATCGATCGCGATGACGATCACTCCGCCGAGGCACCGAACATACCGAGCGAAATCGCAGTCGATGGTCCGCACGCATCGCAGCAAATCGTGTAAAGATCAATTGTTACATCTATCGAGTATCACTTGTAGGTCACGATATTATCTACGTATCTTCGCTTCAATCTTCCAATGCAGAACAGGCCGCGGCTCCTTACACTCCCAGTCTCTGATCTCACTAGACTCCCTTCTCTCTGATGATTGCTATGCGCTCTACTCGCTCGAATCCTACTCGGCCAGGCCGGCGCACAGCTCCCTCAACCTCCGCACCAGCATCTTGCCGTACGCGTCCTCACCGTCGCGCTCCATGACGACGTCGAGGCGGTCGAGGACACCACGGAGCGAGGCGGCGGCGCGCTGCAGAGCCTTGCCGCTCGTTCCGCCCGCGGTTGCGTTTAGCGCCTTGCTGTACGCCAAACTGGCACTGAGGCCCTCGGGACGGACCGGGCTAGTCTCGCTCGCGTAGTACAGCATGTGCCTCCAGATGAGCAAGAGGGCTTCCTCAATCATATCTGTGGGGTTAGCTGATGACAGGAGCCGTGTCAGCTGCAGGAAGGCAGAAGATGGGGCGAACTCACTGTTAATCATGCTGAGGCGCACAGCGAACGCATCGTGCAGCTCCTGCACCGTCTCGCCTTCGATGCCGGGGATGTCGACGCGGGGCGCGTCATCTCCGCTCGCCAACTTCTCAGCGACATCGTCATAGGCAGCACCCACATCCTGCGCAGCCTCGGCCAGCTCAGCGACGAGCTCGACCGTCTCGCCCACGCTCGGGGCGGATGCAGCAGACATGCCATGGGCGGGCGCGCGCGCAACACCAGTTACGAGCACGGGCACACCCTGGCCAGCCTTGAGGCCGCTCGTCGTCTTGACCAGGTACTGGAGGATGATCTGGTTGAGACCGAGGGCCGCAGCGGCGCTTCCCTCAGTCTCGCCGTGGAGGTTGTCGGCCCACGAATTGTCGAAGAACTTGGCAGCGAGGCCGAGGACGGCGTAGTGGTACGCTCCGAAGGCGGTCGGGTTTGCCAGGTCCTCCTGCGACACCTTCGGCACGACAGCGGTCAGGAGCGCAATGATGAGGCGCGACTCCTCGATGCCCGGGACGGTAATGTAGGCGGCGTCTTCGCGGAGCAGGACCACGAGCGACTCGCAGTGCGCGTGCAGGAACGAAAGAGCGTGCTGCACGCCACTTCGCGTCGGGTTGGCGAGGATGCGCACGAGAAGCTGCAGGGCGGTGATCAGCGCGCTATGCTGACGCTCCACCGTCTCGAACGCCGAGACCTCAGAGTAGACATCGTCGCTGAACGGCTGCGCGGCGATGAAGCCACATGTCGCAAGCACCTCGAAGATGCCAGCCTCGACGAGGTCGTCGGCGCCCTTCGAGGTGGCAGCGTACGCGGTCAGGAAGGCGATCTTCGACTCGTACACCCAGTAAGCGTGCAGGTTCTCGGGCTCGGGAGAGAGGCACTCCTGGAGCGCCATCTCACGGTCCTTGATGCTGCGCACGAACTGGAGCAGGAAGCCGCCCTGCGTCAGCGGTGTCATGAGCGACTGGCTGCCAAGGGAGACAATGCTGGCGAGAAGCGAGTAGCACTCGGTCTTCCACACATCGCGCATGTCCATCGCATCACGGCAGATAACGGCGACGAAGCGGTCCTTGCGTGCTGAGAGCACGAACACAGTCTTCTTGTGCAGAGGGTGGTCGGGGTCGTCGGGCACGAGCTGCAGGTATTGCGACACGGCGGCGTACAGGTTACCGCGCGCGTTCTCGGTCGTTCCCGGCTTGACAGCGGCGTCGATGACCTTGAGCAGCGTAGCGCCTAGCCGGTCAATGGGAAGGTTGGTCGAGTCGAACACAGAAAGGACGTTTGCGAGGGTCGTGAAGGCGACGAGAACAGCCTCGCACAGCACCTCGAGAACACCGGGAGCAAGGTCGTTGTTGAGACGGTCGAGGATGGCGTCGAGCAGCTCGAAGAGGAGCACCTCCTGGCGGTCCTCGGGCACGTTGTGGAACAGCATGACGAGCGACACCTTGAGCACTTCGAGCCATGACGTCAGGAACGTGCCCTTGGCGATGTCGATCTCGGTCTCGCGGTTCTTGATCGACAACCGGCGGAGGATGTAGTCGATCTCACGGCCCATCGCCTGTGCCGATGAGGGGACGAGGTTGGACTGGCGAGCGAGGTGGCGTCCCTGGGCACGGAGAGCGCGGCCAAGGAGGTCGACATCGTACCACTCAGATCCGGGACGCTTGTACTGGTCAAAGTTGAAACCGGAGAAGAACTCAAGCACCTTGTTCTGGGTCGCGTCACCGGCATCCGCCTCCGTGAACTTGACGTCAACGGCCGACACGAGGTCGATGAGCAGCGGCGGGCGCTGATCATCCTCATCCTCCTTGTCGTCGGAGAGCAAGTTCTCAGCGATGAACTTGGACGTCGAGCCGCGAGCATCGAACGCGAACGTCTGCAGCGCCGTCATTGAGAGGATGAACTTCTCGTAGTCGAGGAAGGCAACGAGGACGTCAGCCGAAGTCTCGACCTCGTCAGTGTAGGTCGAGGCGATGCCGAGGCCGGGAACGTCACGCATGACCTGCGGGCAGGTGCGAGGGAGGGTGGCGAGCTGACGAGCAGGGAACGCCTCGTAAGACTCGGCATACGCCATCGTCGGCGGGCCGGTGATCGAGTTGGCGAAGAGCTGATACAGAAGCTGGGCGCTCTTCGACGCCAATACCGGGTGCAGCTGGATCATCGGCGGCTGGTCGCTGAGCTGCTCGAGCGTGACACCGAGACAAGACAGGCGCGAGTTAGGAGCACGCGGGTCCTGCAGTCCGAGCTCACGTGCCCGGAAGTCGAAGCCGAGCAGGAAGTGCGCGAGGTTCGGACCGCTGCTGTCCGCGGTACCAGTGACGAGAAGATCGAGGATGTTTGAGCGGATAACGATGGGGTGAACCTCATCCGACTTGGCGGATAGGACATCCTTGACCTCCTGGTCAATTTCGGAAGGCGCCAGGTCCTCGCCCTCAGCCTCAAGGCGGGTGTAAAACGCCTGCGCGATGCGAAGCGACTCGTCAGACGACTCGATGATGCCGGCGAGACGGTTGACTGCCCGCGAGTACTCGCCTCGGAAGATGTCTGTCGTCGATAGGAGTGGTGACTCGGCAAGAGACGAGATAATCTTCAGAGAGACTAGCGAGATAGCGAGGTCGTTGTCACCGACGAAAAGCGCGATGGAAACAATGTTCGAGAGGCGATTGAGGAGATAGTGGTCGAGAGACTGGAAGCTAAGCGGGCGCTTGAAGCCAGACGTCGACGCGAGGGTGAGGAGTAGGACGTCGCTGAAGACGAGCTGGATATCGAGGATCCTGTAGTAGATGCGGAGGACGTGGAGGAGAACCGAGTTGACAACGGCACTGCGCGGCGGGGACATGTTGACTACGTGGTCGATCACGTCGGCCATGGGGGTGAAACAGTTCGGGTCGCTCAGGATGCGGAGGAGGACGAGGAAACCCGGCTGCTCAGCGAGCAACGAGGCGGTGCCTCGGACAGGTGAGAGCAGCTCGGTGAGGTCGAAAGTGACAAGCGTCTTCTCAATGAACGCAAACACGGCGTCGAGGAGCTCCCAGTGCTCTCCGTCCTGGCTGTACTTGCGACCCTTGCTGAGCATCACCCGGTCGATCACGTACATGGCGCCGCGACGGAGGGCATTGTTCACCGTAGCATTCGTCGACGGCACGAGCGCAGTCAGGAAGCGGATGTAAGCCCTCGTCAGGGGGTACGAGCCGGCCTCCTCCTCGTTGATCTCCATACGCTGCATCCAGCCGATGGGCGCGGGCACCCGTGAGTTTTCCCGGACGTCGAGTGTCGGGTCGGCAAAGGTGACGCGGTCGTAGTTGTCAACAGCAGTCTTGGCGACCGCCTCGTCGGCGGTATCTCCCCGGCTCGAGACCAGCGCCGTGATCGTGTCCATAACAGTCGCCTTCAGCTCCGTGTTGATGTCACAGTTGACGAGATCGAAAAGAGAGGTGAACGGACTCGGCTTGTGCTGCAGGATGGCGGCGCGAGCAAGAGCAGAACCCTTCACGATCGTTCCCAGCAACCTCATCCAGCCGTCCATCAGGTTGAACTCGTCCTCGGCCATCGGATCCAGAGAGATCTGGTCGGTCCGCTTGATCGTCTCGTACAGATGCGGCATCATCTTGATGTAGTGGTCGACCATGCGGATGAGGTGACTGTAGCTGTATGGCGTGTCCTTGAGCTTCTCGTAGCACTTTGACGCACACGTCGGTCCGTTCGCGATCGCATTCAGCATATCCCAGAACGCAACGCCGGGGTATGGGTTGCGCGTGTCGAGCACGACACCCGTGAACATCGGTTCGTCCCAGAACTGCTCGGCGCTGTCGGGAGGAAGGTTCTTAAACACCACCGCGACTAGGGCAAGATACGCCTGGTAGTTGGCGACTGGCGCCTGAGATCTCCGCAGGCTGACATCCTCCTCCCGGTTCTTTAGGTTGCGCAGGAAATTGCGCTTCGTGCCGAGCGTAAACGTGAGCGAGTCGAGCTGCTGATACAGGAACTGATTGTTCGCCGGGTCGGAGCGCTGCGCGAGAGCATATGTCGGGTCCTCAGGAGTGTTGTCGAGGTTCACGACGAGACCAGTCAGGAACTGGAATGCGCCTCCTGCGACAGCCTCCTGCAGCTTGCGCTCCGCACCGTCCGTGTCGAGGTTCACTGACGGCGGCAGAGCGGGGTTGTCACGAACAGCGGAAAGATAGAACAGCGACCAGTGGAGACGGGCAGCCTCCTGGAGTGGCGGAACGGCCCACTTCTCGCCGAACTGACGTTAGCTCCGTGAACAAGAATTCAGCTACTCACGACCTGATGCACAATCACTCGCAGAAGCTTGTTCGCCGCTGACGGGTCCGCAATTCCCTGCTTCGGGCTCTGGATATACGCGGCGACGGTCTCGTAGCGCGGATCAGACTCGGACAGGGTGTCGATCGGAGGCGTGCTCGCCATGAAAGTCGCCAGCATGGTAGCTGCGACGGCATCTGGTCGCGTGCACTTCTTGAGCCACTTGACGACCTTGACAACCTGGGACGCCTTGAGGAATCCAGCCTGGGCGAGCTGACCGACAATACCAGCGAGACGGTTCTGCTCGTAGCGAAGGCTGCCGACGCGGAAATTGACGAGCTCAAGAGCGGGGCCCGAAGCCTGTGTTCGGACGAGGTTGTCCAGACGAGTGTGGATCGCGTCAACCTCATCTATGGCCACATCGGCGATGTATCCGTTCGGTCCCTTCTCGTCGAGCAGATCCTCGACCCAGATTCGAAGGTCGTCGAACGGCTGACCGACCTCGGCGTCGGGGCCCTCAGTCAACCGCAGGAGCTCCGAGACGAAGTCGAGCAGCGCCGTCTGCGCCTCATGCAGGATATACACTGCAATCTCGGCATCTGATCGTTCCGGGAAGCGGGGACGCTCCTGGACCGCGGTGAGCGCGAGGACGGCAGCGAACAGGTGCGACACATTCAAGTTGTCCGCGATCGTGTTGGTCGTCACGAGCAGCTCATCCTTTACGCGGACCTCGACACCCTCCGACGTCGTAATGGGGGACTCGGCGATGGCCTTCTTGTCTGCCTCGTTTGGTCCGGGGAGCGCGGTGAGGGCGAGGATCCAGGGGCGGGCGGTGTCGAGGGACGCAAACAATCGGCGCACAAGGGAGGTGGTCGGCTGGCTCGCCACGAGAGCGAGCAGATGCTGCAGCTCGGTGAAGAGGGACGGGTCCCACTGTGCGAGTGGGAGCCGCGACATGGCGAGCAGCAGTTGTTGGTAGGTGGGGGGTGGGAGATGGGTAGCTCGAGGGGAGCTTGTGATGATGTCTGTCTGCAGGACGTCAGTGAAATCTCAACAACCAGGAGCGTCGAGGGGCCACAATGAGGTGGACCACGTGGATTATTCTATTGCCTGTTTTCTGATTTCCTCCTGCGTTAGGCGTCCCAATGGTTTTTAACCAGAAATGGAAGACTCACGCCTAGTCACGTGTGGCACGCCTTGCGGTGGAGCGGGGTCAAATGACGCTTGCCATGCACGAGGTAAACAAACGTCTAAGTTACAACGACCCGAACTCGAACACCACCAAGCAACCTTGCATCGCGACTCGCCCCATCCCATCCATCCACACCCAAACATGTCCTCAAAGACCACAGGAGGCAAGGGCGGAAAGGCAAAGACCTCGTCCGAGACCCGCGTCCTCACCACTCGCTCCTCCAAGGCCGGTCTCCAGGTATGTCCTGCCCATGAGCCTGCATCTCGTACAGAACTTTAGCTCACACCGCATCCAGTTCCCTGTCGGCCGTATCCACAGGTATGCACGAGATTACTTCCTCAGGGAAGTGTACGAACAGTCCTGACGAGCTCAACAGGTTCCTGCGAAACAAGAACGCGAACAACGTCCGTGTCGGTGCCAAGGCGGCCGTCTACGTCGCGGCGATTATGGAGTACCTCACCGCTGAGGTGCTGGAGCTTGCCGGTGAGCCCTCTCAACTGTTCAAAGAAGTGGCTTAAGCTAATCCATCCAGGCAACGCCGCCAAGGATCTGCGAGTGAAGCGTATCACGCCGCGCCACCTGCAGCTCGCGATCCGTGGCGACGAGGAGCTCGACCTGCTCATCCGTGCCACCATCGCTGGCGGTGGTGTTCTGCCCCACATCCACAAGGTAAGCTATTTGAAGTTGACTCCAGCTGACTCTCCAGAACCTCATCACGAAGCCGCAACAGAAGATCCAGAAGAAGGTCGCCTAAGCGCGCAGTGCGCAGTACTTGTCTCGGCATCTGTATACCTACCTCTGTCTTGTTTCGCTTGTGTATGGACTTGGCTTTCTTCGCTTCGCTCGTTTTCTTATGCGCCTATGCATCATGTTGTTCCCGGAAGATCTATGCGCATTCTACAGTAAGCCGGCTAGTGGCTAGGCAAGAAATTATACGGTTGGTTTGATACTTTTGCTGGCAAACGGCGGCAAGCGCCACAAGATCGCCGTCACTCCTCCTCACAGTCAAGATACCTGTCGTCCTCAGAGATGGTACCCAGCGACGAGCTCTCCATCGAGCTGCGTCCCACACTCTCTTCTCCCCAGTACACGCCCTCCGCCTCGTCTACTCTCCTCGTGAGCTCTCTAAGACGGGCATTGACAAACATGGCGTCGACGCCAATGGCGGGTCCGCGCTGCTCAATGGCAAAAGACGCTGCGATGGCACCCCAAATCGACGCCGTCCGACTGTCTTGCGTAGCGAAGAGACCAGCAAGAAGTCCACCCATGAACGCGTTGCCCGCGCCTGTCACGTCCTGAATCTTACCCAAGGCCGTGTGATACGCGGGCACCCAACCGGCCCAGTCCTCGGCGAGCGTGAAGCTTCCCTGTGCTCCAGCGCGGACGACGATGGACGGCACGCGCCCGCCATACATGACCATCCGGCCCTGGAAAAGACGCGCGCAGGTCTCGACATCAGCGTCGGTGTCGAGGATGGTCTGCAGCTCGAGGTGGTTGGGGCTGGGGTCAGCTAGCGAACATCGGCAAGCTCACCTGAAGACATCGAACTGTCGTGCGAGGGCCGCATACGTCGACGTAGACACCTCCTCGCCCTCGCGAATCAGCGGCTCCCAGGCTAATCGGCCACGCCAGCCTTCACGGAAGCACACCCGCGCGTCCTCGAGTACCTGCTTTGCGCGCTCGGCGTCGCATACAACGTGCACCCAATGCGGAGGCGGGTCCGCCAACGGACTGTCCTCTCTGAAGTAGTCTGAGAGCACGAGCCGCTTCGGCGGCGAGAGGTACTCGAACGTTTGCTGGCCCTCTCCGATGATACCGCTCGAGTACAGGTTCAACGCGCGCGTGGTTGGTTCAGCTCTGGGACGGAGCCAGACTGCCTCCTCGCCGAGACCGAGGAGCTCCGTCCGGTACTCGGCGGGCAGGTCGGGACCGCAGTCGGCTATGTATCCCACATTCTGGGGTGGTAAGAAGAGCCGCGCACCCGTGGCGGCGTACACTCCCCCGCCGCCTATCTGCATCGTCAGCTTGGGATGTAGAGAACAAAGCGGAGTATAGTGACTTACTGTGGGGCGATCGGTCGGCTCGCCCGTCGCATCGGCTGCGAAGTGGTCGAGGATGAACGCACCTGGACATCGTTAGCAGCCATGCATGGAGTACGTACCAAGGGTCACGACGCGTCCCCGGTCGAGAGTGAAGGACTGGGTCGGCGAGATGGGCGAGGTGGGTGCGGACATGCAAACAGGGTATATGAGCAAAAGGGAGAAACGACGTCACAACGGAACATTGATTGCCACCCAAATATCCACAGCTCGCTTGCCCGCCGTCCCCCTCTTCCTAACATCATCCTCATCCACTCCTGCCATCGCTCTTTCCTTATTGACCTCGACCACTTACACTCTCTCACCCCCGCTACATCTCACACTCGCACAGCACTAAGCAGGTAGAGCGAGGCTAGCCCTCAAGATCACCACCATGGCGCCCGCTAAGCCGAAGCGCACACCCTCGGGCCCCTCCACCAGCGCTAGGACCGTGGAGGTTCACCACTCCGACTCGCCGCCCTCATCACCATCCACGGAACGCTCGCCTCTGCTCGGCGATCGTCCGCGCGCCTCTCGACGCAGATGGCGCCCCTTTGTCGGTTGGCTCGTCCTTATCTGTCTCGTTGCTGGTGTCGCGGTCGCCTTCACCTCGGTGGGGCTAGATGACCCCTCGGACGATGCCGAGCCAGTCCAGTTTGCCGAGCCCCGCGTCGACATCCTGAACATTGACGATGCTGGACTACACCTGAACCTGTCCATGTTGGCGGGCGTCGATGCTGACGATGCTATCGCCCAGGAATCGCACGGCAAGTGGTGGAGCGCGGTGGCGAGGCGCACGGCCCGGACGGCAATGGGCCTCGGCGTCAAGGTTCTCGATGTGGACGTGTCTGAGATCGCCATCTATGCCGGCTCGGAAACGAGCAAGCTGCCCCTCCTCCAGATTCAGGTGCCGGAGACGCTCTCGGTGCCGGTGATAAGGAAAGACGACCCTCTCGAGCCCTTCAGCTTTGAGGCTATTGCACTCCCGATCGCTCCAGTCAGCGAGTCCTGGGACTGGCTCCAGCAGGCGTGGAAGAGCAACGACGCCAAGCTAGTCGTCTCCATCCCGCAAGCCAAGGTCAAGCTCCCCATAGCCAGCTTCTTGTCCTACTCTGCCTCGGACCTGACCGTGCCCTTCGAGGGACGTAGTGAGTACCACTTCCTTTCTCTCTGCAAGGCTTACTCGAGTCCCGCGGAGTTACTCTCTCCCCACCACCCTGTTCTGACACAACAGTGCCGGTTATCCCCAACTTTCCCAAGCCTGGCCATCCGCTCAACCTTACGCAGCTGGTGGACCTGAGGGCGTACAATGTCTCGACCGACGACGGGCTGCGCATCACTGCGCGCGCAGCTGTGCCGAACCCTGGTCTGCCAGCAGACATCGGGGAGAAGCTCGACTTTGGCGTGCCCTTCGACGTTGAGCTGGAGAAGATCCCCGTCGCGCAGGGCGTTGCCACTCTCTCAGGAGTTAGCCGGACGCACATCTTCGTCTCTGTCAATGGGCTCGGCACGAATCTGACAGGCAAGGCGGAGAAGCCACTCTCCCGCTTCCTGCAGCGGTTCATGAAGGGTCTCCCCAACAGCGTCACTGTGCATGGGCAGGCTGAGGCCGATCCAGGACTCCCTCGCACGAAGCCAGCACCCACCTACCTCGCCCAGCGTCTGTCCGACGTCGAGGCGAACCTGACCTTCCCCGGCCCCGACCCCGTCCCCGAGCTGGTGAAGAGCATGTCGATCGAGGACATGTCAATCGAGCAGGCCGAGGACGGCGGCATGGCCGCGAGTGGCATCATGGTAGCGATCCTCGAGATGCCCAAGGGTTTGGAAGGCGTCAAGCTCAACGTGACGGGTGTGCGCCCCGATGTGCTGATCTACGACGGCGAAACGACCCCTCAGGACCCGTACGACCCCACGCATCCGCCCGCGCGTGCATTCTCGCGTATCAGCACGCAGGAGTTTTTGAATGCGACAACGACGGCGGGCGACGATGGCGCCGTCGTCCGCGCGCCGTTCAAGCATCTTCCCCTCCGCGTGCTCGAGGGGCACGAGAGCGTGTTCCAGAGCTTCATCCGCAAGATCATCCTCCAGCGCGGTGCCCTTGCGGGCATCGACGGCATCGCAGACGCCCGCGCGTCTCTGCCCATTGGGGACATGGACGTCGCCGGCCTACCCGTCAACGGGAGCATGTGGATCGGCCGCGGCACGATCCTGGGTATGAACCTGTGAGAGAAGCTGAGCCACTCGAATCCGAAAGTGTTGTAGAATCCGTGTTGTGTCGTCCTCCCATAGAAAGCCATCATTAAGTGTAATGCAAGATTTATCCCATATCGATACAGATTTCTACAAGTCGCGCACGCCACGCTCATTCCGCTCTCCGTCGGGGATGACGACCTCATCCTCATTCTTGCCCAGCGCCTTGCCCAGCCTCTTCAGCGCCTGGTCCAGCGTCGATCCATCGACACCAATGACCTTTTCGAGTTTCCGCCTGTCGGCCGCCAGGAGCGCGTCCCGCAGCTCGCCGCCCGCCATCGGCGGAGGACGCTTCGTCTTGACCTTCTCGCCCTTCTCATCCGCGAACAAGTCAGTCTGAAATCCCCACGCCCTATTCCGGGCCAGAGAGTGGGCCACCTTGCTAACAGCCTCCAGAGAGGAGACGGCGTCCTCAGCTTGTCCTTCGCCAGACTTCAGCGCCAGATCGAGCCTCTCGCCCAGAGCGAGGAGGATGGGGTAGTGGATCGCGACGGCCGTAATGACGAAAAGAGGACGAAGGGACTCGGTAGCCGACACCTCAACGAGCGCGTCAGAGGACGCAAGGGCGAGGCCAGGGTTCGCCTTCCAGTGTCGCTTCAGCGAACGGGCAATCTCGGCAGCCAGCTCGGATTTGCCCGCCTCGCTGGCTGCGCGGAGAGCCGTTCCGAGCAGCTCGCGGGGCATTCCTGTAAGCTTGGAGAGATCCCTCGATGTGGCCGGGTCGGCGTCCTCGGAGCTGCCCTTCAGTAGGGGGAGACAGGAGAGGATATCGTCTAGCGCACGCTGAGCCTCGGCAGGCGACGAGGAAGGCGAGAGCAGACGCCATGTAGCAGCATATTCGACGCGTTGCCTGTCCTTCTTGCTTGGTCCGGCTTGCTCCGCCTCAAGAAACCACTGTCGTCAGCTTCCTACACAACACCATAGCTGAAGGCAGGGAAAGGAGGACTCACGCCGCGCTCCGTGTACGCGTGCTGGGGCTGATACTCTGTCTTGCTCCTCTCGACGGCGGCGGCGATACGTGCGGCGCGAGCATCAGAGCGCGCCTGAGCTGCGGCCGCCTCTTCAGCCGTTTTCGTGGGTTGCGCCTCTGTCGTCGCCATGATGTTCCGAGTTGAGGAGGGATGGGGTTGTCACCTGGAGCCTGTTGTCAACAGTCCGGTTTCCAACTTTTGGGTGGCAAAATGGCCAGGAACGCGGGAGCAGATTGTTCAGAAGGTGGACATTGCGGAGGTGATCGAAGACGCCCTCCAGAACGACGCTCGAGGTGGACACCTGGAGTGTGCTGACGCGATGCTCGCGATGAGCACAAGCATATGCACTTATGCAGCGAGCATACCTGATGAGAGCTCTGGGTTCTCACAGCCTTGACTTTGCCCGCGACTCCTTATGGCAACTCTCGACATTATGTACAGCTCGCCTCCCTCGCTTATCACCCGCGATTAGCGGAACCAAAACGAGCCTAATGACGTCCAAGGCCCGGACGAGATGCTGCTCGCACTTTGTTTTGACAGCCCTCGATCCCCCTGCTTTCCTCGTTCACCCTCTCCTCCACCTCCGACTAGACACGAACACAAAAGATGGACGAGGAGCAGGAAAAGCGCGTCCCCGTGCCGGTGCCGCCATTCCCCGTCCTGCCGCAGAGCGACGTTGAGCAGGTTGCTTCCGTGAGCTCGCCTCTGTGGATTCAAGCTGACGACAGATTATTCTCCAGCTGTTCGACCCGGCGACGTCCTCCTACCCCGGACTGGCGAAGAGCCTACAGCGGAAACTTCAGGAGATCCAGGGCCGCGAGGAGGCGTGGGGTCTCATCTCTGGTCTTGCCCGTCATGACGTGAGCTGACTCTGGGAGATAGAAACTGACAGTCAGGACGCAAACGTCCGCTTCTTCTCGGCGCACACGGCGCAGGTCAAGATCTCGCGAGACTGGTGGGTTTAGCTACGCGCGAATGACACAGAAGCTGACAACAGGGACTCGCTTCCCGAGGCTCTGCGTCCGGCGCTCCTTAGCCTCCTCCTCGAAACGCTCGCCGAGGCGGTCAGCCCGACTCAGCGGCACACGTTCCAGCCCGGCAACGCCGTTGTGGTGCGCAAGCTCTTTGGATGTGTGAGTTTGATTGGCCTTCTTACGGTTAACTGACATACAAAGCTCGCTTCGCTCCTTCTCCGTCTCCCGTTCCACCAGTTCCCGAATCCGATCCAGACCGTCCTCAACGTCATCGGGCAGGCGCTCGCCCGAGCGACCGACCTGCCGCCCTCAGTCCCTGCCTCTGGGTATGCTACACCCACGTCCTTCCCGGCCCGAGGCCATTCGCTCGAGGATGAGGCGCGCTTACGCTCTAGGATGCGGCTTTGGGCTCTCGAGTGGTGCGGCATCTGCGTCGAAGAGATTGGCCGTGCAGGAATCAGCGAGCAGAAGAGGTGAGCTGAGGGGTCCCGTGCTAGCTGACCACAGGAACGCGCTTCGCAAGTTTATCGAGACAGATGTGCCGGCCGTCATGCAAACTATCACCGACTCGATGACTGGCGAGAACGGTGTGCTGTCACCAGCCGAGCGAGTCAAGGCGGCGGAGGCGGCGTGCAAGTGCGCGGACAGCTGGATCAACTACGGTCTCGGGGCTGACGAGCTGACGGCACTGCTGCCCCACCTTTACAACCTCCTCCCGCTTCCGGCTGCGTCGACGACGCTCGTCGAGGTCTTATCCGAGAGCATCTTCCGGTTCGGCAAGGGCACTAAGATCCTGACTGAGCCGCTGATGGCTTGGGTCATCGGGCCGAACGGACAGCAGCTCATCGGGGCAGCAAACGATGGTGGGTTGCTGTGGTTGTGAACCGCTAACCCTCAGAGCCTTCAGAAGAAGTCCTCGCGTTCACGAAGATGCTGTGTGCGCTGGTTGAGCACTCGTCGGAATGGCTCGTTGCGCGGCTGCAGCAGTCCGACGTACAGGCTTTCCTGGGCACGATTCTGCGTATCACGAACTGGGAGGGCTCGGGTGGCGTCGAGGAGTCCGTGTCCGAGCTGACACTGCCGATCTACCCCTTGATTCAGGAGGCGATCATGGACTCGGAAGTCTTCTCGGAGCCCCACGAGACGTCGCCGTCTTGGGCGGTTGCGAAGGACTTTTTCCGGCAGCTCGTCGACATTACGCGCCGTAAGGTACGCTGGCCGGGAAATGGTGAGGAACCCTCGGGACTCGGAGGTCTCGACAAAGAGGATCGTGAGGCTTTCGACACTTGGCGTAGGGACGCTGGGGAGGTCATCGTCGGAGCGTGAGTTTATTTGCTCGCCACAGAACTGACGTTCAGGTACTATGTTCTACGGGAGGAGATGCTGTCCTCGCTGGTTCAGATAGCGACTGAGCAAATCGGCAACAATGCGCCTTGGCAGGATATCGAGGCAACCCTCCACTGCATCCGCTACTCGGGAGAGGCTGTGCCGCTTGGCGAGGATAAGAGCCTGCCGATCATCTTCTCGAACGACGTGGTCAACCGGCTGCTGTCTCGCGGTGCCCAGGGCCTGGGTGAGGAGCGGTTACGACTCACCTTTGTCTGTACGATCCGGGCGTACGAGGAGTGGTTCAAGTTCCACCCCGACTACCTCCTTCCCGTCCTCAGCTACCTCGTCCCATCTCTCACCAGCTCGCACCTCGTCTCTCGCTCTGCCGCCGACTCGCTTAAGGCGCTGTGTGACATCTGTCGGCAGAAGCTCGTGCCGCACATCGGCGCGTTCTCGGAGCTGCACAGCAAGATTGGAGACCTGGGGCCGGAGGAGCAGACCAAGGTGATCGAGGGTATCACGAGCGTGATCCAGGCGCTCCAGCCGACCGAGGCTGTCGGACCAGTGCAGGGCATTCTCGGACCGATCGTCGACCGTCTCGGCTCCGCCGTTCAGATCGTTCAGGCGAACCCCGCCGAAGCGGCCAACGCGCTTGTACCTGCCATGAACGCGCTGACGGCGTGCTTCAAGGGCCTGTCGCCGAGCGATGACGACATGTTCGACTTGACCGAGGCCGACGAGACGGCACGTAACGAGGGCATCGCTATCGCCCGATCACAGCCGGTCATGATCGATCTTCGCCAGCGCACTGAGACCGCTATCCAGGGTGTCGTGCAGGTGTGGAACGGCGACAGCGAGGTCGCGGACGCCATCTCGAGTCTGCTGAAGCAGGCCACTCTATCGACGACCGATACGCTGGTGTCGCTGTCCCCGCTGCCTTTGCTCTCGCTTGTGTGCGCGGCGTGTGAGCGTCAGCCCTCTGCGCTGTGGATGTCGCTCGCGTCGACGCTGACGCTGCGCATGGGCAGCAACAACTCGCCGCTAGCGAAGCGGAAGGACAAGACGCCCGAGGAGCAGGCGGCGCAGGACGCTGAGGACGAGCGACGGTACAACGTTGTCGCAGACGCCGCGCAGCGGTTAGCGGTGTGCGCCTCATCCCTGCTGGGACGGGAAGGCGGGCTGCGGGATAACCCCGACGTCGTCGAGGCGTGGTTCAAGTTCTGCTCTGCCGTCGCTTCGCGATTCCCTGGTGTCCTGCTGCGGTTGGACGAGCAGGTCATCGACGCGTTCATGTCGCTGGGCATCCTCGGCCTCGGCGCGCAGGAGCGGTTCAGTCTGAAGACCGCTGCGGAGTTCTTCGTGAGTTGAAACTCCCCCTTTCCAGCCAACTGACTCCAGATCGCGCTCCTCGCGAATACGCGCTACCCGTCGCCGTTGGAGGAGCCCACCGAGCGTCTCCTGAACGTGTACGGTGCGCGCATCCTGCGTGCCCTCCTGCTCAGCGCCGGATCCGAGGGTCCGCGCAGTGTCATTCCAAACCTGGCAGAGCTGCTCGCGTCGCTCGTCACGCGTGTGCCCGGACCGGAGATGAGCTCGTGGCTGGATGGTATCCTTGCCGAGCCCAACTTCCCTGACGCGCGGTCGACGCCTGAGTCCAAGGCCCGGCTCAAGGGCACTGTGCTCCGCTCCCGCACGACGAAGAAGATGCGCGAGGCGCTGCACGAGTTTGCGCTCGTCGCGCGCGGCCTCGCGAACACGACGTACGGCAACGCGACGGCCGTCGCGCTCGACCGTTAGTTCGGCCCTTGTAGAGATCAACATACAATTACGCATAGACCATGCATTCCACATCTACTCTACGCTCACGGCTGCATCTACTAGATGAAGCCGCTCTCCCGCAGCGCTCGGGCGAGAAGGAACGCGGTGCGCTTGTTCTTCTCGATCCCGACCCAGCCCTCGGGATCCTCCCTCTCCCAGATCCAGTACCGTCTCTCGCCAGCCTCGGGCACGCATCCGTCCAGGAACTCCTTCAGCACGCCCACGGCCACAGAGTCCGTCTCGAGGAACCCGGTATCGACGCGAACGGGGTACGCCGAGTCTTTCCTTCCTGCCTCGCTCTCTCGCCTTCCGCCGCTCACTGCTCCCTCGCCGCTAAGGGGCGCGTCCCACTCGGCCTCGAGGAAGATGGTCTGCGCCGTTCCGCCTGGCAACACATGGAGGGAGAGGGCGACGGGCGGCATAGTCGTGCCCATTGCTGGCGGGAAGGCCAACGAGGTCAGCACAAAGGGCGTGCCACTCAGCGGCGTGGGGGCGGCAGCCTGTGCCGTCGTGCTCGCCTGCACTCTCGCACTCTTGGACAGTCCCAGAACGAAAGGCGAGAGGAGCTGCTGCAGTGTCGGCATGACACTCGTCGCTGGGCGCACCGCGAGCATCATGTGTTTCCGCTCCTGCTTCTCGGGATGTGCTGGCGGGTCGGGGGCTACGCCGTCGCGCACCTCCCCCGGACCCGGGCCGGCTGGTTGGGCAGCCGTCACGCCCCGGTCCTCGAGGAAGAGGTAGGTCACATCGTCGCGGGCTCCGAGGGGCATCGGCACCTCACGCACGGGAGGGAGGTGCTGAGAGTACGTTATTGTCGTGAGGACGCGGGTCGGACCAGCCGAGGTTTGGGGAGCAGCGAAGGTTCCGCCGCCGAGGGCTGTGTCTTGCGTCGGTGTTGGCGGGGGAGGGAAGGAGGCGCGAAAGGTGCGGAGCTGGATCGTGGAACGGAGGGGGTGAGTGATCTGCCGTTAGCTATGCAGACGAAAGTGACTCCGATAGCTCTCCTTCACTCCCGTAACATCGATCCCAGCACCCGAAGGGCAGACATGAGTTACTGGAGGGAAAGAGTCAAGACGGGAGCACTCACGTTGTAGTGTTCGAGCACCTTCAGCAGCACTAGGTCGCTGACGCTCATACGCCCCGTAGGCCCCGGAGCCGTCCACTGCATGAGCCTAAGATCAGCTACATCGCACAACAGCAGCTTACACAGAGTATCCCATGGCGGGTATGCGGGCTTGAGAGATTTCCGACGCTGAAATCCATCTGCAGGCGATCGCGTAAACACCTGCACTTGCGTTCATGAACCTCCACCGGAGCAGACCTCCACTTTTGGCTTCTCCCAAACATCCTCTGTCACCCTTCCTCCTTCCCTCTACCTCTCCTCAACCCCCGATTCTCTTGACGACTCTACAGCCGACGCTCGCCTCGCACTGCGTACTTGACTACCGGCTTCCGGCTCACTCACTTTTCCATCGCCTTCTTCTTGTCTGCCGGAGGCAAGCCCCCGATGAAGGTCACCATCACGGCGGTCCGGCCAGTCGCGTACTGGAAGTGGGACACGAGTTCTGAGCCCCACAAGCCCTTTATTTACGACGAGTACGAGGAGGACGACGATGATGAGTGTGGTATTTGCCGTCTCGCTTTTGAGTCTTGCTGTCCCGAGTGCAAGGTGCCGGGAGACGACTGCCCGTTGAGTGAGTGGAGATGAGAGCTGTTTACGCACGGAAGAGGGATGGAGGCGATCATTGTTTTGCTCTCTATTGTCTTCGCGGGAGGAACAGCTGTATTCGTCGGTGGGAGCTGACACACAGTCTGGGGGGAATGCACGCACGTCTTCCACATGCACTGCCTGCTCAAGTGGATCGACACAGAAAGTTCGAAGCAGCAGTGTCCGCTGGACCGACGGCCATGGGGTGAGTGTGTTTTGCTAGAACTCTTGATGCTCGACTATGTCCAGAGCTCAAGACAGCTAACATTGCCTGTCTTAGCTAACATTCAGTCAACGCTGACCGCAAGCCTGACAAGCTTCCGACGACAGTCGACGGCGCGCCGATGCAGACGGTTGCGCCGGGCCCCATCCAAACAGACAATGCCGAGTGATTTGTCAACAAGCTTGGCGATAGCCGCATAGATCTTATCTCCCCTGTTGTACGATGTATAAACTTTCATGCCTGATAGTGTACGCACCCAGTGTGTTCGGAGCACTGCATGTGGTCACGGAGTAACGAGCGGTGCATTGGTACACTCGGCGCCAAGCATCGCCTTGGGCTGCTGGCGCGCAGTCCTGATCGTGCTGGCTGGCGGCGCTGGGCCGACGTGCCCCCTTGCCGCCACCCTGCCGAACCAGCTATGGGACCTTGGGACCTGTCCATCTAGCTGATTTCTTTCCACACTACCTCTTGCATCTGTTCTTCTACAACACACTCATACACGCACACTCTAGGGTCTACCTGTCGACGACCTCGGACCGCAGCTTGACGACCGCCGCTCGACACCGTTCGACGCACGCGCGCGCACGCACGACCTCCCCCCAGCTACAGCGCCATGGCGGTCCCGACCATCATCACGACGAACGCGACTCCCCCACCGATATCCCCAGACCTGCCCGACCCGCTCAGCACAGAGGTTGGGCTCGACACCATGGTCGAGGAGGCGCCACCACCCGTGAGTCGTGGCTGACGGCAGAGGCAGGGAAAGGCTGCGGGGGGCGAGGTGTGCTGCGTAATGCTGGGTAGGGCTCGGCTCGGCGCTTATGATCGTGGCACGATGCCGGACAACGGCTGAGACGAGGCTCGGCAGCCTTCTTCTGGAAGCTCAGAGCAGTGCAGGAACGGAAGACGGCCGTGCACGTCGCCCGTCCATCCCCAGCAGCGGCGTCCTTGGCAACTTCGCTTCGCGCATCCTTCTTGACCCAGATGCCCCACAGCAACCTTGGTCCCCAGCCACGAGCTCTCAATAGCAGCCAGCCATGCTAACGAAGCAGCCTACGATCCACGCGATGGCGCAGATGGGAGACGTACAGGCGATCAAGAACCTGCTCGAAGACAACCCCCAGCTCGTCAATGAGCGCGACGACCAGGACGTCACGCCTCTCCACTGGGCAGCTATAAACGCCCATATCGGCGCGTGCCGACTGCTCCTGGACGAGGGTGCCGATGTCGATGCCATCGGAGGAGATCTCAAGGCTACTCCGCTTCAATGGGCTGCTCGGTGAGCTGCGGAAACTATGCTGAGCTGACAGCAGGAACGGACACCTATATGTTATGCACCTGTTCATCTCACGAGGGGCGGACCCCGGTATCCGCGATGCGCAGGGCTTCAACACCCTCCACCTCACGACACACTCGAGTGCGATCATGCCGCTGCTGTATATGCTCCAGCAGCCTGTCGCCGTTGACGAGAAGGACTCGGACGGACACACGGCGCTCATGTGGGCCGCGTACCAAGGTAAGCTCCCTTCAGCCTCGACTTAGCTGACCTCAGGCGACGCCCTCTCCGTCGAACTCCTACTCCGCCATGGCGCTTCTGTGACTGAGTGCGACAATTCGGGCTTAACGCCGCTGCACTGGGCGGTTGTGAAGGGATCTGTCGGTTGCATCAAGAAGATTGTCGAGGCGGGCGGCGATTTTGACGTCCGTGACAATCAGAACAAGGCGCCGCGGGATATGGCCGTCGAGCTCAAGGGCGAGTCGAATCTGAACATGGCACTCGATGAGGCCAACTTCTACCGCGATGGACACAGGATACAGCCGCGCTTCAGTGACCGGGTCACGATGGCCCTCGCGTTCGGGCTGCCGATCGTGACGCTACTCATCGCGTTCAAGGACTTTGAGTGGCTGGAGTGGTACTACGCGTGGCCGTTGCTGTTCGTGACAATGTGGTTGATGCAGCTGGTAAGCTAACCGCAGTGGTGCCTCAGCTGACCCCAGGTGTATCTGAAGGTGGTCCTGAAGCACATCCCGCTCGCCAACCGAACGCAGTACTCGCCCTTCTTCCCGAGCATCATCATCGCGTCTCTGTTCTGGGTTGGCGAGGTGTGGGTTACGCGCCTGTTTGCGGGCACACCAGGCTACCTCGTGTCAAACCTGTGCTTCGTGCTCGCGTTCGCGGCATGCTCGTTCTGCCTGTACAAGGCGATCCGCGCCGACCCGGGCTTCGTCCCCGTCTCGTCCGAGGCCGAGATTAAGGCCGAGATCGAGGACCTGACGGACGAGGGACGGTTGAACGGCACCAACTATTGCATCTTCTGCATGGTGCGCAAACCGCTACGGTCAAAGCATTGCAAGACGTGCAACCGCTGTGTCGGCCGGTTTGACCACCACTGCCCTTGGATCTGGAACTGCGGTGAGTTGCAGGAACCGTCGCCTTAACTGACAAACAGTCGGGTACAACAACCACCGCTACTTCCTCGGTTTTGTGTTAGCGCTGATTGTCGGCGTCATCTTCTTCGATCGGCTATCGATTGCCTGTGAGTAGCTAAACCGCTGCATTTCGAAGCTAACCGGCAGATATCAAGGAGAATGCGCCAGCAGCGCCGCCAATCGATCCGAACGACACCTCGCTATGCGACTTCTCCACAGTCCTCTGCCGTGGGGCACCGTACGATTCGTTCCTCGTCGCCGTCGCGGCCTGGGCGACGCTGCAGCTATCATGGACGTCGGTCCTGGCCATTTCGCAGCTGTACCAGATCATGCGCCAGATGACGACGTTCGAAGTCTCCAACCTCGGCCGCTACGGCTACATGGGCGGGCGGGGTGGCACGTCGCTGCGGGAGCAGGACGGCGCCATGGCGAAAGTGTACCGCGCGAACCCTCAGGCGGCCACCGGCGAGCGCGAATGCGAGCACAAGCACGGACACGGCCGCTGCGGCGTGCCGGGGCGCATCTGCTCCGCGCTCTGGATGAAGATCACAGGCCCCTTGTTCCGCCTCCTCGGCTTTGATCGGTTCACGAAGGGCAAGGCTGTCAGTGGCATGGCGCGCGCGCGGAGGGACCAGAACCCCTTCGACCTGGGTCTTGTCAAGGTGAGCTAGAGACTTCTGGAAGTATAGCTGACGACGTTACAGAACTGCACGGACTTCTGGATCGGAGCCAACGGTGTCGATTATGCCAGCCTGTACGATGTGCCGCCTGAGGGGTGGGCGGCGTACAGGAAGAAGATGGCGCAGGGGGCGGGGTACGAGCGTGTCGCGCAGGAGGACGTGTAGTGCGAGCCGCAGAACGCCGGGCGGGAGACGCCGGTGTCGATGATGAACAGCCAGCTGCAGCCTGCGTGCATTGCTTCTTGAGAGCGAGAAAGGAGATATTTACATGTATGCATCTAGTCAATTGCCGCTTGACCCGGAAGATGTAGTGTACAAAATAGTATACAGAGTGTTGAGGGCTGTCGAGGAGCTCACGGCTCAACGTCCATCCACTTCAAGCCATCCACTTCAAGAGGGGGATGATAGGCGTTGCAGGGGGGTTACGCCTCTGTGTCCGAGATAGGCTCAACGTCGCTCTCGACGGCCGTTGAGGCTCTCCTATCCCTCTGCCGGGGAGCATATCCAGCCTGCTTGAGCTGCGCCCTGATCATCTCCTCGACCAACACGCCGAGCGCGAGCAGGCCGGCACCCTGGATCGCGTTCCGCATGTCGCGGCGGATGTACGGTCCCCTCCTCCTGGACTTTTGGCTCGCCTCTTCACGGAGCTGTTGCGTGCGTCCGGCAGGGGCGACGATGACGACTTGTTTGCTGCCGGCCCTAGCAGAGGAGGTCACAGGGGGGTTGTAATTGGTCGCGGGATTCTCCTCGTCAGACTCGGGATCAGCGTCTTTGTCCGGGTTGTAGGCGTCTTCGCTGGCGTCTGTATCGGAGCCTGAGCACTCGCCTTCTCTATCGGCGCCTTCGGCCTGAGTCGAGCCCGTACTCGTCCTTGGTCTCAGGACGCGGTCGCTCTCCTCTTCTGCTCCCTCTCCATCTTCCTCTCCCTGTTCTTCTCGTTCCTCCTCCGTCTCCTGCTCGCCATCTATTCGCTCAGCGGTCGAGTCAATGGACAGCCGACTCGGCTGGATCCCGCTCTCGCGAAGGACGCGCGCGATCGCGCCGCCCTGTTCCAGCATCCGCCTCTTCTTGTTCGGCTTAATGCTCGTGCGACGGTGCCAACTCCGTTTTGGGTTCTTCATGAGTCCGCGGTCAAAGAAGTATCGGCCGGCGTGTTGCGAGATAGAGTCGAGAAGGAACTGGCGTCAGCTCAACATCAGGGGTGTAGTAGCGTGTGGATACTCCGCCGGGCAAGACAGCAGGGTGAATTGAGAGGGGACTAGAAACAACACTCACGTCTGGAGGAAGGTCCGAGTAATCCGTATCAAGACCTGGAATCAGTTAACATCTGCGGTCCAGGTAACGGTGCGAGAGTGACTAGAAGGAGGGATGGGGCGGAGGGCAGACTTACCAGTTGAGTATGTCGGCAGGATGCGCTCAGCCCAGAGATTCTCTCTCCGCGTCTCCCATCCTTGCGCGTAGCTTCTCTGCCTCTCTTCTGCTGTCTTTCTCCGCTTAGGTTCGGGAGGGTTGATGACATCGGCGCCGTTGTCTTCGAGACTCGAGGAGCGGGGTCGACGCCTGCTTTGAGAAGCACTCCCGCCGCGGTGTCGTCTCGGCCCGGGTCCTGATACGATCTCGATTATCTCATCCTCCTTCTCGTTCTGCGATTCCGGTGGCGGCTGAGACGCTTCGAGTGTAGCCTGGGATGACCGCGTGATCCGTCGCGGCGGGGATGGTGGAGGGGAAGGCTGTGAGGGCTGCGAGTTCTCTAGCGCCGGATCGATCGGCCAATCGGCCGTGGAGAGAGATCGCCTCGATGCTGGGCTGCTCATGGTGTTGACATTGTTGTTGCTTGTCGTAGAAGGGGGACGTGGGAGTTGAGGATGATGAGGAGACAAGAGGGAAGGGGGCAATGTTGTTGATCGGGCGGCCTTGTCCGGAATGACGCCGTAGTGCGGGGTTGAAATTTCTGGCGGGGTGTCCCTGGATCCGCGATACGTCTTGCGTCCGAGATTACCGTCGAGCTCAGATCTCGTGTCCTTCCTCTCACTCATTCCCCATACACAAACACAAGCAGGATGGCTGGTGAGCTAGTATCTTGCCGCACAGCTAACTTACAGACGCCGACACGGTCATGGCGGAGCTCGCGGCGGCTGGTGTTCCCGTCCAGGTGCAACTTCCCGACGAGGCGCTTCAGCTCGCGCATGCCCTCCTCGCCGCGTCGCAGCAGGGCACGATCTCGGATGTCGCAGGATTGCTGGAGCGCGACGCGCCAGCTTGGTACCAGGACGACTCTCTCGGCTGGTCGTGTCTGCACTACGCGGCTGAGAGGCGGGAACCTGCCCTCCTCCGCAAACTGCTATCGGGCGGAGCGGTCTGGAACGCGGTGGACAAGTGGGGCCGCACGGCTGGCGAGATCTGTCTTTCGCTCGGTGACAAGACAGGATGGGAGATTATCCGCAACGAGGGAGTGCGGGCTGAGATGCTCCACCATGCGCTCAGGGAGGCGAACAAGCTCAAGGCGGCGGAGAAGGAGGAGATGACGGTCGAGCCGGGAGAAGAGGGCAAGGAAGGCGCCGAGGTCACGCAGACGGGAGACGGAATTACGCTGCGAAACCACGACGAGAGCAGTGCCGGCGACAACCTCGCCTTCCTCGCTAGCAAGCTGACGTGGGAGACGGGAGAGGACGGACGCGAGCGCGTCCTCGACGCGGACGGCAACGGCGTCATGATGGGCTGGGAGGAGCCACTCAGTACGTATACTCCACCCCTTGTCTGCGCTGTGGAATGTCTCTGGTTAGCTGACCCCAGTGCGCGAACACGTCCGCCTCATGGCGCCCCGCGAGGATCTCTCAATCCTGAGCGTCGGCTTCGGACTTGGCATCGTCGATCGTCTGTTCCAGGAGACCAAGCCCCGGTCCCACGTCATCATCGAGGCGCACCCGCAAGTACTGCAGCACATGCGCGATACGGGAGTGTACGACTGGCCGAACGTGACTGTGCTTGAGGGACGGTGGCAGGACTTTGCCTCTGGTGAGGGGCTCGAGAAGCTCCTTGAGGCTGCGCAGGGAGGGTTCGACGCCGTGTTCGTTGACACGTTCGCGGAGGGATATGAGGGTGAGTCACTGGCGGAGCGGCTGCTCCTGGTCCCAGCAGCGATAGCAGCGTTAGCTTCGAGTGTGTGCGATAAGCTGACATTCAGACCTCAAGGCGTTCTTCGAGATCCTCCCTGACATTCTCAACCCGGAGGGCATCTTCTCATTCTGGAACGGTCTTGGTGCTACGAATCCGACGATCTACGCCGTGTCGTCCTCTCTCGCCGAGCTGCACCTCGACGATGTCGGTCTCGAGGTCGAGTGGCACACCGTGCCGATCGCGCAGAGTCTCGCCGAGGAGGTGTGGAAGGGCGTCCGCAGGCGATACTGGGAGCTGCCGGGTTACCAGCTTCCGATCGCAAAGATGCGCCTGATGTAGACTTCTCGTAATCTGTTCATCTTTTCATTCTATGTACAACTTGGGCTCCAGCCGTCCCCTTTTGATTGCAGATCAGAAGACACGCCTAGTCAAGCGGAGGACCCAGGTGTCGCTCTGACGAACGTTACTGTCGTCCAGACCTCCGGAGAGCGCGAGACCGGCCGCTTCCGCGTCGCTAGCAAACCATCCACGCGCGTCGGGCTTCTCACTTCCAATGCTGACCTTGGTCCACTTCTCGCCCTTCGGGTCGTAGGCCCAGACATCGTCCCAGAACGATCCGGCCGCATCGTGACCGCCAGTGTGGGACGGCCGTCCCTCACCATACAGCAGGACGAGCTTGTCGCCTACCTTGTGCAGGCCACTGACCGAGCGCGGGCCAGGAGCATCCTCCTGTCCCTCGAGCTTACCGCCGGGGGCGGCGTCGCGGCCCAGTCCAGTCTGCTCGCCGAATACAGTCGTGCTCCACTCTGAAGCACCATTGAGAGGGACAGAGTCGATAGCCCCGCCCGCCTCGGTCTTTCCGTCGAATCCACCGAAACGCCAGATCTTGTCGCCCAGGATCGCGAGGGCAGTACCGCCGCGTCCGAGGCCGGGGGCGTCGGCGAGTCGGCGCCAGGACTTGGAGGAAACATCGAACGCCCACGTATCGCGGAGACGACCCGAGGCTGCACATCCGCCGTGGATCACGAATGTGCCCGGAGCGCCGGCTGCGGAGTGGTAAGAGCGCGGCTCGGGGTACTCGGACGACGAGGGCTTGAGAGAGGTCCAAGAACGCGCAGACGGATCGTACACGTACACGAGGCCAGACTCATCGATGGGCGACATCTCAGGTCCGCCGCGCTGCCGTCAGCTAACTCCCTGCATCGAGCTTCAACTGGCAGAACGTCCCTGCATTTGGGACTCTGCAGGGAAGGAAGACAGCTGCAGACTTACCCCACCGAACGCGTAGATCTTGCCGTCGACGGCGGCAGCAGCATGAGCAACACGGGGACTCGGCGCACCAGGCGCCTCGACGCGCTCGTACTTGCCGCTCTCGAGGTCGACGACGTGAACGTCAGTGTCGACGGGACGGCGGGGCTCGAGCTCTCCGCCCCAAATGTACGCCTTGGGGCCGATGACCGAGAGCGAATGCGAGGAGCGCTGCAGCGCCGGAATGGCCAGCTTCGTCCACTTGCCGGTAATGCTCATTGTGGATGTGGATTGGGGGTGAAGAGTGAGGAAAGAAAGGAGTGGGGTTGGAGAGGAGGGAAAGGTATATCAGTGGTGAGGGGAGGAAGCAACCGATGACACCATGCCGTGGCTCGATTGCTCGGTCGTTCCTGAAATCACCACAGGAGGGGAGGGAGGACTTTACGGTCGTCGCGTCGGCAAAATGCTTCTGCAACATTGGATTGGAGGAGGACAACGTTTGCTGCGCTCTCATGAACAAGATCTTCGTACGACAAAGAGAAAGACCTAGCTCGGCCTGTGCTACGGACAAAGATATCTGATTAGACCACCGCGGACCAGCTTCGTCCGAATCAATATTGGGCACGGCTCGCCTCATGCGGATTCGGCCGGGAAACAGGATGGCAGCCTTAATATCCCCCAAACAGACTCTCCTCAGTCCCTCGTCCCTCCCTCTCGTATCCTCCCGTCTACCAGACGATGACACAGGCAGATGGTAACGTTGGCGGCGGGGAGTGGAGCACAGCGACGCAGCGCCTCCGGCCAGCGCCGAGGCCCGATTCCCGAGACGTTCAGGGACTGATAACGGCGGCTCAACGCGGTGCCTGAAATCGTCCGCGCCAGCCTACCTCACAGCCTCGCTGTCAACGCTTAGGCTCGGACCTCCCTTGTCAACGTTGGACCGCCAACCATGTCGCGCACTCTCGGCGTGCTGCGGCAACTGCTCGACCAGGCGTTGCCTGGACATCGGCCAGCGCACGAGGACTACGAGCTGGTTGAGACTGGTACGTCGAACCTCTACTCGCCGCTCCCTCTACTCTGCTTCTCTAGCTACTCTTCGCCGGGAGTCGAAGCTGACGCCCAGTCCCCCGCCTCCCGACAACAAGCACGACAGACGACGATGAGCCCACCCTCGCCGAGGCCGAGAGTCTCGGCTTGCGGCGAATAGCAGCGCCCGTTCCCTGGCCGACACTCGCCCTGTCGCTCGTCGAGTTCGCAGAGAGAGCCAGCTACTATGGCGCCGGCGGCGTGTTCGCCAACTTTGTGCAAAGACCACTGCCTCCGGGATCCACGACTGGAGCTCCCATGAAGGAGGGAGATACGCCGGGCGCCATGGGTTTGGGTTTGAGAGTGAGCGCGGCGCTGACGACGACGTTCACGATGCTCGCGTTTTCGAGCCCGCTGGTGAGTAAGGGCAGAGAGGAGAAGCAGAGTGGTGAGAGAAGACTGATGACAGCTCGGAGGATATCTCGCCGATACGAGGTGGGGCCGGTTCCGCTCCATCGCCTTCGGCACGTTGCTCGCCGGTCTAGCCCACGCCGCGAGTATCTGGGCCGCGCTCCCCGTCATCATCACCTCGGGCACATCGCTCCCGCCCTTCCTGCTCACACTGGTCTTGCTCGGTCTCTCCGCCGGCCTGATTAAAGCAAGCATAGCGCCGCTCATGGCCGGCCAATGTCCGCCAGACCGAGTCCGCTATATCCCGTCTCCCTCGTCCTCTTTGCCTTCCACATCCCTCCCTCCTCCCTCCGTCTCAGACGTCGACATAGAAGAAGGAGGGACAGAGGGAGGCGAATGGATCGTCGAGTCGCAAGAACTCACAATCAGTCGCGTCATGGGGCTGTACTACGCCTCGATCAACGTGGGTGCGTTCGTGGCACTAGGAAGTGTCTGGGCCGAGGCGAAGGTCGGGTTCTGGGCCGCGTTCGCGATCCCCGGGGCCATATTCTGCCTCATGCCGCCGCTGCTCTGGGTCGTGAAGCCGCGTCTGGTTCCAGAGGCTGAGCCTAGTTCCTCGGCTCTGACGCGTGTCTGGAGAGTTCTCCGGGATCTCCCTCTCCCTCGAGACACTGACGCTCCGTTCAGGTCTTCAATGGAGGAGACGGAGCGGATCGTCCCACAGGAGGAGGAGCCGGTATCAGCGCATCGACTCGGCGATGAGTCGGCAGGTTCAAAGGGCTCAGAGGACGGGTGGGACTTTGCCGATCCGCCCTCCCTCGACGACGACCGGTGCATTGAGACGCCTGAGCCTCTTCCCGCCGACCCCGACGAGGACATCCGCCAAGCCCTAAAGGCATGCACGCTCTTCCTCTGGTTCGCAATCTACAACGTTGCCCCCGGACTGAACAGTGCCACCATCTCCCTCGCCGGCGCGATGCGGGGGACACTCCCCAACGACGCGCTGGATAAGATGAACCCGCTCGCTGTTATTTGTGCTGTGCCCGTCCTCAATGCGCTCTACCCCAAGCTGGAGGCGAGGGGGATACATCTGGGACCTGTGCGGAGGGTCGTGATTGGCTTCGGACTGACGAGTTTGAGTAAGTCGAGGGCTGCTGTGGGGAGGGGAGGAGAAGGAGTGGAATGCTGACACACAGGCATGCTCTACCTCGCCCTGATCCAGGCGGCAGTGTACGCGACGAGTCCCTGCGGCACCCTCGCGACCGACTGTGCGCAAAAATCGCCACTGAGCAACCTCCTCGTAGCCCCCGGTCCGCTACTGCAGGGCGTCTCCGAGGCTCTGGCCGTGGTCAGCCGGATGCAGCTGGCCTACACCATGTCCCCTCGTGCGTTCCCCCCCTTCCATGCCCGGTGGTTGCTGACGTCCAGCCGGCCTGCAGTCTCTCGTCACGGCCGTGTTCCTGTCCATGGTCGCTGCGTCTGGCGCCTTGGTCCTCTTGTTACTGCCCCTGTTGCGCGACCCGCTCCTCGTCTACCCCTTTGCACTCACCTCGCTCGCTGTCGCTGCGGCGGGGTATTGCGTCCATCGGCGCTACGCCCACCTCGACACATAACCCTCCTGTGCCGCAACGGCCAGCACCTCTCCTGTCATAGATGTCTAGACCGGTCCCTCATTACACTTGATACCCCACATTCTCTTGCTCTCCATTCGTCTGACGGAACTACTGCGCTGGCTGGCGCCAGCGCTGCTCGCGTCACTGTGTAACTCTATGTACATTTGTTCTCTAGGATACAATACTCTATGTAACGTCACTGTCCAGGCGTCAAGCCAAGCATCCAGGTCTCTCTATACTTCCACTCGAGTCAATCGTGTCAGTCATGACAATTGTACAACGTGTCGCTGCTCAAACGTATCCGCCGTGCTGCCGCTCTGGTCGCGCTTCGGCCTGTCCTCCCAGACTGGCGTGCACCGCGTGCCCGGCGTGCACGGCATGTCCCGGTCCGCCGAGCGCGACGCCGATAGACCCCTCAGAGGGGTGCGTGACGTGTGTCGGCGCCGAGGGCTGGGAGTATGCCGACGGGGCCGAGTATGCCGTATGCGCTGTGTGCTCCGACTGCTCGTGCGAGTGTGACGTCTGACTGGGGACGGGGGCGGGGAAGTTGGCCGGCGCGACGGGGTGCACGCTGTATGTGCTCGCGTCGGAGGGGGCGCGCTGCAGTCCCCCCGGCGCGGGATGGGCCTGGGGGAAACTGGGCGGGAAGGCGCTGGGCGGAGGGCCGGCGTGGTCAACGCGAATCTGCGGCGCGGCGTGGGCCGAGGAACTCCCGCGACTGCTCCTGCGGTCGAGTAATTGCTGGCTGACGCGCTTCTCGGTTTCCAGCCGCTCGGACAGGCCGTCGACGTGATAGATGCTCATCTCGCCGTCGTGGTCGTAGGCGATGTCGTAGGGAGTCGCGTAGCTAGCGCGGTCCCCTGGGCGAGCGGGGCGGACGGGGGTCGAGCCCGGCGTCGCCTCGGACATGATCTCCTCCCGGCTGTCGTTGTATCCCTGCGTCGCGTATGCGGGCAGCATGGGCCGGCCGGCGTTATCGCGCAGCCCTGTGCCGCCCACCTCGACGTCGTTGGCGTCGTACACGAGCTCGTTGAGCGCAACGCCCTTCTGCGCCAGAGCCATACGGTGCCGGCGCCAGATCACGATGCGCGCCTTGTTCATCTCGTGGTAGATGTACCATGCCGAGCCGACCGTGATGACTGCGATGTTAGCTAGAGGATCTGCCTGCCAGCTTACCCGCTCCAATGCCCAGGACAGTGTACGAGATCGCCTGCGATGTCTTGCTCTTCGCCTCGGCGTTGAAGAGCACACCGAGGTACACCACCACGAGCTGCTTCGGCAGCGTCACGAACGCGGCTAAGGAGAAAATAAAGATGTTCTGCCCACACGTCGCGAAGATGGCAGTCGTCAGATGTCCTGGAATCGCAGAAAGACGAGCGGCGACAATGATCATGAACCCGCCGTGTCGGATGACGTGGGCGAGACACGCATAGTTGATGTTCTTCTTCTCGTACTTTTCCGCGCGAGACTGGCACACGTACTTGAACGCGTAAAAGTTGCCGATCTGGATGTCAGTACGAGCAAGCGGAGCGAGCAGTCGGGGGCAGTGAGGAACTTTTGGCTGCGGCCGCCACGAACTGCGCGCGCAGCCAGCAGGCCGAATGGACGAGAAGGCGCAGCAGATGACGGGTGCGACCCACGGGATCTCCCACGCAGCAGCGAACCCGCAGGATCTGCGGTTGTCCATCTGTGCGGTGTGCAGGTCCGTGATCGCAGCGGCCCTGCACTCCAGACTTCGGCGCCCTTCAGCCCTACCGGCTAGCTCCGGCCTTCATCCGATTGCCAAGTTGTCCACGGCGCGGCCCTCGGCGTACTCACCTCTCCAAGCATAGTGCCCGCAGCAACGATGCCGAATCCAACCCAAAGGCCCCAGACGACACCACAGAGGATGGCGACAATCTCGTGTCCGAACAGAGGCGGGAAGGAGATGATGAACATGACCGCGATGGGAATGACCCAGCCTGCAGGGAGGTTCTTCATCCAGTTGGCCGCGGGGGTGAGCCACTTGACGATCTGGGGTGAGCTGTGAACTTCTGGCCCTTTCCAGCTCGAGCTGTAGCTACAGATTGGATACACGCAAACTAGCTCAGCGCTGCAGATACTCACATCATCATGATAGATCGTCATGAGCAGCACAAGCACACCGATAATGACGAGGATGACATACCAGTCTGTGGTCAGCTTCTCCCCAACACTATCAGCTTACACCACCACTCCTTTCTGATCCAGAAGCGCCAAGTCATGAGCTCCTGCCAGTTAAACATGGAGCTCGCGAGGAATTCGCGCTCAGCCTCCTCGTCCTCTGCCGTCCATCCCTCCGGAATCTCCTTGACGCCGTACTTGTCCTTCTTCTCGCGGCGCGGCTTGCCCTCCTCGTCATACTGGATGCGCTCTTTCACGCGGCGGAGCTTGTTCCCGCCCTTGGCGTGCCAGGACATGCGCTCGCCTTCTGGTGAGGGCTCGCGCCGGATGCCGTCTGCAATGTCGGCTTCCCGGCTCGCTTGCCGGGTGGGGCGGTAGTGGTACGCTGTCCCAGGCGCTGGGGATGGGGAAGGTGAAGGCGAGCCGGCGGGCGTGTGGTCGTAGCTCCGTTGCGGAGTCAGAGGGGCATCGTACGGGTTGCCCATGTACTGCGTCCCCGGCGTGCTCGGACCAGCCTCGACGCCGACGAATTGGTTGTAGCTCCCCCAGCTTGCTGTCTTGGCGTGGCGCTCGTTACGCGCAGCCTCGGACTGGGCGAGTTGCCGGTCCAGGTCTCCGTTCATGTTCTCGACCGGAACTGAGGCGTTTCCGTGGCTCGAGGAGGAGGCGGGAATGGGGACGCCGTAAGGGTATCTCGCGTAGTCGCGAGGTTGTTGGTGGGGGTCGGACATGTAACCGGTGTAAGGAGAGGCGGGGGTCGGGGTGTCGTGTCGGGTCACAGATGTCGATGATGCGGAGAAGAGTAAGAGCGGGGGGCAGCGGGGGTGTCGATGCAAAGAGATGAGGAGGAAGAGAGGGAGATCCGGGCGTGCAGAGAGTAGTCTAGTTTGCTGGCTGGCGGGGAGAGAGAAAGAGCGAACCGATGGACAGGTGCAGGCACGTAGGAACGGTAGGGTGGCAATTCGAGGGTAAAGCCGGGTGCTCAAGTCGCGTCCGCGTCGTGGATTCTGCTTCTTCTGTTGTTGTTCGTGGTGAAGAAGTGTGGCAAGAATGAAATGATCAAGTGACGAGAAACGAGTTTATCAATGACGACGGCGAGGGCTGAACGCTGAGCGGGCTGTGCACGCTATCGTGCAAGCTGTGCGCGACACTCGCGAGGATAGAGATCTGCTGGCTGGCGGGGATTCTTGTCATGTAACGCGTCGCAGCAGCACCGCCCCTGGGCAACACTCAGCTTCGAGACCCTGAACCGAGTCCAGCCCAGGCGGTATAGCGGTAAGGGGAACAGACTATGGGGCACCACACAACAAGGCTCGCTCCTCTTGCTATTCACAGAACCCAATTCCGCCTTTCTCCAGCTTGCATTCCACACAACATGCAGTCTCTTTTGTTCTCTCTGCGTACCGATAAAGCACAGAACAACCATATTGACAGCGTGTAGACGGGAGGATGGGAGGAAACTTTCGGACGAAACATACACGCCAGCGTGAATACTGTGGCGCAGGCGGCGATCGCGATGCAACTAACATCGTTGCCGATCCAATTCTCGGAGGTTGCATATCTTCGGCGCGGCGCAGGCTGTGCCCGCCAACTTTCCTCCGAAGGTGCTATGACAGCAGATATAACAGACGTCTTCACTTATTCCCCGACCGTTACTGTAAGGCGCTCCTGGCGGCTGCAAGCGACCCGCTGAGCAAGCACATGAGTGGAATGTGGAGGAGGGAGTGGAGGTGTGTGGAGGTTGTGTGGAGGGCCATTAGCAAGCAGCGTTTACGGCTCCGAAATGACACTACGGTTGTCGGGTAGCGCAAAGAGCCAAGAGCCCACTTCGTTAGAAAGCAGCGTTGAGCAGAGTGCACTAGAGTTCTAACATTCATAGTCTACTACCAGTCATCAAGGAGGGCAGGTTGTGATCGACGGGGGGCGGCACTGAGTCCTTAGACGATCTCACATCCCGCGAGAAGTGTCTCCCTCCTCCAACCCTCCGCCTCACAGCTTCGAGCGTCACGAGTCCGACTTGTTCAGCCTCTTCGCCTCCGTCTGTCTCTCGAGGATATCCCCCGTGACCTTGAGGAGGTCGTCCGCCTTCCACCCGGGCCATCCATTGATCCTCTCCCTCCACTCCGGCTTGACCTCGTCTGCGCCAAAGATGGCGCCCGCGAAAGCCCCACACACCGCGCCCGTGCCATCTCCGCCCGCGCCAATCGCCTTCTCCAGCGTATCCTTCAGCCCCTTGCCCTGCCAGAGCGAAGCGTAGGCTGCCTGGAGCGTACTCACGCTCCAGTCGGGGACTCGCTCGAGCGACAGCCCCTCTGTAGTCTGCAGGCGACGCTCCCAGTCCGGCCGCCTCGAGTCCGGCAGGAGGGCAAGTGCAGAGGCCATGTTGGGTTGTCCGGTCAGGAGCGTGTGCCGAATACCCGTGGCCCAGAGGGCGCACGCGTCGCCTGACAGATCGTCGTAGTGCGTCAGTCCCGAGAGAGCGCGGGCCGCGTCGGCCGTGGCGCCGCCGCCCTCGTCGCTCCACAGGTATGCGAGCGCAACGGGGCCGGCACGCACCAGCCCGCCCTTCTCGCCCACATTCTCCCCGGCGCGGACCTTCTTCGCCGCGTCGCGCGCCTTGCCCGCCAGAGCCTTCAGCCCAGCGTCGTCCTTGTCGTCGACCTTTGGCTCCTTCGCCAGAATCTCAAAGACGCCCGACGTCGTGTCGCCCAGCCCCTTGGGGTTCGTGGCCCAGAATTCCAGCCAGCGACTGACGATCCGTCCCTGGGTGATGTCGGAGAGCAGGTCATCGCCGCGCGCAATTGCTTCGTAGATTGGCACGCTGAGCGCTGTATCAACCCATTCGGCGCCGGCGCCGCCTGTCTTCGGCGAAGACTCGAATACGTCCCCCAAAGACGAGGCGAGGGGGATGCCGTACGCGCGGTCGTAGAGGTTGGAGGCCCAGGAGCCCCAGGCGTCCTGCGCTTTCTGGTCGGGTTTGGCCATTGTCGCTGTTGTCGCTGTTGTCTCGCGGTCCTGCTCGGAGCAGATGTGAAGGTGAGGCGTGAGGCTGAGACGAGGGCTGAGACAGAGTGTGAGCCGAGACAGGTAAGCAGAAGATAGAAGCAAAGCGTGAGTTTGCAATGACGAGCTGATGTGGGAATGCCCGCGCAGCTCAAGGGCAGAAGGGCAGACCGAAGTCCATGGAATACCCACCAACCTCGGCATCTTGTGACGTAACCAATCGCCCATCCGCCAACCTCGGTCATCAACGATCACGTTTCGCTGGCAAAGCCGCTCTCCCTTCAACCAAGACTTGTCTGACTGCCTGACCAGTCAGCAATCGCACACTCGCTCAGCCCATGCTTGCACTTATTTGCTCGAGATACCCTGCATTCGTACAACTACCACACTACTGACTGCCTCTTTTGCCCTGCTGCTGCTGATTAACTAAATGCTGATCCCTGATGAAGCCCTAATTATGGTGAGAAATTCGACAAAAAGGTGTAACAAGAGTCGAGCGATTCGAAAAGTTCAAGGTGTGTGCTCGAGACGTGCGCTGCACACGTATTGTACTTGCGCTCGCCGGCTCGCACTGCATACGATGATGCTGTGGAGAGCCACGCACACCTCGCTTGCTCGCTTCGCTCGCTGCTCGTCATGCGCCCGCGCCCGCTTACGCCTGGTAGCGGAACTCGGGCGAGCCCTCGAGGACGACGTCGCCACGGTCGGCGCGCTTGTTCTGGTGGCGGAAGATGAGCTTCATGGCCGCGCAGAAGATGATAACCATCGAGTTCATGCCGATGGTGAAGTAGACACCCGTGGGGTATCCGGTGAGGCGCTCCTTGTCCATGAAGACAACGCCTGCGAGAATTCCGCCAATTCCACCCCAGGCCACGATAAGAGCTGAGGCGTAGCCGCGCTTGGACTGGGCGCGAATGTTGGACTGGGCCCACGCAACAATGAGGGGAACATTCGAGTTGCACCCTCCGATGGCGAGGAAGATACCCACGTAGCGAGCCGCCTTCTGGTGGGCGGGCAGCTGGGAGTAGACGACAGTGCCGATGATCAAGGTAAGAGCGTTAAAGGCGACGGCGGCAGCGCGCTGCTTGTAACGGTCCGCCACAATCGAGGTCGCGATAGAGGGCACAATACACCACACGTAAGGCGGAGCCATGAGGATCTGGGCGAGCGCGTTGTCGAAGCCCATCGAGGCGAGAATGGCCGGGAGGAAGTAGGCGAGAGAGTAGGAGCCGACAGTCGAAGAACCAAACATGAAGCCCCAGACCCAGAGCTTGACGTCGCAGAGGTAGGTGAGGAACTTCTTCATGGTGAGCGGGTCGGGCTTGGCGTCACCACGGTCGCGCTGGATACGGGTCTGGACCATCTCGCGCTCAGTCTCGTTCAGGAAGCGCGCCTTGTCCGGGAAGTCGTGGATGAGGACGTAGCCGAGGAGGCCAACGAGGACGGTGATGACGCCCTCGATGATGAAGATCCACTGCCAACCGCCGAGTCCACGCATGCCGTCCATCTGCGAGATACCCCAGCCGAGAATCGAAGAGAGACCAGATACGACGATCGACGTCGTGTAGAAGAACGAGTTGCGCGTGGCCATCTGCTTGCGCGGGTACCAGCATCCGATGAGGAAGGCCGCTCCGGGGAACAGCGTCGCCTCAAACACACCGAGGAGAGCGCGGAGTCCCGCAAGCATGCTCCAGTTGTGCGAGTAACCCATGCCGATCATGACGAGACTGGACGGTTGTCAGCGGATATTCATCGGGTGATCAGTGCGCTCCACACTGGTGGTGCCTCGATCCACACCACTCTCGCTTCTAACTCACCCCCAGCAGACGACCGAAGTGCCGAGCCACCAGCGCGCACCGAAAGCACGCAGACCAATCTGCGAGGGAATCTCAAGGAGAATGTAGGGGATGAAGCTGGACAGTTAGCAACAGCGTTGATAGGGTCACTTACAAAACAATGGTCGCGATCGAGTAACGGTTACCGATCAGCTCGAGCTCCTTGTTCATGCGCATGTTGTTGGCCTGGCGCGTGATCGAGAGGTTGGTACGGTCGATCAGCGAGATACAGTACATGAGCGAGAGGATGGGAATCAGGCGCATGTCGACCTTGCGCGTGACGCGCTTGATGAAGTTGGGGTCGTAGCCCTCGTCAATGTCCTCATAGTGTCGGTTCACCTCGAGGTCGGATGAGTGAGGCTCAATCTTGTCCGAGTACGTCGTCTCGGGCTTGTCGATCGGGTACATGGCCCTTTCGTCGTAGCCGGGGTTCGAGGTCGCCATGGTGGTCGGTCGCGATGACTCGCTCACGGGTCGGTCGGGGCGGTGGGCAAGAGGGGGGTTGAAGAAACGGGAGAAGGGGAGAAACGAGATTACAACTGGTCGGTCAAGGACAGGTAAAGAGTCAAGAGAAGAAGGGTCGGGTCAAGACTGGTGAACGACAGTGGAAGTTGAGTCTGAGGAAGAGATGAGGACGGGTTCCCCGCTGGCCTGTTTTGTACTCCAACCTTGATGCCCAGGTCCCCCACATCGTCGAGCGGCACCGGCGAGAGGGAGGCCGAGGGGCCGGGCGGGGCAGGCAGATCTCATCTCGCTCTCCACACCTCGTTACCCCTGGCCCCTCTCTTGGACTTTCAGGAATGAGACCCGGGCTCGCAGGAGTTGCGCCCTGGAAACGTGAGTTCCGGAATTGAGACTCCCAGACGCCAGAACGCCAGAACGCTGTCGAGTAAACTGTGAGTGGAGGAAGACGAGGGGCTGGGGCCGGGGGCCCATCGCGCGCTTGGCCACTGGACGGTGCGGCGATGCGGGTTCCCCCATGGGGGATCAAGGAGATCGAGGGGAAGCGCAGAGGCGTTCTGCCCTGGAACCCGGGGTCGGAGCTCTTTGCGCCTGCGTTCTGCCTGCAGCCAGGGAGGACAGAACCGGTAAAGCGGGGACGAGTGGGTCTGCGGGTTGTGACGCGCACTGATTCGAGGAGAGCTTGTGCGGCGCTGCAGACGTTCCTCGCTCGCCTCCACTGATTGACGCAAGCGACACGACGGTACGACGGAACGAGCAAATCAAAGCGGCAGGAGACGGCAGTTCATGGCATCTGCAAGCCCGGAATCCGACCACGCCCTGAGTCGGTGAGCGCCGCCAAGCAACAATGTTCTCGGGTCTCCCGCCTGCAGACTGCTGTTCGACGGTGGCCGCCGGGGGGAGGAGACATGTCATATGCACGCACCTGCAGCGGTGCCTTGGCTGTCCTCCTGATCAACTCGCCTCCCTCGTCTATTGTCGGGGTTGGAAATGTCTTCCTCTCGTCGTCTGCCTCGGAATTCACACGACAGTCGCGCAGCCTGTCGCAGCCTGGCATGCTCGGTATGCGCCGCCTGAGACAGCATTGGCAGCGAGCTGCTCACTTGTCGCAGCTATTCCTAGACGCACCGAGATCACCAGGGCATCCTCGCGCACCGCAGCGTGTCCCCAGCTGTGCTCCCCCCGCCGTCCGCCTGACATCTACAACAGTCCCAGCTGGGACCCCCCCTGGGACCTGAACGAGCGCCCCCCCCCCCCGCGCTGCTGAGCCTGGGCGGCATCTTGCGCCATTTCGTCCAGCTTCCATTCGTGATCCCGAGCGCGATTCTCACTCGTCGTCGCCAGTCACTGGTGAATACCGAAGTCCTCCCACCCCCTGCGTATGCTCTCTCCACAAAAGATGCGTATGCTGCGTATGCTTGCGCGGGACAAAGTTCAGGCCGACTAGGCCGAGTTGCGGTGTCTGGATCGACTCGGTACAGTGGGCCGGCAAATCTGGGCCTGGCGCGGAACTTGCTTGCCCACCTGCTGTTATCACGTTTTTGACCCGGGGGCGGCAACGAGCCCGAACAAGCCTTGCCGCTGGACCGCAAACGGCTTGGCCTGGACTAGACTCCGGTTGCATGCAGAAGCCGCCGGCCGCCATGCAAGCTATCTTCTTAGCGTTCGCGATAACAGACATGCTGGTGCCAAGCGTCTTTTGAGACAGAGCGCCGAGGTGAGAGACACAGAATGCAGCGACATAGTGGCCGTGATTGTTTGTCCCACATTGCTGGTCCGCGTGGCCCCCTCCGCCGTGTGTGTGGATCTGGGGACGCCTCGGCACGCCCGGGCCCCGGATCGATCACTGCAGAGGTCGCAGCAGTGAATGGTGGTGCGATCCTGCGAGTCTGCGAACGCACTCCAATGACCGTGCTGCCCACTGTTCGAGGTCAGGCGACCGGCGGCCCCAGCGGTGGAAAGCACAGCCAGCAGTCTGTGTCGGTTATCCGAGCGCAAGTACCGGCGGTTACGGCGTGTCGAAGGCTTGGCGGTCGACGCCGCTCCTGAAAGTCTTGGGGAAGGTTGCGGCCAAGTCGGGGTATGATTCGACCGACCCGCCCGACTACCGCTGCGCGTTGCGTATGCTGGCGTGGATGAACGCCGGCGTCCTAGATCCTGCATGCGCGACCTCCACTCATTCACGATACGACACCTGGGAAAGAGGCCGCGACAGGCTGACCAAGCTGACCCAGGCTGAAATGTCTGTCAAGCCCTGAGCGGCGGAACGTGAACGCTGGCTTTCATTAACGAAAAGCGAGCGCAGCATCTGCATCTCGCCGAGCCGAACGATGCACCTGCACGCGCCGAAGAATGAGGCGCGCGCGCATGCTCGCCGGCACACGTCTGTGCAGAGCCAAGTAAGGTTGGACATCTGACCCCGATCCCGGCGCAGGGGCCAGCTGGGCCCAGGGTCCGGACTCGCGAAGCCGAACTCCATTATCTACGTCACATTGTTCGTCGTCAAACGACCGAGACCGGGGCCTTGGGCCTGGAATCACGCTAATGCGAAACGAGCTGGACGGCAAAGGAATGAGGCGATCCCCTTGGTGCGGGGTCGTGTGCGTCCCGCCCCGCCAATAGCGATTCCGCGGATTCAGCGTGAGCTGCACTGGGAGATAACCAGGCCGTTCCTTCTGCTCCGCTCGTAACTTTCATCGTCCGTGCCTCCATCAGAAGGAGACTGAGCGCGATTCGAATCAGGACAGAAGCTTCAGGAAGAAGCGGGCGGACCTCGCCATCACTCGCGTTCGCGGAGCATCTTTCCATACTGTGGTGGCTTCAGGTAATGCCTCAGGAGCGGCACCCCCCGTTCAGGCTGTGTGGCTGCGTGGCTTGCCCAGCATATCCTTGGGTCGCACCGAGCGGACGTCCCGACCGTAATGGGCGCCGCGGGGTCACCGGGTGGTCCTCCTGGGACCTCCAGTTGGCTCTCCACACCGGCGGCGCATGGCTGTGAGCTTGGCAAGCCACCCCCTCCTCATTTCTGTTTCTTGGGCTGGGGGGAGGGGTTGCGTGGGTCGATCGACACCGGCTACTCGATGTCCAGGAGTGGGTTGGAGGCTTTTGTTGCCACTCGAGGAATTGATTCCCCCAGGTCCAGATCGATGGTGGAGGGTTCCGCCAGTCAGAATGAACCGAGGGCCAGGGGATGCGGGCAGTTTGCGGGTTATCACAAGTCGGGCAGGCGGTGTATACAACCCGCGCCGATGCAGACTCGGCCCAGTGGGATGCAGAATTTGTGCTCGAGTCGGGCAGTGCACCCCGCTCGTCCCTGCAGCCGCCGGCGCGGACGAGTTTGAGGGTCGCGAGGGCGGCTCGAGTCGCCAAGGTAGAGAGCAAAATTCCGGTCGGTGCTCGTCCGCCGGCATATGCACTGGCTGAGCGTGACTGTCCTGGGGCCCGCTGGGAGCATCTCCCCTCCGACCAAGGAATGATGCGGAGAACTTGGGGTTGTCGGGCAACTGTGACCAGTAGCCGGCGTAACGACATGATCTGGCAGAAGTAGCAGGCCGATGAGCCAGAATCCAGGTAACGATGATCTACCGTTGGGGCAGGTGAGTCAGTGAATGTCTTGTGGTTGTCGGACGACATGTCGATCCATAGCCGGGCTTCGGGGGTGGTGAGAACGACGTCTGTTCTGGGAGGCATGCACTTTCGCTGCAGGCCCCGACATGTTGCACATTCGCTGGTGACCTCGCCTGATCTTCATCCATGATGTTGTCGAGCGCACCGACGACACCGTCCAGCAGAGGCTGAGGAAGACGGGTTCGGTGAGTTCGACCCGACGGGCGCCCACAGCGTGACGCAAGAACGCGATTCGGCGATTGCTCATCGTTTGTGTGAGGACCGAGCCCTTCATGTGAGCGTCGCACTCACTCAACTCACCAGAGACTCACCCAGGTCCGACTCTTGCGCATGTATCCAAAGTGACATGCTTGACGCTGCTCAGGAACGCCGGAACGCTGGAATCGGTAGCGTGGAAAGCGTCGATCATCACGTGTGGCACCGCGCCGCTATGCTGCTCCGAGCCCTGGGCGGACCGTCGATCATCCTGCCGCCGGCGAGGAGATGCGGGGCACGCGGGGCAGCTGATATGTGCAGAGATCTACATGAGCAGGCACGCTTGGCTGTCACTGGGCGAGGGTGCTGGACAGGGCGCGATAAGGAGTGGAAAACGGGGCGGACGGGGCGGACGGGGCGCGACGCCGGACGAGGAGCCAAGAGGGTTAGGTCAGCGGGCTCCGGGTGTATTCCGACATAGGTCGGGATTCGATTCGTGCTATCTCTCGATCGAGATCTGATTCGACTGACTGGGACACTGACCTGAGCTCATGCATGGCCGTCGCAGCATATAAGAACATGCATGTGTGCACTGGAGGCTGCTGACCACCCCGACCACGACGTACGTTTCCACACGAGCCAGGGCGATTCAAGACCTGTCTTTGACGTTGAAATGCCTTCGACCGTCCCACATGGGCCAGCTCCTCTTCTATGACACAATCCATGGAGTAGGCTTCCAGTCCTCGCTCAGCAGTCCCAATACGCATGCATACCAATGTTGTTGTGATTACGTGTGTAGCAGAGACGGCCGCGCTCACCCCTTACCCGCGTTAACAGCCGTAAGTCATCTATGATGAAAGTCCGAAACAGCGACAACCACCCTCCACTTCTCACCACTCCTCAAACGAGCGTGTATACTCGTAAGTAGATCCTGGAACCTTGTACGTAATCAGGAAGCTAGTGCTCCTCTTCGCGTTCACGATTTCGTACTCTGAACGCATCGTCCACTCGGCATTCATCTTCGGGTCGCGCATGCCGATATGCTCCACGCCCTCCGACTCGGTATGCCAGCTTCCGAGGTCGTAAAACTCCCATCCCATCTTCTCCGCCAACGCTTGAAGGCATTCCGGGGCCATCCCGCCGTGCCGCTCCAGCACGCCGGCCCGGACAATGCGCCCTTGCCTCATGATGCCGCGGTAGGCGTCTCCGTCGATATCCTTCAGCGTGGGTGGCCAGCGCCACCTGCCCGGGAAGCTGAAGGGAGTCTGGTCGTCGACACGCACGAGATACACGTCCTGCGGCGCACGAGTCTTTGGATCGAACGGCGAGACGACAAAGAAGGGCAGGTCCGTGGCGCGCGCCGCCGCGTGCAGGATAGGGCTCAAGGGCTCGAACGCGAACGCGTCCTCGACGGCAAATTCGGGCTCCGTCAGCTGGGAGATCCCGTTCGCCTCGCCACAGAGCCTGATTGCATTCTTGTCCCCTGTCCCATCATCAGCCCAGGTCCAGCGGCACATGGACGGCTCGGGCTCCTTCTTCTCCGAGAACCGCTTCGGCTTCTTTGGAGGCGCATATGTAGCGATCTTGACGACCGGTATAGGGTCGCTGCGCGCCAGCCCATTCGTGTACACGACGTTGTTGTCGTCGACGCGCTCCAGTGTCCAGTTCCGCTTCGGGTTCTGCGGCTTGCGGCGGATATCGTCCGCCATTGCCTCCCAAAACTTGCCGGACATGATAGCATTGTACGTCCAGCTCGGGCGGATGTACAGTTCCAGCGGCGTCGGGGGCGGTAAATTGGGATCGCGCACGACGCCCGGCACAGGCTGCGCAACAGCCTGTGTACCGTGATACGTTACAGTCTGGTAATTATCGTGCGTCGTCGTTGGCTTGCCGCGCGAAGGGGTGGTGTGCGTCGTGGTGGACACGTCTGCGACCGTGCGCCCGTTATACGTTGACGACGTCGTATTCGTCGTCGTCGTTGTGACGGTCATCGTGTGCTTGGATGAGAAGCAGCCCATGGTGTCGTGGAGGAGTGGATGGAGTAAGTGAATGCATGCCTGTGAGAGCAGTTGAGCGGTTGAGTGTGTTGCTGCTAGTCACATGGGACGGAAGCCGGGCTTGGCGTTACAGACCGCGCACAGCCGTTCTCCGGATCCGAGCGGCTGATGTGTGTCTCAATGCTCGATGAGGTCTTCGAGCTCTACGCACAGGAATATTGGTGACTTTGGCATGGCCCGCTCGCCATGGGCTGCGACCTCCTTGTCAGTTGCAGAGACCGGATGCTCCTCGTCATGTTCTGCGGTGATATGAAGTGGACGGAGCATCGTTGATAAGCGATCAGGTGACCGTTCGGCGAATTGCCGCGCCCCGCGCCTCCCCGTCCCTCCCCTCGCCACCGTTTGTATGTTTACGCCGCTGCCTCACACGTACGGGGCTGTTCTCTGGTTTGCTGGCCATGTTTTTTGGGAAACGGATGCTTCTTGTTGCCTGTTCTGGCTGGTTGTGGAAGTCATAGAAGCGCGGCGTAACGCGCATCGCCTCTTGTGCTCCGCAAGCGCGGATGGCTGGAGCGTGGATGATCTGGACGTGGCCGCCGTCGAGTCATTCGTCGTTGTACGTCATAGGATAACATCCAAAGCCTAAGAGTTACACAGATGCTGGCAGGATATCGGGCAGCGGAACGAAAGACACCGGCCCTCCAGCGAGAAGGCAGCTGAGTACAGTTAGCGGGGACGGACGGACCTTGCACGTCGTGCAAGGGATCGTGTGAGAAATGCCGACGAGTTGTTCATTTTAGGCCCAATTCTTTCACACATGTATCTCACTTGTGTCAATAACAGATAAGGAGAAAGAGAAGTGTGGCAAGATGTGTGTTGCCATGCGATGAGGGCGTGCGGCGGCAATGTCAACAAGTCATCAACGTGTCCAGCGTAAACGTGCCCATCTGCATTCCCCACGAGTCACCGTTAAGATGCAGTAGCTCAGGTAGACATAGGAACCCGGATCGCCAGACACGGCGCTAACTCAGCAGCACTTGTTGCAGAGCTGGTGCCAAGCGATGCAAGCGACGGCGCCATACCCCGCTAACTCGAGCTTGTTACGGCAGTCTTGAGTCGGATACCTTCAGACCTGCAGGCTACCGCAGTACAGCTGCTACAGCGGGGAACTCTGACCTGTGCATAGATTCGCTTCATCGCCATCTTGGAGCACAACAGCACAATGCGGCCCACTCGTACAAACTAAACGGATAACGGACATGTCCGAGAGCCGAAGACATGAGGCTCGAGGCGATGCCACGCCGATCACATGACCATGCTCGCTATCGTCCTCGCTGTCCGACTGTTTCCGACCAGATCGGACGGAGCTTGCATCTCCAACGTCTGAGTTGAGGCTAAATCGTACTACGCCTGTAGCTCCTAAAGAGCGTTGAGTGCAAGACATGAAAGTGGAATAGGAATCTGGGAATAGGGAAGGAACAGCCCGGCATCCACTCGGCCCGGACTTGGAGTCAATCTTATCTCCAGACCCTGCCCTGTGGTTCCGTCCAACTTCCGCCAGATACGGACGGAGCATACTCGTTCTTCTCCTCGACACGGCGTCTAGCCTTGGGATCGGCTTTGTTCTCCCGCCGGCTGCAGCTCTGCAGCTACAATAGCTGGCGGAGTGACGTCAGATACAATCTCATTCATCACCTTAGCCAGTGAGTATTGTAGGTGGGATCTTATCGCTGCGGCCTAAGGCTAGGGTAGAGAAGTAACCGGCAGAATGTCACCTGGTACTCACCCGGTATTCCTACAACGCTTCACCGCCTTTGTCAGACCGGATTCGGTGAACAGTGGACGCGAGAGGCTGTATTGTATTGCACCGGATGAAGAAGTCGATGAAGTCATGGCTCTCGCCACCGATGCACAAACACAGCGCAGTCCAGGGTGGTGGGGTGGAGTACTGGGAGGTGGCGACACGCTCCACATCCTGAGACACTCCTTCTCACTGACACCTCCTTACCCTCTCTCCACCGTTCCGCCGTTCCGAGTTGCCATTCTGAGTCATCACGGACAGGACCGAATATGTGGCCCACAGCTCACAATGTAAGGAACTATGCACAACATGTTCATCGGATGGCTAGTGGCTACGGGCTACATGGCTAGTTGGGAAATGCAGTTGAGTTTGCAGTTATGACTAGGGCTTGGTCATACAACGCCCCTCTGGGCGTATCGGGACATATCCGTTGCATGGCGTTCGGACATTGAGACAAACATGTGGTCATGAACGTGCTCGGGATCGCGCTTGGGTACGGGCCGTCGGACCTCCGGGGGGTCCGTCGTCTCTCGGTTCTCGCCACGATCTGCGCTGGCGATCTCGGTCATTGTCGTCATCGTCATCGGCGGAGGGATCAGCGTCCGTGTCTGACACGTTCGTCGGTTGATGTGTCGGCTGATCACAATCGGAGATTCTGAGCGAGATGGACGAGGCATGCACTGTCGGGGGATCACACGGCGGGATCGGCACGCGCTTAGTTGACGATTCCAGCCGCCGGTGCGAAGGAGACGTGCTTCGGTGTCGAGTGGCGCGACGTGCGCATTGCATGGAGTGGCAATGATGGGGTGGACGAGCGAGAGCGGCTGTGGCGTTCTTGCGGAGGATAGAGCGAGGGAGTACCGGAGCGAGAGCGCTGCTCGGGGTAGAGAGAGGGTGTACCGGAGCGGGAGCGCTGCTCGCGGGGGACCTGGAGACTGGAGGTGCTCGCGAGAGCGGCGGGGTGGGCGTAGAGTTGAGAGTGGGAGTGGTGGTGAGAGTGCGAGTGAGAATGCGTGTGCGAGTGGTGGGATCGGTGCTCCCTGTGCTCGCGATGTTCACGCTTCTCGCGGTGGCCGTGGTCGCGGTGTTCTCTATGCTCCCGATGCTCGCGGTGTTCGCGATGGCCATGCTCCCTACCATGCTCCTTCACCTTCCGACTCGGCTCGACTTGAGGGACAGTCACGTTCTCCCCGCCCTGGGCCGCGAGCCACTTGAGGAAGGCCTCATCGGGAACAATGTGGGAGACCTCGGGCGGCTGGCCGGGTTCGTACCTCTCGATCCTAGCCTTCTCCACTCCCTTTCCATCAGGCGTAGCAGTGACAATGACCTTGATGTATGCTCCCTCCGTGGTGCTCGTGTTATTGACATCGTGCCTCGGGGTGGAGCTACGCTCGCGTTCCGAGCGCCGGTTGCTGCTTCGGGCAACATCCCTGGTGGAGGCGGCGGAGTGGGACTGAGTGGAGGTCGATGCTGAATTGGACGGATGGTGGTCCTTCGGCGGCACCGGTGGAGCCGCCGCCGCCGCGTCGCGGTCTATCCGGGCTGGGTGTGGGGAGGGGCTACGCTTGGAGGGGCGGGGGCGCTCGCCGTCGTTGGACATGCGGCGGCCCTTGCTCTTGCTCAGCGGCGAGGGGAGACCCTCGGGTCGCGCCTGGAGGAGACCGATGTCGTAGGCCGCGCGCAGGTTTGGCGTCCGCAGAACATGGTATGCCGCTTTGTCATCAGCTTCCAGCTCGCAATGGGCGGTAAACGACTTACTCGAGATACGACTGTAGATCATGTTCGCATTAGGGTCGGCGCATTTCGTTGGGTGCCAGACGCTGGCGTATGATATGTACGCCTTATCGACTGAGCTTATTAGCGATAATCACAAGGGTACAAGGGTCCAACTCACTCTTGTGGTCTGACGCTGTCGGCTTGAGGCCGAGGACGTCGTAGTGGGTACGAGTGCGGGACATGGGTTCGTGTGTGTGGTGTTGAGGAAGAAACAGAAGGGGACGAGGTCGACAACAATATATCCATGGCTTGCAGAACACGTCGGAGGCGGCGCGGCGGCAGGCATCGGGTAAATAGAGCAAAGGCCAAGGAGGATGACTGACGTCGGAGCCAGTGGTGCGGTAACTCGTTTGCCCGGTGAGCGTGTGAGAGAACGGTTCAGGAGGAGCGACGAGGGCCAAGGTCGGGCACGCTAGGGAGGTGCGGTCGTCTGACAAGCCCGTAGCCTGGGCTGTGAGGCTGTCAGCATCCCTGGACGGGGGG